ACTTTCGTTTTTTAGTATTTGGTTCAATACGAATAAAAATTAGTGATAACTTACATACTGAAATGTAATTGTATCTAATTCATTTAATTAGCGATCGCTAATAAATCAATGGACACCCGACCTGTATATCTCATCGCTGATTTTAAAATAAGAAGAATTATTAAATCTGGAGAGAGATATCTATTTTGTTCATTACCTACAAAAAAAGGTGATACAATTGAAGGCCATTATGAATAAATTAGCTACAACTTTAATTTTATTACATGAGATAGGTAGGTCTGTAACGGCTTTGGTTTTAACCTCTGTTATTGCTTTGAAATTCTCTGGTTCAATCTTTGAATCTTGCATAATTTAAATTGAAATATCTAGGGACTCAAGATCAAATACTTTCTCAGGCTAATGTTAAATCAATTAACAATAGCACTAACTTTAAAAAGAGTTTCCTAGCAACAACTTCATTTAAGGATCTTGTTTCACCACTTCTTTTTGCAACATTTTCAGGACATATGTTGTGACTTCAGAATATTAACAAAATCTATAGAAATGCGAAGAAAAGAGCTGTAGCACTTTAGGTTACGTGTGTCATTGGTCACATCTGTCAAGGGTAGATTAGTTCTAGTCATTAAAAGAACTGCTCTATAAACCCCAGCCACAATAGAGATACAATAGTGCTGGTTTATAGAGTTTGGTTATTAATCATCCGATTTATTGACCTGTTAGACAAGAAAAATTTCCATGTTTCTACCTACCCAATCTACTTATAAGATGCTAATAACATAAAAGAAGATATAATCCCACGTAATGCATTATCCATCACTGAAATACTCTATTGTATATTAAGCCTTTAATAAACAACTAATAAAATTAATAAGATAAGTATATAATAGGATAGAATTTTGAGGACATTAGATACTTATTATATATAATAGTTCACAACCTTGCACTAAATAATCGAGTTCTATTCGAGATGTGAACTAGAAAGATTCTTTCTGAATATTTCTATATCCTGTGCCAGTCAAGGAAATAAAAAACAAAATATTGAGATCCTGTAGGAATCGTTTAATTTTTCCAGTTACATAGAAAAATGATTATTATATCAGGATTATACTATCATTATGATTTACAATATCTATTTATAATAGTAGTACTTATCTAAATTATCTAATTTAGCTTGAATCAACTATTAAATACCTATATTTTTTAGCGAATCTATTACTCTTTTTATAGAGATCAAATGGGCAATTTGATATGAACTGTTAAAATCACTCACCTTTGATCCATAGATAATTACAATAAAACACGGATTTCAACTTGTAATATATACTAATACATATTAAAAGAAAAGGAGCCGCTAATTTTCAATAGTGATTAAATGTAATTAGAATAAAATAATATTTCTTTATTATTATAACCTTGGATGTATTAGACATACTTAGTAACGTTTTCGGGTACATCAAAAAATAACTTGTTGTTTATAAATTGTTCAGAAATCCCTAGATGGTACAATATACTTGCAACTATGAACTGATATAGATTGACACGACCTTTAATTTGCTCGAAAGCACTGAGAATAATATATAATAATGTTGCGAAAACACCACATGTCCAATTGACTACAGACGCATCTATATTACTTAATACTTTTAATAACTTAGGCAATTTAAATTTACCATCTTTTTCAATTAATCTAATCAAACTTGCTATGGTTATAATGTTGATAACTATGGAAAAAGCTGCTATCAGAGCTAGTTGAACACCGTTTCCAAATGCATATTGAACTTTAGCTGAATGAAGATACTCATCGAAAATAAAATCTAGTGCAATGGCCCACGAAAAACCAACAGAAATTGCGGAGCATTTAAATAGAAATGAGGCTTCTTTCTCGAGAATTTTCATCGAATTAGCTGTTTCTTTATCATTCATAGGAACCATATTATTTTCGAGATCTGGTTCTTGGAAAGTATCTTCAGGCTGTTTCTTCATGTTTGCTTCATTTAATTCACTTTTTTCTTCTATCATGCTATTCTACAATATATATTTTATCCTTTAAGATTTGGTAATCCAATGGTAGGTATCTTTTCTCAATAAATTAAACATAAAACTTCTTATAAGATGCTTCCTTATTGAACACATTTTGGTTGCCATTTTATTATAATTTAAACTTTATCGCGGGTTGCCATGGGAGAGAGTAAAAGAAATGACGTAATGCTTAATAGTCGAAAAAGATGCATATCAATGAAACAGACCAACAAATTCGAAATGTATAGATGGATGATGCCAATTTAATGGTGAAGTCGGAATAGAATGAAATCTATTGGAAATGTAATATGGGTTTAAACCAATGCAGATATTTAATTAGGGAATATTAAAATCGTAGAAGAGATAAACATTTGAGTTTTGATAGACAGGAATAAATTAATATATCAAATTCCTCATCATTAAATATATATAGCAAGTTTATAAAATACTTGTCTTGGGTGTCATACCCTTTCTAGTAGAATTAATAAAGATATATAATCTAAAATTAATGACAGAACTGATCGAAAAAGTACTGTGATTTATATAATTGATCTTATTAATATTTTCTAAGGCCACAAATACTTATAAATATTTACCAGTATCGATTACAGGCAATAGAATTATGATAATCATAACGATTAGTTGCCTATTTTAATTTAGAGACTTTTGTAGACTAAATTGCATATTCACTAGTGGAGTAATAATCCATAAGCAAAGTGGTCTATCAGCATAAAATCAAATAATCTCATATATAATAAATACTAGTAATACTATCTAAATATTATAATGGATATATATATTAATGATTATGAAAATGAAAGACATTACTTAAAATTACAAATAAAATAAATCTCTAAAAGAAAGAGGATAAGAAAATTATACTGAAAGTCAAGATTAAGCTCAAGTGCAAAATGGAGTTCAAAATTGCATGATCTTTAATAGAAGAGGAACCATTTCTGTTGGAATCTACATTATTGATAGCTTGAGTGGATGTAGTAGAATTGCTAGTTTGAGTTGAAACTCTAGAACCACCAGTTAATGTTGACGTTGTAGAGCTAACACTTTCAGTAGTAGCCCTTGAATTGGAACTACCAGAGGTTGTGCTTATAATGGAGATCATACTAGTAGTGAAATCGTCAGTGCTCTGAATAAAAGTAGTTGAGCTATTCTCTTGGGTAAGAGTGGTGCTGTTATATTCTTGAGTTTGAACAGAAGAATTGGCGCTATCTACAGTTGTTGTGGAACTAAGGATACTAGAAGAACTTGAATCGCTGCTATTCATTGATAGAGATGAAGAAAGAGCAGAAGACGAATTTTCTTCATCAGTAATAGACAATTTTAAATCGCCATTTCTATTATAATAAGTAAAATTATCAAATGGATGAGGAAACAAATCATACTTTCTTAATTTTTGATAATCCCATTCAGCTGCACTTTCTGTTTTCCAATTCCAGAAAAACCAACCTTTTGTATTTGTATAATAATTTGATAATTGTGCTTCAATGAACTTTCTGACTTGAATTTTATATTCTTCAGGCCACTTATCAATGGAGTTTTGAGAAACACAGGTCTTAGCACGGAAACCATAGGTTGATTCAGCATCAAGATCAGTGGGGTTCCTATAGATTGTCTGATCATACAATGCCCCAGTATTAATACCGTTTAACCATGTCGCACAATCAGATATAGCACCACTCCATCCACCGATGTAGTTTATAGGGAAGTTCGAATCTTTTGATAAACCTCTTGCAATTGTCTCAATATTTTCAATGGATTTGTTTAGGCCATTGGCATAAAATTGTGCGTTGAAACCTCTGAATACAGCCTCATCTGCTTCAACTAAACGTGAATCAGAAATATATCCTTCGCCCTTATAATATGGACTAGAGCTGTTATGTAATTGTTGATCTAAATCTTGAGAAGTTAAGTCGACTATACCAAAACCTGGTTGAATTCTGAAAGTTACATTTGGGTTAGGTTCCTTGATACCATCCTTTATTGTCTGGTAAGATGTAAAAAGGTCGACATAAAAGTTGACAAGACGGTCATCAGACACTTGAGTAACAGTTATTGGTGCAAATGTTACCTCTATACCGGAAAGAGAGGATGAATTTTTCAAATTCAACATATATTCAAAATAATCATTTAGAATTTGAGAAGTAACCTCAGTGGAATTTTCTTTTGTCCAAAAAGCAGTTAATAAATCAGAGATATCATAAAAGTAGTTTGTAGAATTTTGAACTGCATACAGATCAACTAAAACTTTTAAATCATATTTCAAAGCCCACTCTAAAGCATTATCCAAACAATCTCTTTGAATGCTGTTCACGTATGGATCATTGAAAGTATAATTTCCAGGATACAAATTAGTGGTATTGTCTACCTTCCAAGCCCAATAACCAATTGGAATCTTAACATAGTTAAAACCCTCTTCACTAATTTTCTTGAAATCTTCTTCAGTAATCCAAGTCTTAAAATGTTTATCTAACAATTTTTTGGCATCATCGTATCCTAATGCTTCACATAGAGTATATTCGTTAGTGACATTGATATTTGACCCTTTCTTCTTTGCAAGATCAATAGCATCTTTGTACAATGATGGGCTAATATAAGGTTCAGTAACAAGCCAACCACCAAGGTTGATACCTTTATATTTGGTTCCATTATTGGAAACAATATCACTGTTGTCTTCTCTGACAACTAAATCAGCTTCTAATTTGAAACTGAGAGCTAAATTAAATAAAACACATAATATTGATAAAAATTTCATGCAAAGCATAATAAGTTAAAGATTTATCAGTATATATATAGTAAAACTAAATGCAAAATTTGTTTCAGAATTCTTTATTAATGTCAAAAAAGAGATGAACTCAAAATTTGCAGTATTAACTTATATACACACTTGATCGATTCTTATTGAGTCTAGAAAAGACTAAAATTCAAAATTTTTGGAAAGATAGATTAGTGAAATAAAAGATTCAAAAATGAAATATATTATCATATATATATAAATTAAAATCTCATATCATCGATATCTAACAAATATCCTCGAAACTTAAATGGTACGAGAAACATTTACCGGAAATTTCAATCAAATCACCATATTTAGTAACCTAACCTACAATTAAAATAATTTACCAACAGCCATTGATACAGAATTCAATACAAATTAACCCCCCTAGAATCAAAATATGACCCCCTCATTCATCAATCAATTATAAAAAACCTGTACAAATTGTCGTTACATGTCGAATTTATCTAAACCTCAAGACCTGATTCTAATATCTTCCAAGCAAAAGCTTAAAAGTAACTATGGGATAACATAAACTGACTGCATGAGTTCCCTAAACAAACTTCAGTTACAATAATGAAAAATTTTTCACTTCACTGGTCGAAATCAATAAGGAACAAGTGAATTGTAAGTAGTTGATTCTATTACAGTTTTTCGATTATATAAATATGACGTATTGCTACAACGGTGAAATTATAGAACCGTTTTTTAATCATCTGTTGGTAAAAATCTACGTCATTGATAGCTATCCCGTGTGATTCTTACAATTATTATGATGAATTGGCAACGAAATCATAGAGATGATCTTTTACTTAAATCAAAAATGATTTTATACTAAAAATAGCTGCCTCTTTAGTATAATAAGTTTGAAGGATAATAACGCTGTTTATCTTTTAGCTGACTTCTTTTCATAAACTTCAATGCTTTTTATTCTCAAGAGGGTTAAATAAAGCTTATATTTTGTATGTGTGCGGTGCGATTATGGAGGTAAGTTAGAATATATTGGTGGCAGATCGATCATTCTTATTGTTATTATTATTGTATCGATTACTTAAGTGGCACCTCCGCTTTAAAATCATACGAGATACATAATAAAGTTTTCTTAATGAATGATTGAATGAATATATATGTGAATGGGTCAATAACTCCAATTAACAATAATACTAATACGTTTGATAAACAAATTTCGAGGTAAAAATAGTATCTATTTAAAATCTCAAATTTTACATGAATTTCTTATAACCATATTTAAAATTCAAAATACTGGCTAAACTTCATTCCAAAATGTTATTTAATGTAATAGTATATTGCAGCTTGATTCAAGGTTCATTTCAGTTATAGTAGCAATAACTCAAGAAAATACATAAAATAATTTTTAGAGTTTCTTGAAATGAATGAAATATCAGTACTGTACATACCTTAATGTATATCTCTTAATTTCAACTCTTCTAAGTTGAAGATTCGTATTTCCCATTGGATTCAACTGGCTTTTGTCTTTCGAAAAGCTTATGCCTGTGAAATTTTTAAAGTTACTTAAGCCTTGTTTCCATTTCGAAAATACTATCAAAGAAACATCAGATGAATATCGATTTCATTCAAATCAGACAAGAACAATATTCATATATCTTAGCTATGTTATAGAAGCATTCATTGGGAAAGAGGTTTTGGTTTTTCCTTCTAGAAGAACTGGGTACTCCTTGTATCTGCCTTTAAAGACTAAATGTAAGCAATTTTATTCCCATATTACTTTATCTCATAAATAAAACCAAAAGACAGTGACAAGAAATATACGCATATATTATATATAGGTATTGATAAAATATTAATCGGATATGATAAAGTTTTCCAATTAACTTGAGTCTCTGAGCAATGACTGTGGAATTCGTAATCTCATCTCGACACTTTCCTTTTTATCCCAGCTGAAATTTTGAAGGGACATTCGAATCTTTGAAAAATTATGCCACCTATATAAGGAAAGACCCCTGGATATTTGTTATTTCGAAAAGTTCCTTTAAAAATTGCTGAAAGGCTGGTATATCAGAACTTTGTATTCACAAGATCAAGATACCTTTTTGTTATATTGTGTTGTCTCCAATTAGATACACGATAGTAATCCAAATTTATTAACAATGACAGAACCAGCTCCCTCTTTTAGCAAGATTAAAACCTTGTATGACATGTATTATGGTTTTAGACCAAACAAACCAACTTTTCTACCTGAAGAATATCCAGATTTAACTGGTAAGACTGCAATCGTTACAGGATGTAACACTGGTATTGGTTATTTTGTCATGAAACTTTTGTATTCCAAGAATTGTAATGTAATTGCCGTTGTAAGAACTGAATCTAAAGGTATCGAAGCTCGTGAAAAAGTTCTTGAAGAAATCAAGGAATCTAGTGGTTCTATATCAGTAGTAGGTGGTTGTGACTTATTAGATATGACAAGTATTAAATCTGCTGCTGAAAAGGTTAAACAAACATTAGGTGACAAACCCTTGAATATTATTATTCATAACGCAGGGTTGATGTCCAGCTTTAATGATGGTGTTTCTAAGCAAGGTATTGAAGCAATGTTTTCTACTAATGTTATGGGACCTCAGCTGTTGCAACATTTCTTGGATCCATTGTTTTTGAAAAAAGATTCAGATTTCAAAAGAATTGTTTGGGTTAGTTCAGTTGCTCATTTAGTTGGTTTCCCACAATACGGTATAAATTGGGAAAATCCTGGTTTTATTAATGAACCTCTAGACAAGAGGCCAGCATATTGGACATTATATGGTCAATCGAAAGCTGCAAATATTTTGCAGGCTAAGGCTTGGTATACTAAAAATCAAAAAATTGCAGATGAAATTGGTTGTGTGTCTGTCTCATGTTACCCAGGTAATCTAAAGTCTGAATTATCAAGAGACTTTGGTACGATTTCAAAATTCGTTATTATGTCAGTATGCTGGGATGTTATTTATGGTGCTTATTCGGAATTATATGCTGCTCTGTCTCCTGATTTGACTACCAAAGATCAAGGTGCCTATGTTGTACCATTTGGTGAAGTCCAGGATCCTAGAAATGATCTGAAAGTGGGATTGACTAATGGAACTGATTTAAAGCTTTTCAATATGGTAGAAGACATGATTAAGGACTATTTCTAATGTAATGGTTATAATATACTACTATTTATATTAGAATTCAATTTTTTAGCCCTTCCTAAACATGAAACTTAACCCATTAAACGTTTCAGCAAATCATGCTTCATCATTTTATGTCAGAAAATGGTATTTGGAAGTTAAGGAATTTTTATTCTATGGGTTCTTTGAAAATTTGTGTTCCTTTTTCTATTTAGAATTTTTCTAGACTATCTTGTATATTACGTTAGAACGTTAAACCAGGACAATAAATTCATATATATGTATATTTTATATCCTGTAATATTAAATACTAAGAAAATCTTTAAGCATTAAATTTGGTTCTTTAGGTACATATACGTCGAATTCATTTACTTTAGTTACTTATTTTTACCTAGGTCTATCTGAACCACTTGTTTTAATTGCTGACCAATGCCTACAGTCAAATAGCATGTCCTATGTAATGTTCATTAGTGATTATAGAAATAGAAACACAATAATTTAGTCAAGAGGTGCAATATTGTAATCCGACTAATGATCTTGTGTATTATTCTTATCAATAGAAGTACATTGACCCGTTATAATTTTTATTTTGTTTCTTCCAAACTTCCGGTAGGAGGTGCTTTTGCCTTTATAAAATATACAGAACTCTAGAAGATTGGACCTTGTCACAACTAGTTTAAACATATAGAAATGTTCTTGCTTATAATATTTTAATGGCCACAATCAAAATTAGTAGCACCTGATATGACTTGAAGGAGCTAAAGATAAGATGACATAAAAGGGAAATCTCTTACTAATATTTGACATTAGAAAAAAATTAAATGATGAAATTATGTAATTTAAACAGGTACAATTTTGAAAGGAAATCTTTAAATAAATCAGCTTCTTTCGAGTTATGAGTTGAACTCTTGACTTCAACAATTAATACGCAAGACAACATAATCAGGAACCCCAAGAATCGTTTCTCTTCCAATACTAATAACATCTTAATAGACTACATAAACTAAACAAGCTAGATCTACTAAAAACTATTCCCTTGCTTAAAAGCCAATTAAAAGTGGATTTTTCACTCTTAAATTGGTACATCTGTATATTTTGGACAAATATACTGTTGTTTCACCACTTTCAGCATACTTATAGCATGTAAGGAGTGTTTAATAGTCTTGCTCAAGGACTTTACCACCTAGGGTGAATAAACACATCAAGTTAGTAAAACTGATATTTTAGTGACTATGTTTCTCCATAAAAGAGGTGGAATAAAGGACAATATATACCAATGATCATTATACAAACATAATCACCATTACATAAATTGTCAAGATACTTGATCCAAAGAGAAACACAAGTTCATGAATATATAGTATTCAGTACCATACATTTTGTTGGAAAACCTAGTCAAAATAGTTTCTAAACACTGCACAATTTGAAAGGGGCAGTGATATAACCTCACAATCAGCTCTACTTGACAAATTTAATAAAAATATTCCTTCGAAAAGTTCATGATATTCCTCATTCCTTACTTACCTGTAAATATTCAGAAAATTCGAAAAAGCAATATTTAAAGCCGCAACTAGATATAAAATATGACTTCGACATAGGAATAAAGAAGGAGTAACCAGACCTACACTTGAAGTTTTTAAGTACTGGGTTGTAAGTACAGTTAATGTTGTAAGTGAATTATGTAGATTATTTGCTTTACTTTGCTTTTTTTGTCTCTCCTCATATTTTTCAAGATCTCAAGGAAACATCAAATCAAATTACTCGAAGGAGCTGTCTTACTCAGAAGGCATCTTAGTATTCTTGAACAATTTCTGATTTTATTCTTACGACAATTAAGTAGAATACCAGATGTTTTAGGAGTTGTTTAACATTATAGGTGGAGTCTTAGTTGTGCTACTAGAACCCAATCTATACTTTTTGCTTCTGCTTTTTTTTTTTATCTTTTCGTTGTATATTGTAGTTAGTAGGATCGATATATACAGATGCTAACAAGATTAAGATTGGTATTGCACCCAACTTGATATTAAAAAGCAATAGTTTGCCTATACCTTTCGATTAAATGCACCTTGTTTCGACATCGGTGAAGTTTTCGACTTTCATTGAATCATTTCAACCATTGTTGGTTGTTATAACAGTTAGAAATCTTGTTGATAGTATCTTGAGATAGCATGAAATGAAAGACATATATAAATGATTATGTATTCTATGATTTATTAAACAGATGGTTAGCCTTGACTGTGTTTCTTCTGTTGATTTTATATGAAATAACAAAGAAAGTTGTCTGTGCTAATTGTTCGAATTGCCAGTCAGTACAAACTATAGATTGTATGGGATACAATCGATATTTGAAGGTATTTCATATTCACATTTAGAAAATGTCAGATATCAAATACCAAGAAAACCTGAAAACTAAAACCTTTGATGAGGATGCCAAAATTGAGTCAATCTCCGTTCATACCGACTCGGAGAATATTGTAACTAATATTGCAGCTCACAATGCTCGAATATATGTGAAATATTACTCTACTCCATTAAGAGTCACTATTCTATATTTTTCTTTATTTCTACTTGCATATGCTTATAACCTTCATAAAGATGTCAGAGGAACATATCAAACACTAGCAACTTCTTCTTATTCAAAGCATTCGTTGTTAGCAACTGTCCAATGTATCAATCAAGTGATCTCAGCAGCAGGTCAAATATGGTATGCGAGAGCATCAGATATCTTTGGAAGAACGCCTATTTTGATACTATCTATTCTATTTTACTTTATTGGAACATTGATAGAGTCACAAGCCACTGATATCTCTAAGTATGCAGCAGGTTCCTGTATATATGCATTAGGCTATGCTGGCTCAGTGTTAGTGACGCAAGTTTTAGTTTCAGATTATTCTACTTTAAAATGGAGATTAGTAAGCTCGACGGTATTATTTTTACCAAATATCATCAATACTTGGGTTGGTGGTAATATTACAGAAGATGTTGGAAATAGATGGCAATGGGGTTTTGGTATGTGGGCATTTATCTTCCCATTGGCTAGTATACCGCTACTCTGCTGTTTAGCTCATATGAAATATCTAGCGATCAAAAATAAAGAGGACGTTAAGTTGACTATTTCTAAACCCAGATCTATTTCTTGGGCAAGACATTTGTATGATATATTCTTTTGGAAGCTAGATATGCTTGGTTTAATTTTGTTAGTGGCATTTTTTGCGTTAATCTTAGTACCACTAACTTTAGCAAAAGGTTTGCATGAAGGATGGGGTTCTGCAAAGTTTATTGTACCAGAAGTGTTAGGTTGGGCTTTGGCATTACCTCTATTTTTAACATGGGAACTAAAGTTTGCATCAAATCCAATTACACCTTTAGATTTGATCAAAGATAGAGGTATTTATGGCGGTATCGGTGTATCACTTTTCTTAGAATTTGTTTATGACATTGGGAGTACTTATTTGTATACAGTTCTAGTGGTTGCAGTTAATGAGAGTACTAAATCAGCCACCAGAATAACCTCATTGTTCACATTTGTTTCTGTACTTACTGCGTTCTTTTTGGGTTTCGTTGTTGTTAAAGTTAGGAGAACTAAAGAATTCATTATTTTTGGTATAGCAATGTGGTACATAGCCTATGGATTATTTGAACATTATCGTGGTGGTGCAGAATCACATGCTGGAATTATAGCTGCGGTCTGCGTTCATGGTTTTGGTAACGGGTTTATCAAGTTTCCAGTAAGAGTGTCTACTCAAGCCTCAGCAAAGACGCATGATAGATTAGCCATTGCCACTTCGTTGTATCTGGCAGCCGGTGACATAGGTATGGCATTTGGATCTGCCACAGCAGGTGCAATGTGGACTAATATTCTTCCAGCTCAGATAGATATGGTTATTCAAAATAGTACACTTGCCAAAATAGCATATGAATCACCAATCAAGTTTATTAGAACACATAAATGGGATTCTCCTGAAAGACAGGCTTTAGTAGTTGCTTATAGGTACATTCAAAGATTATTAATGATTGTTGCATTGTGTTTGATTATTCCTTTGCTATTGTCATCATTTTTCTTAAGAAACAGAGCATTGACAGACACTGTAGCATTTGAACAGACAGATATTCCAAAAGAGAGCGATAGTTCAGATCTCGAAAATAGTAAGATTGACAATTTAGAAGAAGATTCAGAAGAAGATTCATCGAATGGTGAAAGTAAACCAAAGAAGAAAACCATATCAAGATTTTTCCATAATATATTCCATAATTGATTAAAGAGCTGTGCAATAGCATATGTTCCCTTCCTGTTATACATACGCATACATTCAAACATATATATTTTCATGGGTAAAAAGGAATGAAGACACGATTATCAATCTATCTATTTACCTTATTATGTAATTTTTATTTGTTTATTTATTCTGCTTGTTTAGCAGAATATGGCATGACATTCATAGAACACTCAATATATTTCAAGCATTTAATACATATGATTAAACATATATGTCTATATATATATTACTTACTTCTAAAAATAGCAAACAAACACTCGATAATGAATCTAATCCATTTAAACAACCAATAGCCGCCGATTAACACATTCTCTCTCGTATTTCGTCCAAATTTATAGATTTTTCCTGTTTAGGTAAACGACCAAATTCATCCATCTGGAAACTGTGCTTATCTCCATTACTACGAATAAATTACGGTGCATCACGTGATGCTTTGTTCGCACATCTTTTTTTCCTTTTGGAACTTTTTGGTTAAAATTTGCATATGGAATGAGCAACGGAGGGGAAAAGGGAGTCTCATTTTAATGAATCAATCATCATCATCATCACCATTACCATTATCATCAAACTGATATAAATCGGAATGAATTGGTAGGTCTTTAATAGTTGAATAGTTTTAATATTTGTTGAAATGTATATCTCGATGGTTGGAGTAGTCTATTGAAGTCTGCAAGTCGTTGTTTACACAGGTGTTGTTGTTTGCTTCTGTTTTTGGTGAAACAATAAAGGTAGGTAAATAAGCAGATAACTAGATTTATAAATAAATACAAAAAAGGCTTTGGATTTTAGTTTCCAAAGGGAATAAGGATATATTTATGGTGCAGGAGAGCTATAAGAATTATTTGCAAGATTTATTTTAAGGGAACAAAAACTTATAATAGTGTTAAAACTAGAAATCATCACAATAATCATAGTAGCAGTAGCCTCAGGACTTGAATTATTAATATAAGGATACGAGGGAAGAAATAGTATATTATGATACAAAGTTGGATCTTATCTATTGTTTATTCGTTTCTGGATCATATCCCCCCTGTGGCGTGGGATATAATAAATGTTATAACAGATATTGTGTTATTTTGGTTTTACAAATTTTTGAATTATATTCGACCTAAATCAAGAGTTTTGTATCATGAGGCTATGAAAGGATTGGAAAGTTGCTACACTTATGAAGAATGGTGCGTTAAAGCAACTACAGTCGATGAGATTACAGGAGCAAATTTATGGAGAAGAAATTTTTTCTCTAGAAGATATGATTTTAACTCTGTATTGGAACAATTCTCATTGTTACAACAATATCTGAATAAAAAAGATGTAGAGTCTATCAAGGAGAAATTTTCAACAACAGGTCCTTGCATGTTACGGAATTTTGCAGGTATTGTAGATAAAAGACTTTTCTCAAAATCTTTAATGGGGACGAAGCTTTTGATTGAACAATACTTAGAAAATATCTTAGAAGGCTTGGAGGTTTTAGATGAAAGTTCTACCCCGACTTCATATTTCCAAAGATGTAAACTGTCTCTTGGAACCACTGTCTTAATTTTAAAAGGTGGTTCATTATTTGGTCTTTTCCATTTAGGTGTAATTAAATGTTTATTATATCAGAATTTGATGCCAAATATCATTAGTGGTAGTTCAATGGGTGCATGTGTAGCAGGTCTATTTGGTTGCCTATCTAACGAAGAATTAGCACAATTATTAAAAGGTGATCAGATTTTAAATATCATCAAATATGATATTGAATTATTAAGAAGTTGTGGATACGGCAATGTGGATCAGCATTTAAACATTGGTACTTTGATTCAAAATTTAGTCCACCATGGTTATTCACAAGATGTTTATTTATTCATACAGTTTGTTATAAAATATGTCGTTAAAGATACTACATTTGAGGAAGCTTACCAAAATACAGGGAAAGTTTTCAATATTGTTATTCATCCTACTGATAAGTCATGTCCAAATTTATTGAACTATGTCACTACACCTAATGTCCTTATCAGTTCTGCTATCAACTGTAGTTTAGGTTCAGGAGTATTATCCGATGAAACTAAGCTGTTATGTAAAAATTTGAACAATGAGATTATATCATTTTTATCTGAAGAGAAGACGCAATCAACCACATTTTTAGCTCCAGAAAATGCTATAGTGGGAAATGATTCCGATAATCCATACACCAGATTAACTGAATTATTCAACGTTAACAACTTTATTGTTTCATTGGCAAGACCTTATTTGGCCCCACTAGTTGTCAATGATTTAAAGCATGAAATTAAAACCTCGAAATACTATTATTACAAGCATTATCCAGATACGCCAAACGCAATGATATTACCCCAATTGGACTATACTGAAATGGAACCTTTAGCTTTCAAATTTAAGTATCATTTGGAAAGAAAATTAAAGAATATAATTACAATGGAATTCAGACATAGAATGGAAGTTCTTGATAACTTAGGGTTACTTTGTCCATGGATTAAAAGGTTGATTATTGATGATAAAACGCCAAGATCTGCGATTGAAATTACAATAGTTCCTAGAATTAAGAACTTATCGGTAACAAGAATAATTGAAGGGCAACTGGACAATATAAATTATTGGATGAAATGTGGTGAACAAAATACATGGCCCGTCTTACCACTAATTAAAACAAGATGTGCTGTCGAATTTAAACTTGATCATATTATCAGGGCAAGACGCAATAAAATTAATACTACATACATCGGACAATGATTTGAATATATACAGAATCCTGAATATTATCTCATATTAACTCTCTCTGTTTTATTTCACCATTTTAATTGTTAAAAATATTTGAATTACTATATTTTGTTCTCTTTAATTTTCTTTTTTAAACATTTGTATTGTTGTTGTTGTTGTTGTTGTTGTTGTTGTTGTTGTTGTTGTTGTTGTTTATTTTTGCATTGTTAGTTTATCGCATCTGATTGGTGCAGAAAAGGAAAAGTTCTTGTATTAACTACAATTCGTTCAAGCATTTTAATATTTAATACTACTAATAATAATATTAGCTAATCAGACTGGTTAAGAAATAAAACATTACTGAAATACTAAAAAAATTATTAATATAAGGTGATTTAAAAAGAAAGGATTTAATTTTTTATTTTTAATTAAATCAAACAGTATGTTATCATCAACTTTAAATACATGTATAATAAAAATTTAAATTAAATATTATGACATTTCAATTCTAGAACTCACGTTCCATTAAAATGGTTGCCTCTTTCTATACCATCTGTCATTTCCAAAAAGGAAATTTACCAGCTTTTAAAATTTCTTTTTACATGTCCTCGACCTGCATCGTTGTTGCGTCAAGAAAACCATTTAAGGTTTTGAAAATATATTTAAGTCAGGACATTTCAATACATGTATGCAAGATAACATAATATAAGTAACATTGATATATTTAGATTGGATTAAACTATCAAGATCGCTAGATCATTCAGGTTAATTATGAGGGCTTCATTTTATGTCATTCTATTTCTGAACATTTTATTGTTTGATGGTAATTTTTTGGCTGCTGGATTGTTGTCCAACCCTGACAAATTCATTGAGGCTAGAGATGCAGATGGTATAGTTAAATTAGACAAGAGGTCTTACATGAGGGTTAGTGAAGGTATCAGGGATACCTATTCTGTCGTTCTTGTCAACCAACCTTATGCAGAAGCATGTGATTCATGTATTCTGTTTGGTAAACAAGCCAGAGAAATAAGTAGAACGTTGCTTCAAAACAAGCCAGATATCAATGTGATTTTTTATGATATTGATCCTTATGAGGTTCTAATGGTCCAAGAAGATTTGCGAATTGAGTATTTACCAACTCTATTGATCTATCCACCACCTACAAGGAAAAATTTTCATATGTCTACAGCCGCACATACAAGGTTGACTGCAATGACCTTAGAAGAACTAGAAGATGTTAATTACGTGAAGAATTTTATTACCAATGGTTTGAACATTACGTTAGAAGATCTGGAAATGACAGTCCCTGAGCAATTCAATGTTGTGTCATATGGGAAATATTTTGGTATCTTTGTAGCAACAGGTATTGCTTCGGAGGCCTTACTTGCGGTATTAAAGTAGGAGATTGAGGTTCTAGAAGTTAGGAATGGGACTGATATTTGTAATTTGTGACTTGTAATATATAAGATTTTACAGTAATATACATAAGTATGTAGACGATTGTCTTTTTAAACTATGAACGAAAGAATATTATTATTTTAAAAAACAAATTGACAGTTAATTCTAAGCATTAATATTCATACTCGAACGTAAACCCATTGAAAAGGACTTGGAACAACAAACCGAATTTGTCATCTCCCTCCCCTTAATCACCAGAAGATATTACTAACTTGGATCAGCACAATTAGAGAAACCAATCGTAGTTATCACCTAAGAATACCTACAATTAACGCATTTTCCAATAGAAAGATAGATAAAGCAACCCCAATTCCAATTTTACAAATATAAAATAATATATATTCCCAAATATAAAAGAGCCCCATTTCTTACCCAGCTGAACCTGCTTAATCCTGCCTGTCTCAATTATACTTCGTGTCTGTCACTTATAACTGGCGTTGATTACTATCATTATTCTATATAATAAACTGGCTGCCATAGTGAAGAAACAAAATGAGTCGAACTGAAAAAAAAATAAAAAAACAAGAAAATTTTCCCCTGTCCGACCAACCGGTGTCTTTCCGGACACCCACATGAAATATCAAAAGACTAAATTTGTTTCCCTTTTTGGAACACAATGAACAATTTTAATAACTCAACGAACAAGAAGATTGATTATATTGAAATATTGAAAAATGTCAAATAGTTAGAAGTTATTAGCTAAGATATATAAAAGTTAATCTAAGTATTTGATTACTATAAAAGTGATTCAAAGATTGTGCTTATTAGTGGAATTGGGTGATTGACCAAGTTTGATTTTGCAAGTTGTTTTTCGTCATTTAGTTTTTTTTTGATTCAACTTTTTCTTATCTTAGGGAGTAAATTTTTTCAAAGCTATTTATAATATTACGTTAATATAATAGTAACAATTGAAAAATTGAATTGAATCAAGTTAATAGAATAAAAAGTTGGTGTAAAAGGTTTGATTTTACAATCAATTGTATTAGTTTTTAGGCATCGTAAAGAAAAAATAAAAAGAAAAGTATTTGTAATATGTCATACAGAGGTCAAGGTAACAATTTGAACGGGTTTCCAACTTCGAACCCTAATGGTTCTCAATTTGGAATGCCATCTCCTAATATCGGTGGATCTGGTATTGCTAAAGGTTTCCAGCCAGTAGATCAAATGATAGATGTGTGGATGAAAAAAGTTGAACGTTTAATGGATCATCCAACCGTTCAAAAGTTCCGTCCTTATATCCCTAGCATTGCAAGATTTTTTATCGTTGCTACATTTTATGAAGATGCTTTGAGAATTTTGACTCAATGGTCTGATCAAGTGTTCTATTTGCATAAATGGAAGAATTTACCTTACTTCTTTGTAGTATTGTTTTTGATTGTAGTTAGTTTATCTATGTTAGGTGGTGCTACTTTATTGCTATTAAGAAAGCATACAACTTATGCCACCGGTGTGTTGTGTGGTTGTATTGTTCTACAATCTTTGGTTTATGGTATTTTCACAGGTTCCTCTTTTATTTTGAGAAATTTCAGTGTTATTGGGGGTTTACTGATCACATTTAGTGATTCCATTGTCAAGAACAAGGTTACATTCCAAATGTTACCTGAATTGAACAATAGAGATGAAAAGACTAAAGGTTACTTGCTATTGGCTGGTAGAATTTTAATTGTCATGATGTTCATTGGTTTCACTTTCAGCAAATCGTGGTTCACCGTTTTATTAACCATCATTTTCACTGTTTGTTTTGCCATCGGTTACAAGACAAAGTTTGCCTCAATGGTACTAGTTTTGATTTTAACTTTTTACAACGTCATTTACAACAACTACTGGTTTCACGATGCCTCAAAGAGAGACTTCTTGAAATACGAATTTTACCAAAATTTAAGCATTATCGGTGGTTTGTTACTAGTCACTAATACAGGTGCTGGTGAGATCTCAGTCGATGAAAAGAAAAAGATCTATTAAAGAGAGAAATATGATCGTTATTCCAAATTTCACTAAAACTAAGACTAACAGAAAAAAAAGAGACAGGCATCTATACACCAAATCACTTACTTACTCACTCACACAAACACAAACACAAACACAAACATAAACATAAACATAAACACCCAACATAGCATCTCCACGATGTAGGGTCGTTGTTGTATTCTAAAACGATGTTTTAATTCCATATTATTTTCATTTATCTATCTTTGTCCCTTTTGCATTATTATTTTATTTTGATTTTTGATTTCACAGGTATGTTGTAAGAACTTAGCCTGATAAATTTACTTCTATCTCTCTCCCACCTATTCCACAATCAATTGTAGTTCGTCAGTATATACATAAATATCGATTATATATATAGCTGTTTGTCTCATTCCAATTATATCTCTTTCTATCAATGGACAGTATTTATTCGTACTATTGAGCTTGCATGGCTAACAAATGTGGGTCACGTGACTGTTTTTTCCCACTTTTATCGTACTGTCGTTACTCAATAAGAACACTACTGGAACTCTAACTGTAAAACTAAAACTGGATAATATCCATCTATCTTGTATTAATATATAGTAAACTAATTATGAAGATCCCAATCAATTATCGACCTTCAATCATCAATCATTAACCAGTTTCTCTTGCCGGCACTCATCTGTTGTCATTGGAAACGTCTTCTACGCCCACAGCGAACGACCCAACTAATCCGTAAGACATTTGAAAGAGTGTTAACCATTAAGGATAACAATGGTTTTAAAGGTTTAAGAATAAGATAACTGGAACTTATTCTGTTGGTCTGTATCGACATTGAATAGTTAGTTCGATATTGCATTAGTTTGTATAAACGAGTTTTATTGTCCCCTCCCCCAAGGCCAGTGAGTGAGCTTATATATATATACATATATATTAATTGTTATAACATCCCTATTCTTTTAGATAAGAGGGATATAAAAAAAGTCTGTTAAATTGTCTAAAGTAAAGGAATATTATATCAGATCAGTTTACATTGAATAGCAATGGTTGGTGGTATATTGAAGAATCCTCTATCCAAGGAACAGGTTACTAAGGAAGATACCGAAGATGTTGCTGAGTTTAGGAAACAAGTCCTGAAGAATACTCAATTGAATGCTAAATTAACGTCTGGACTAGACAGTAAAATGCATATGTCCCTATCACAGGGAGGTGAAAGTCATATATTGCCAAAGGATACGCTTACTTTGAAGCATGAACATGATGTTCAACAAGTACAAGATGACGAAGAGAAGTTACAATGGAATCAGAAAAACTTAGAAGATAATGAAATTGCCAAATTACAATATAAAGATATTCATGTTGATGAGCCAAAAACACCGTACCAAGGAGCAGTGGACCCAAACGGTGAGTATTATAAGATTGATGATGAGAATGATGACCTAGACGACTTTTCATTGGGAGAAGCAGAATACGACACCAAACCAACGTTGGATGAAGATAGACTTGAAGAAAATGTTTCTGAACAAGCAGAACAATTAGAGGAAGACGATAAAGAAGCAAGGCACAAGAAATTCGAGGAGATGAGGAAGAAACATTACAACGTCAAAGAAATCTTCAAAAATAAACACTTGCACGAAGATGAAGATGACGAAGATACAAATTAGATCACTCCTCTACCCCCCACCACACCGCACCATGCAATCTTCATATCTAGCAACAGTAAAGTAGTCTACGAAGTCTTTAGTTAAGTCTAAGTATAATTTTTATATAGAATTAGATATTATATTCTCATACTTTAATTTAAATATAGTAAAATTGTAAATAGAACTTCCAATGAACTTAAAATGAACTTAAATAAAACCAATTCAAAAAAAAGTAAGTAATTCCAATAAATATCAGCCAACAAGACAGACAGACAGACAGACAGACAGACATCTATAGTGACAACGACGACATTTGAAGAATACCTGTCGTGTACCTCTTATTTAATCTACCTGTCCTTTATCCTTTGAGATATATGTCACGTGGATTGGATATCTCTTTTTACATAGCTAATATGACACTTCGTCTACAACGATGTCCTTCATTGGCTCCCAAAGGTGAAAAATTTTTTTGAAGCGATGAAAATGTAACAAGAACCAAAATTCTAACAGTGAACAAGTTATATAGATAGTTTTATTATAAGAAGAACAGGTATCTTTCTTGATTGTGAAGTGAATAGTTTCAACTCAGCTTTGTCTAAGAGGGTAAAGAGGTTTCCCATTGAGGTCCCTGAGATATAGATTGGTATTATCTGTTAATAGAAGAGAACCATGTCTCGTTTTTTTGCGGCTTCCTATGAGTACGATAGTGCTAGTTCATCTTCAGAAGAAGATTTATTGTCTTCTTCTGAAGAAGAGTTATTAAGTTCATCTTCATTATCTGAGGAAGAGTCTGATGATTCTTTCTTCAATGATTCTGAATCTGAATCTGATTTTGATTCTGATGATTCTGATGCAAAGCCATACGGTCCTGATTGGTTTAAGAAACAAGAATTTAGAAGAGGTGGTGGTGGTGGCAATAAGTTCTTGAAAGGAGCTAGTTATTCTGATTCTGATGAATCAGATGAAGCCTCTAAGAAGGTTGTCAAGTCTGCAAAGGAGAAATTGTTGGATGAAATGCAAACCTCTAGCGGTAAAATTGATGCTGCTGAATTGACTAATGACTGGATTACAATTTTGAATGAATTCGATAGTGTTACTCGTTTGTTGACAAGAGCTCAGCAACAAAACTTTGGTACTCCAAATATTTTTGTCAAGGTCGTTGCTCAAGTCGAAGATGCAGTTGCTGCTTCTCAAGAAGAAATTAACAACAAAGCCGTTGCTAAAGCTTTTAACACAGCTAAACAAAGAGTTAAGAAAATATCAAGAGAACATCAAACTTTATTGGCTAAATACAGAGAAGATCCAGAAAGCTTTGAAAAGGAAACTAGTGTCGAGGTTGATGCTACCCCTGAATTAGCTCAATTCGCTGTCGGTAAAAAAACAACAGATTTATCCTCTATTGCTACAACTTCTTCTGAAACAGGTTTCTTCCCAGCTTTAAGTATTGTTTTAGACTCTAGAGGTAAGAAGAATATTGATCAGCAAGCTTTGGCGCAATCTATGGATGATTTGTTGCAAACTACAAAGACTCCATATGAAAAGATTATCGCTTACTTAACTTTGATTCCAATTAGATTGGATAGTTCAACCAACTTATCATACCAACCAATAGATCAATGGAAAGCCACATACAATGATGTTTCTAGTTTGTTGTCTATCTTGGATGAAAATATCAACACTTACCAAGTTTCTGAATTAGCTCCATTTAACGATTCTCTCGAAAATGAGCCAGAAGCTAACGAAAAAGGTGTCAAAACTATTTTGGGTTCTATTCTATCCTTTGTCGATAGATTGGATGATGAATTCACCAAATCTTTGTTGAACACTGATCCACACTCCAGTGATTATTTGATACGTTTAAGGGATGAACAAGCAATTTACAACTTGATTTTGAGAACCCAGTTATACTTGGAAGCTACCTTACCAGAAGATAGACAAATTGACTTATTATCTCGTATCTTTGTAAGAAGATTGAACCACATATACTACAAGTCTAACGAATTAATTAGAATTATGGAAGTCGCCGCTTGGAAGGTTGCTCCATCATCCTACACTTCTAAATTGACCCCATATGATGGAGCTGTTTCTGACTCTTACTTATCTGGTGTTATTAGCACTTTGACTGATGCTTTGAGCAAGCAACAAAACCAAAGCTTGCGTAAACGTGCTGTTTTATATAATGTTTACTACACTGCTTTGAACAAAGAATTCCAAGTTGCTAAGGATATGCTAATTGAATCTAAGGTTCAATCATTTATCAACAAATCTGATCCATCTCTACAGATTTTATTCAACAGAGTTGTCGTGCAGTTAGGTTTATCTGCCTTCAAATTATGTCTGATTGAAGAATGTCACCAAATCTTAAATGACTTACTAGCAAGTTCTCATTTGAGAGAAATTTTGGGTCAACAAACTTTGCAAAGAGTTACTGCTCATTCTAATTCCTCTAATGCTGATGAACGTGAAAAGTTGTGTTTGCCATTCCATGAACACATTAACTTGGATTTGATAGATGTTGTTTTCATGACTTGTTCTCTATTGATTGAAATTCCACAAATGACAGCATTTTACTCTGGTATTAAAATTAAGAAGATTCCATATTCTCAAAAATCTATTCGTCGTGCTTTAGAACACTACGAAAAATCCAGTTTCCAAGGTCCACCAGAAACTTTGAGAGATTATATTTTGCACTCTGCTAAAGAAATGCAAAAGGGTAACTGGAAAAAATCATTTGAACTTTTGAAATCTATACAAGCATGGGCTTTACTACCTAATTCAGCTTCTGTTTTAGATAACTTAGCTGAAAGGCTTCAAGTAGAGTCATTGAAAACTTACTTTTTTACCAATAAAAGATTTTACTCTAAATTATCTATGAAAAAGTTATCAGATTTATTCAACTTACCAGAAGATAAGATAGTAGAATCTTTGCAAGCTGTTATTACCGAATACGAAATTGATGCTTCCTTCAATGAAGATAAATCTGTTTTGTCTATTGCAAAGGGTGCCGAAATTACCAAATTAGAAGAAGTTGCTTCCAAATTGAACAAAGAAGTTAAGATAACAAAGGAACGTCTACACCCATCCCGCGGTCGTCGTTAATTTGCAGTCTTTGATGAAATTACATGATTAATCCCAGCATTAGTCGAATGATCTGTGAGTTTCATAATTGGCATAACCTGTATATTACATTTTTAATATATGTCACACAAGTCTAATATATATACTTTGTAAAAACTAATAGAACGGAGTACTAAAAAGTTTAAGTTGTTTTGATACCATTCTTTCTAATTAAAGAGTAATTTGTTCTACTGGTTTTTGATACAATGTGTATGGCGGTTTTGTAATTTATATGAATTAAATTTTATAAAATGTCAAATAAATATTTTTCAGTCTGTTTAATCTTTAGATATCTATATTCTTGTAGGTTTGGTTCCGCTCCTATATTTTAATGAAGGTGGGTATGTCAATAATATGTGACTTGATTGGAAATTTAATTGAAACTATAATAATTATTATCGGAGTTTTATTTGTGCTCTTGTATAGAATATTGTTAAAAATACTTACTTCTTTATATAATTTGTAATTTTTCTTTTAATGTGGCATGCATATTATTCATGATTATTATTTATTAATATGTTTTTTTTCATTTATCCAATTGAAGTTATTTCAGTTCTTAATATTCTTTACAATCATATGAAAACTCTTACATTTCCAAAGAAATATATAACTCTAATTGTCCTAAAATGGTTTTGTATTATTGAATATTGGGACAATTGGTTAATTTAATATATTTACTTCTAATTTTTCTTTTTTTTTAAGTATTGTTTCTGTTTCTGCATTTTTAAAACATATCATAAAAAAATATAAAAAAAAAAAATTTGTTTTAGCAACGATAAGATATTATAAAAATCATACTAAATATTAACATACTAATACCATTCCTATAAGAACATTTTCATTTATCAGTAGTTTATGTTAATTTTTTTTAAGCTAATACATATAAATTGTAATATTTATAGTCAAGAAGTAGTTCTAATTGTCAATATTGAATTTTTGTATATGACGGCCTAGACACTAAATGTACCCTTAAGAATCTTGGTGATTATTATTAATAATTCGTACTGCCATCAAAGAAGACATGTTTTTGTTACTAAAATAGCCAATTGTACCTTTTGGATTTCCGGTTTTAATGGGTTAACTTTTACTTTGAGAGTTGCGTAATATTATAGTCTTAAGGCATTTGAGCTATTACCAAAAATTGTTTTTAGCGATATTTTTACATTAGTATTTATGATTCGATTGTTATTTTCAGAAATCCAACATTAGTGGCTTTTAGAATTAACTTTTACAAGAAGAAAAGAGTTTTGCCTTAAATAAAATTCTCTTTCAATGGAAATGTTTCATCGATTTCTCTATAAACATAACGCCTAAACTAGACTTCACAGAATTTTTTAATCTGTTAGGAAGATTCTACAGATTTTTTTTAACTAGTAGCAATTTTTAATATTAAAGAGGGTCATTTATAAAGGATATACACTTGGTTGATGTTATCTCAACTCAATTATCGCTTACAACTTTTGATTCAAATACAATATTATGCGTTTACGGTTTTTACCCTTAAGATTCTTGCTATAGAAACCTTTAACATTAAAAAATGAACAATATAATAAATATATCAGTTGTTTAAGTTGTATGAGAAGTAAATAGAATAATTAAATTTACCTACACTCTTAGAATCTGCTTACATAACTTTCTCTATCTATTTACTTCAAGAGTCAGTAAATTTTAATAGATATTTTTGAGTACTTAACAATTAAAAATTTGCAACATTTTTCATCAACAAAGTGAGAGAAATTATTATAAATTATGGGAATCCCTATTAAACCTTAACAGGAACCTAAATAAATCGGATTCATTAGGTAAATTATGGGGCAACATGAACTTAATTTTTTCGTTTAAATTTCAAGGTTCATTCTAGGTTATAAATATTAATGGAAGTAGATAGCGAAATAATATTTAGAACTTCCAAATACAGAATCCCTTATATCAAGTTGTCGAATTGGGAAGACAATTCTGTTAGGATTACTGTCATCTCCCTAATATTTTGTAATATTCTTTGAAATATAATTATTGTTATATTATTTAAACATAATATATTATAAATACATAATATGGGCAATGATTCAATTGCATTCCCAACAATACTTGTTGATATAAAGTGCTGACACCTTGAAAACGTTGCTGTCACCATCTGTATTTCTTCAATATGGAATATCAACATTGTTAATCATTATCAACGAAGCACATCACTAAAAAGATTTTTAAAAATTGAACAAATAAATAGAATCAAAAAGAGCTGAAGAAACACTTCATCAAATAGATGTAAGTTCTTGATAATTGACCTTAAATATACCAAGTCAAAGTATACCAATAGTAGAGTCTGTGCTAATTATCGACAATTCTATTGTTGGAAACTTTAATTTTGACAAGCTACGTTTTTCAAGCAAGTGTTCGTACTTTGAATAGGTCAACTTTTTATAAGAAAAAAGCACCAGTTACCAGTAGTGTTAACTAAAAGGAAATAATAGAAAAGGCAGATCAGTTTCTAACTTTAACAGGTTTCTATCTGCTGTGAGACTGTTGTCATATATTGTAACCGATTGTTCTCCTGGTGAAGCTTATAATTGCTTTGTTTTTGAAAGCGTTTTGTGAGACGCACATAAAACTAAACTCAAATTATTTGAATTTCTATTCTAATTTAGCAATTCAATTTTACATATATTAATAAATTAATTTTCAATTTTTTGTTCCAACAAGAAATATAATGTCAGCCCTCTCACAAGAGGTTAATAACACCTTGATCAATGTTTTGCAAGGTTTTGCATCCCCAAACAATGAAGTTCGTTCTGCAGCGGAACGTGCTTTAAATCAGGAATGGATTACTCCAGAAAATATTGAACCGCTATTGGTATTTTTATCAGAGCAGGCTTCTTTTTCACAAGACCCTACAATTGCTGCATTATCTGCTGTTTTATTTAGAAAATTGGCTCTTCGAGCACCTCCATCCTCTAAAACTATAATTATTGCCAAAAATATCACACATATCAGTGAATCTGCTTTAGCACAGATACGTGTTACTTTATTGAAAGGGTTTGTTAATGAAAGACCAAATAATATTAGACATAAATTATCTGATGCTATTGCAGAATGTGCCCAAGAATCTTTAGCAGACTGGCCTGAACTTTTACAAACTTTGGTGGAGGCCTTAAAAAATCCTGATCCGAACTTTAGAGAATCTAGTTTTAGAATACTAGCCTCTGTTCCTCATTTAATTAATGCTGTTGATGTATCAAACATTCTACCTTTGTTTGAAGCTGGGTTTACTGATTCCGATGATAACGTAAAGATTGCTTCTGTAACTGCATTTGTTGGATATTTTAAACAATTACCAAAAAGTAACTGGTCTAAGCTTGGGGTGCTTCTTCCAAGTTTAATGAACAGTTTACCAAAGTTCTTGGATGATGGTAAGGACGATGCCTTAGCTTCAGTGTTTGAATCCTTAGTAGAATTGGTCGAATTAGCACCAAAATTATTTAAAGATATGTTCGATCAAATAATACAATTTATTGATATTGTTATTAAGAATAAAGAGCTAGAAACTTCTGCTAGAACAACTGCTTTAGAACTTTTAACGGTTTTCAGTGAAAATGCCCCTCAAATGTGTAAAGCTAACCAGCTGTATGCACAATCAGTCATTATGGATACTCTATTGATGATGACAGAAATTTCCATTGATGATGATGCAGCTACAGAATGGGAAAATTCTGATGATGCAGACGAAGATGATGAAGAAATTGCATATGACCATGCTCGCCAATCTCTAGACCGTGTTTCATTAAAGTTAGGTGGTTCATATCTGGCACCAACTTTATTCCAATATTTGCAACAAATGCTTGCTTCCTCCGTATGGAGAGAAAGATTCGCAGCTCTTATGGCCCTATCATCTGCTGCTGAAGGGTGTCGTAGTGTTCTAATCGGCGAGATCCCAAAAATCTTGAACATGATCATTCCGCTAATCAACGACCCACACCCAAGAGTTCAATATGGTTGTTGTAATGCATTAGGCCAAATTTCTACAGATTTTGCACCATTGATCCAAAGAACTTCTCATGATAAAATTTTACCTGCATTAATTTCTAAGTTAACTCCTAACTCAATTGATAGAGTTCAAACTCACGCAGCAGCAGCATTGGTCAATTTCTCTGAACATGCTAACCAAGCTATATTGGAACCATATTTGGATAGTCTATTAACAAATCTTTTAAATTTGTTGCAAAGTAACAAACTGTATGTTCAAGAACAAGCATTGACTACCATTGCATTTATCGCCGAAGCTGCTGAAAAGAAGTTCATCAAATATTACGATACTTTGATGCCTCTATTATTAAAAGTACTAAGTACACAATCTGATGAATCAAGCAAGGTATTGAAGGGTAAGTGTATTGAATGTTCAACATTAATTGCCTTAGCTGTAGGTAAGGATAAATTCTCCGAACATTCTCAAAGCTTAATCAGCTTACTAATTGCATATCAAAATGAAGGTATTCAAGATGATGATCCAATGAAATCATACTTGGAGCATGGTTGGAGTAGAATCTGTAGAATCTTGCGTGAAGATTTTATGCCTTTATTACCTATTGTTCTTCCTTCTTTATTAGAAACTGCCAAGGCTACTCAAGATGTTAGTTTAATTGATGAAGAAGAAGCAAGCAACTTTCAAAAATATACAGAATGGGAAGTTGTTCAAGTTCAAGGGAAACATATCGCTATCCATACATCCATTTTGGATGACAAGGTTACTGCAATGGAGTTATTACAGGTCTATAGTACTGTTCTAAGAAACAATTTCGCTCCATATGTTGAAGATATTATGACTGAAATTGCCATTCCTTCAATAGATTTCTACTTACATGACGGTGTCCGTGCAACTGGTGCAAATCTTGTGCCTGCTCTACTGTCATGTCTGGTAGCTGCTGTTGGATTACAAAACGAAGAAGTTATTAAGCTATGGCACTTGGCGTCTTCAAAGTTGATATCAGGCATTATTTCAGAGCCTATGCCAGAAATCACTGAAATTTACCATTCTGCACTTGTCGATGGTATTGCTATTATGGGTAAGGGCTGTCTAAATGATGATTTAATGAGAGAATATGCAAATGGTGTTAGCGCTAACTTGACCGATACTTATGAACGTATAAAGGATAGACATGGTGAAGACGATGAGTATAATGAAGATGCAGATGATGATTATGATGATTTTACAGACGAAAGCTTGTTGGATGATATCAACAAATCTATTGCAGCCGTTTTTAACTGCTCGAGTGGTAAATTCATCAATCAATTCCAAACTCTCTGGCCATTGATTTCAACATATTTGCGTGATGACGAATCTATTATACAAATTTTTGCATTAACTTCTATAGCGGATATGGTCCAATACACTGGAGAACAGAGCGCACCATTTAAAGAAGGATTTGACAAATCTGTTACAGGTCTATTATTATCACCAGACCCAACTTTACGTCAAGCTGCTTCATACGTTGTTGGTATTTGTGCCCAATATGCATCTACCGTTTATGCTGATCTATCTACAACATCTTTAGCGACTTTGTTCCAAATTGCATCTATACCTGAAGCAAAGTCCGAAGAAAATGAAACTGCAACTGAAAACGCTAGTGCTGCCATTGCTAAAATTTTATCATCTTATGGTGCCAATATCCCAAACATGGATGCTTGTATTGAAAATTGGTTAAAGTTATTGCCAACTGTTGTAGATGAAGATGCTGCTGCTTTCAATTACAGATTTTTAAGCCATTTGATAGAAAGTAATTCACCAGCTGTTTGTGACCCATCGAAAATCCCTGCTTGTGTTGATTATGTTATCCAAGCTTTACACCATAAATCTTTATCTGGAAAGGATGCAAACGTCGTAGTTGAATCTGTCAAGAAACTATTAGGAACGCTACCTCAAAATGAAGCGATGTCAATGTTACAAAAATACCCAAGCGATATCATGCAGACAATTCAAACCTGGTTTTCATAGTAATGTAATATATAGAAATATCAATTAAGTACTAGGAATATATAAAAATAGAAATTGATTATTTAAAGCTTTCTTAAAGGTGTGTTAATCGAGCTATTCATCAATTGTTTTTGAATTGCCAATAATTTTATTGAAATGGATGAAACTTATCTTATCAAGGTTTTACAGGCGATGCTTTAAACTTTTAAAAATACATTAGATATTTACTTCCAAACAATATTTTTCTATTTTACAATTCAATTCCTTCCTTTCCCTAAGCCACCTCATTGAAGGTAAATTATAATGATTTATGTAAATAGTCGATGCTGCTTTTACTGTACAGCTTCGAGGTCAATAATTTAAGGGATCAATTAGCTTGAGAAATATGTTTCTCAGATGCTTATAAGGTAATTGGTGCGGAATAACACTCAATTTACCCAAATAATGGACATATGATCATTTTCATTGCGAAATCGCCGGTGTCAAGGTGTGATTTAATATTTCAAACCCAAACGAAGGAGCTAACAAAAAATTGAGAATTGAATATAATTGAAGATTAATTGTTAAACAATTAGTGCCGTGCCTCCAAATTAAGTTCAAACCAAGCACTACCAAAGTAAACGATAAACAAAAGAAGATATAATTCTTGTAAACAAATTCAAAGTTTATGCCACTTATATTTCAAGCATGCCTAGTTCAAGAACTTTAATTTTTATCTTTGTTTAACTGTTGTTTATATGAAAAATCGCATAGCCATTCTTTATATTCCCGGGATTTTTTATATCCACATTGAATATAAAGACAGTCTATTAGTCTTAACTTGATCTACTTGACTTACACGAAATTTGTCCATATTTTAAATGGAATAAGTACAACTTTTGCCTATTTCATATAATGAATTCTTTAAGCCTAATTCAGTAAGCCTATTCGAACTCTCAATTTTTTTAAATTTCCCAAATAGGAGATTTATGTACTATTGATCTGAAATTTTCTTAGAGGACACAAAAGCTCGAGATATTGAAGAACTACCCGATTCAGTAATAGTCGAGACGATATCTACTACGGTAAAATATTAGAGTGTTAATGAGTTCTCGTGCAAAGAAGAATCAAGAATTTTAACTATATCAGGAAATTTCTTCATGAACCAAGTTTGCCAAGCCATTTTTGCTTTTCGAGTCTCGAAAAGTATGCATAAATTATTCGTGGGTGCATAGCGGCTGTCTTGTCAAATGAAGTTTCGTAGAAGTATGTGTTCAAATGTACCTTCTAAACTATTTTTTTTGACTAATTGCAGGATCAAGTAGAAGCAGAATATACAATAATAGGCAAAAATACCAAAGAAGCAAAAAAGCCATATTACTTTTATACTGCATTTGAAATCGGTATACTGGTGAATAATTTTTTTTTACTATAATTGGTCACATCATGTTGTGCTGCATGTAATATTAAACTATAAATCAGTTCACTAGTGCTATTATCTGATTCTTCATTCGATCTTCTGGAGATATTCTTAATCCTTTATACTTGTTTCATGTGAGTTCGGCTGAGTGTTTAGTTTAGCCTGATGTTTCAGAAGCGTTTTACTGGGCATAGACGCCAAGGAGAAACCGATATGGCGCAAGAGTTGAACTAGCGGATAGACGCTACTCTGATCCACGAAATTTGGGTATAATTTTTACCTTTGCCTTGCGTTATTGAAATCTTCTACTTTGTAAATATACAGAATCTACACAATCGCGTTTATGAATGTAGATTTTTTACTGTATTAGATAGATACATATATCATTGTAAGGGAGGTGTTTGATTTATACTTATTTCGCTTAGACGTAGAACAAGGGACTGTGATGAATCTTAATGGTGAACATGCTTTCGTGTTGGAATTATTACTGTCATATTTCAAATAGTTGATGTCTCCAAACATTCTTATTTTCGTCATAATCCAAGAAGTAAAAATTCTGATCAGGTTATTCATTAATAAAATGTATATATAATTGACAGAAGTATGATCCAAACAGTTTGAACAATTCCCAAATCTTATTATAAATGTTTTTTTAAGAGAAGCTAAGGTACCATCAACGTTATCCACCAATACATCAGGAAGACAAAATTTAATAAAATGCGTGTTTCCAATTTGGTGAGACTAGTTCCATTACTGAGCGTAGTGTTGGCTCTTCCAACAAATCCAAAATACCTTCACGAACACAAAGATAAGAGAGATATTGTGACAAAAGTCGTATATGTTACAGTTGGTGAAGAAGAAGCTACTTCTACTAGTCAAGCCGTACTTTTAAATGGTCAATTTGGCTTAGAAGCTGGCAATAATCAAAGAACTACTACTACTTTACAACAAGAAATTACATCTAGTACTAATACAGAAATACCAGTTAGCATTACAACAACAGCCAATTCCATTAGTGCTGCCGCTGCTATTATTGATTCCACAACCACATCTACCACTCCAACAAGCGCTGTAGTTACCTCAACATCTCCTGCTTCAAGCTCTTCAGCTTCATCTTCAGTTTCAGATGCTGGAGCAAAAGGTATAAGTTATTCACCTTACTCAAACAGTGGTGGTTGTAAGTCTTTGTCTGAAATCAAATCTGATCTATCAATCTTGTCGAATTACGATGTCATTAGAATTTATGGTGTCGACTGTGATCAAGTTGCTAATCTTCTTCAAGCTAAGGCTTCCAGTCAGAAATTATTTTTGGGGATATATTACATGGATCAAATTCAGGCTGGTGTTGAAACAATCCAAGCCGCAGTATCTTCCTATGGTTCTTGGGATGATATTTATACAGTTTCGATTGGTAATGAGCTTGTTAACGCAGGCGAAGCTACTCCTTCTCAAATCAAGCAATATATTGATACCGGTCGTTCAGCATTAACATCTGCCGGTTATACTGGTCCTGTTGTATCAGTCGATACATTTGTTGCAGTTATTAATAATCCAGATCTATGCAATTACTCAGATTATATTGCAGTGAACGCCCATGCATATTTTGATTATAACACAGCTGCTGCTGATGCCGGTACTTGGTTGGCTACTCAAATTGACAATGTTTATAAGGCATGTGGTAGTTCGAAAAATGTTTTAATTACTGAGTCAGGTTGGCCTTCTAAAGGTGACACTTATGGTGCAGCCATCCCTTCAAAAGCAAACCAAGAAACTGCTATTGCTGCCATAAAAGAAAAATGTGGTTCCCAAACATTATTATTCACTGCTTACAATGATTATTGGAAATCTCCAGGACAATATGGTGTTGAACAATATTGGGGTATTTATTCATCAGAATAATAGATAGATATGAACAAAACATACCCATACACAAATAACAATATAAGTAAGAATTAAATTATGAAATGTACACTAGGATAGGCATATATATATATACGGTTAATATAATTTAAATAACATTAAATTGATAGTAAATCATATGAAGTGGCGGAACGATATATCCTGGGTTTAATCCATTATGTCAAACCCCATATTAGGGATGAGTGTATACGACTCTTGCGGTGTTTCCTCACCTTTTATTGCTTTATATACTACTTGAATATACTAACATATCTTGGTATGCAGTTATACATATATATATATATTATAGTAATGATTTTAAAAATAGATCCTTTCTCAATCGTGCAAATTCAAAATGGTAAATGCAAGTAAAAAAATAATAAGAGAAGATATCAAAAGGTTTAATGTTTTAGGATAAATGTGAATATGATCAATTCTTAATCATCATAGGTCTGTCATGTGTTGTTTGCGACCGTAATCTATCAGGATGGTCCATATAAATGCAATCTAAATGGCCCATAACATCATAAAGAACAAGTTTGGTTTCTTCCTCCGATGAATAATCTTGTAGTGACATCAATGATTTGTTACCTTTACTACGTAATAACAGATTCAATTTAATTTTTGAAAATTCTTTTTGACCTAAACCGAATCTTTCATGCAAACGAGCCTTGGTTTCAGCAAGGTTTTCCCCAGGGATTAAGTTAAATAAGAATGAAATCCCATGTCTATGATCCAGATCTTTGAAATATTGCATTATTATCACCAAACGTCCTCTCGATATTTCAGTATTTTTATCTAACACTTCTCCTGAATTGTTGTTTTGGACCATAGAGATATCATTTTCACTTTCATTGACATTTTCTAAATCATCAAGCTCCTTTATCAATTTCAGTTCTTCTGGTAAAACTCTACCAAAAAGAATTTGAGATTTTCCAACCTCATCTAATGTATTATCTTCAAATAGCACACTTTCAAACTGGAAGTTACTGTTTGTCCAAAGTAAAATATTCTCCTTCTCCTTTTCAGAAAAACCAATTTTATTCTTGATTTTTTCCAAAAAGTCACTTACTATACATGTCCTTGGAACTTTGAATTCATATATTTGATAGTGCACGTAGCTATCTTTTAGCCAATATAATTTAATAGACTTTAGGTGCTCTAATTCCTTCAATGGAAGAGATAGAACTTCATATTCAAATGGCGGAATCAACTCACAATTGTAATCTCTAATCAAATAGTCTTTTAGTATACATCCTGTTTTCAATGAATATCTGGCATTTGGATAAACTGCCACTAAAGTCAAGTAATCAGGATTAACATTTGTATATTTAGACACAATGTTGGCTAGATTGTTGTAAGATATATATGTCGAAACCCAAAATTCAAACTTGTCAGGACTAGAGTTCTCTAAAACATATTCTTCTGTAGAATTTTTAGATTTTGTAAAAACCAGCTTCACCCTATACCTCAGGTAATGATAGAATTCTGGTATAGTGTCGTAACTTGGAAATTTCTCTGGATTATTTTCGGTTGGAACTTCAAAGGTCAAAATATCTCCGGTTGTTAATTCTGCTGCATATACTTGTTTCTCATTTGGGATTACATATACCTCTCCAGGATTTAGCTCCTCGTAGAAATTTACTGGGGAAGATAAATTTAAAACTGAAGAAACAACATTCGATAATTTTGAAACCTTATCCTGCTTTTTGACAGCAACATTTCCGAAACCAATCAAAGTTTGTTCAAATCTATTAAATACCTTAATAAATAGAAGGTCATACTCCTTAGGATCAAAAATAACAGGGAGTTCCTCTTGAGGAATTAACTTAGACACCGAGGTTCTCAATTTATTTATTAGTTCATCATCCAAAACACAAGTACCAATTAGATTCTTCTCTTTTAACTTGGCAATGAAATTTAAATCCAAATATGGTTCCTCAACAAATATATCCATAGGTGGTATAATTTGATCTCTTTTAGAATTCGTAGCCTCTTCTAATGTCATTGAGTCAAGGTTTGAAGTCACTGGTGTTTCTAAGCGCAAACTGCCATTTTTGCGATAATCCATTTTCCAAAACCTCACATTTTTACCGTGAGGAATCCCTAGTGTTTCGTTAATATTTTTATATAAATCTTTGAGATATGTGTTTCTAGGTACCCTTAAGGTAACCGCCCTACTCTCCTCTGGACACAATTCTTCATTGTACAGATTAGACTCTGCATTTGGAGAGATATCAAATCCTTGATAATGTATAAAATTTTGAATTGAGTGTGCCCTAATGTTAACATATAGATGTGCCTCTTTCAACTCCTTTTCTCTAACTTCACGTTCTTCATTTTCTTTTTTGATACTTTTAACGACATGCTCAGGTACATCCAGTTCATCAACATTTTGTAATGTAGTCTCTTCCATACCTTCACAAATATAAACTAACATATAAGCATTTGTATGACGGGTTATTAAATAGCTTTGATATTCTTCTCTTGTCATACTACGAAGCTTAGAATCTGGTAACCTATCCAAACCAAAATTCTCATCGAAAACTTGTTTCTTGTCAACCTTCCAGACTTTTTCATCATCAAATCTATACCATTGGTCTTCTAAAGTTGGTTTAATCATTGCATAGTAGTGACCAGTAGAAATATCGCCTGTATGGACTAAAACACCATGAAGTTTATAATTTTTGGGTCCTGGGGTTTTTTTTAAGAGTTCCTTATCCATATATGGAGCCAGATCAATCTTATCAGGAAACTCATACCTATCGTTGACTTTAATCAGTTGATCATAATTAAAATCATATTCGAATCTTTTTAGTTGCAAATGCAACACCGCTGGAAAAGATTCAAACACGACACCCTTATATGCATCTTGAAGACCAAAATCAGGTGCTGCATATTGGTTTTCTCCATTCATCAATTCTACTTCAATATAATTTTCAAATGACTCTTGTAGACTTTTGAAATTTTTAACGTTTAATTGAATATCCCAGAAATCTTCAACCCTAGAAGATTCATAATCGACATTTTTACATCTAATATAACTTTTCATTTTCCCCACAAATATTTCATTTAATTTACCCTCTACATTAGTACCCTTCATTCTATTTTCTAATCTATCCATTAAAATTCTATTTAATTCTTGTACGTCATGTTGAGTAAATGCATCCGCAGTATCCCAGCCAAAAGATCTAGTAAGTTCTAATGTATCCAAGGGAAACTTTGAGACTTGTAGCTGATAAAATGCTCGTTGTAAAGCCAAAGGAACACTATCATTTGGATTTTCACCATTAGTTGGAATACCATAAACTAATTTTCTGAAATATTTAGTGAAAAAGTAAGATTGTAGTAAAGAATTTAAATAGCATGTAGCACCCTGATTTCTAAAACCAACATAGCCTGTAACTTTTTTTGAATCATAATTTATAAAATTGTGCCATAATACACCAGTCGAATCCTTTAAAATTCTAACATATACAGTAAAATTAACTTTTCCTTCGTTAATAAAGCCTGAAGGACGTCCCCTAACTTGATTTTTAAGAGCATAGATATCAATAAAGTTAGCAAACCCCCAATCAGTATCAGCTGCATTGAACCTATGATGAGATCTGTTACATAGGTTCACCTCTTGATCATTATCAGGTTTAGAAAGAATCACAGCGAACTGAGCACAACAATACCAATCGGGATCTACAGGCTCCAATTCTGAACTAATATCATTTTTCTTCTCCTCTGGATGAGGTTCCAAATATACCGCCAAACTTTTATTATGATTACCTTGAGGAAACAATAATAAATTCCATTCAAAATCACCAATTTTAACCCTTGGAGAAATATATTTATCATTCGTCATACTATCCCATTTTTCAATTTGCCAAGTGAAAGATCCTTCCACCAAAGTCTCAACATTTTCATCATTAATATCTACCAAAATATCACCAATCTCTTTCTCAATCACAGGGGTTTCAGTAATTAAACCTGGTATTTCTTCATTCGTATCCATATTTGACTTTAAATAACCATATAAAGAAGCGATATTCTTCAGAAATATCGATTTTTCACCCAATTAAAAACACCAATTAGCAACTCAAGCACAAGGTACAATCGATAATCAATGCTTAATTACCTTGGAATGTCATATATCTAAGACTTTTATTCCAATCTTTTATCTTTTATTGTTTCTGATTATAATCTTTATTTTATAGGTCCCTTTCCTTTTCTTTCCCATCCCTTTAAATGCAATATATGAATATTACCCGGACGTTAGCACGTGATCACCATTTGGTTGTAAGATTACCATGGTAATATAATGACACGCACACAGACAAACTCCTTAAGGAAAGACTCAGAATTTTTGACTACCATCTATGGTTATAAAACTACTGATAACAATGCCAATAGATGATAGTGTAAACCAAACGAACTTAAACTCTATATTCCAAGCTTCTGACGTACATTAAAAGTTCCTCTTTTTTCTTTTCCTCCTCCATTCAATCAATTCATTGTAAATTAACTGATCTTATTCGAGACTAGTATCATTCTAATACAATAGCCAATAAATATCCTAAAGATGTACTCATATATCTCCTCATCACACTTCTCATCAAGATTTGCAACTCTTCAAATTACTGACACTTGGTTAGGCCCTATTTAGCAAAAGATTACCCGGCTATTTTTCTATAACTGAAATATAATTCGATGAGCTCCTTCTTAAATAAAACCTAAGATTACAACAACAACAATAATCATGTTTAAATAGGATGTATTCATACTTATACTTTACCTTCTATATTGCTGAGGGTGCCACAATTGTCATCTATTGGTTGCCATTTTGTTGATGTATCGTAGTGGCTTATTGACCTCTGGTGGAGGTAGTGCTGCTCTAACGGCTTTAAGGGCAATTGGATCTAGATCTAGTTTATCAAATGGCAAATTTATTTGGAATGTTGGGAAGAGGTTTATAACAAGTGAGATCCAGGAGAAGGATCAGCAGGCTGGTGAATCTAATACTGCTACTGATACCGGTATCATTCATAAAACTGAACAAGAGACTTTAGTATATTTTGATAATGTTTATCCGAGAGATACTTCTCTTTGGAATCCTGCTCAATGGTATAATTTATTGTTGGTGAATCAGTCAAGGGAGGCAGTCAGGGATAAGATCACTGAATTTGCCTCTCCTCCTTCGAATCCTATACATGGGCTGGAATTAAGGTCAACTATTCCTGTAAAACGTGATGGTGGTGTTTTTGCCACTTTTTTGGTTCCTTCAAAGTATACCAAAGCAGAAGTTAATGCAATAATTCAAAAAAATACTGCTGAAGAATCTTCTAAATCTATATTTTCATTTTTCACCAGAGCCTCTGCTTTCCCAGTCAAAGGTTTCCCTTGGATTGAAGATTTGAGAAGACTACCAACAAATACTATTAAAGTATTGTTCCAAGGTCCTCCCCTCACAGAAGAAGAAATATATTCTCTATTCAGACGTTATGGTACCATTATAGACATTGTACCAGCTTCAGATTCTGTCAAAAATGCTTCTGTCAGGTACAAATCATTGAAAGGTGCCATTTGTGCCAAAAATTGTGTATCTGGGATTGAAATTCACAATACAGTTTTACATATTCAATATCAACAAGAGGCCAGGAATTTTGTTATTAGTAACTTTTTTGTCAATCATACTAGAATTGCTATCCCAGTCATGCTTGCTGTATTGTCAATCATAGCCGTGCTTATCTTTGACCCAATTAGAGAATTTTCCATTGAACAAAAAATTACACATATATATTCTTTATCTTGGGACAATTACTGGATTAGACAAATTAGAAATTTTACTAATTCAACTGTCACTTCTTTCAGAAATTACTGGGGTGTTAATGAAAATGCATTTGCTGAAAAGCATCTATGGGAGGAGCGTATTGAGAAAGTTAATGACTTGAAGATGTGGCTACAAGAAAATAACAATACTTTTGTTGTCGTTAGAGGTCCAAGAGGCTCTGGTAAGAACGAGTTGATTATGCAACATACTGTTGGTGATAGAACAAATGTTTTATACTTAGATTGTGACAAATTAATTAAGTCAAGAACTGATGCCAAGTTTTTAAGAAATGCAGCAAGTCAATTAGGTTATTTCCCAATATTTCCATGGATTAACTCTGTAACCAGCGTTATCGATTTAATGGTTCAGGGTTTAACAGGTCAAAAAAGTGGTTTGTCAGAGACCAAAGAAGCTCAATTCAGAACTATGTTAACAACCGCATTAACATCCATCAGAAGAATAGCGCTGAAGGGATACAAATCTGTTATAGTTGATGGGGGTGAAGATGTAAATGTCAAAGAAGAAGATTATTTGCAACAACACCCAGAGGCTAAACCTATTATTGTCATAGATAGATATGAGGGTAAATCTGAAATTAATGGCTTCATTTACAAAGAGTTGGCAGATTGGGCTTCAATGTTAGTTCAGATGAATGTGGCCCATGTTATCTTCTTAACAGAAACCGTTTCCTCAAATCAACAGTTATCAGAATCCCTACCAAATCAAGTTTTCAAAACATTAGTGTTATCGGATGCTTCTAAGGAAAACTCTCGTAAATATGTGTTATCACAACTGCAGAGTTTTGTTGACAGTAAACAGAAATCTAAAGAAGACATTAAAATTACGGAAAATATCGAAGCTGAAAAATCAAAGATTACTGACCAAATAGATGATGCTCTAGAACCATTGGGTGGTAGAATGTTAGACCTTCAAGCATTTGTTAGAAGAGTCAAATCTGGAGAACAACCTACAGAAGCATTAGACAAAATGATCGAACAAGCTTCAGAACAAATAACACAAATATTTTTAAGCGATAAAGTAGATGGTATTAAGAGTGCTCAAGCCTGGGAACTGATAGAATTATTAAGTGCAAAGTCAGTTGTTTCTTATGATGATATAGTTTTCAAGCCATTATTTAAAGCCGCACCAGAACTAGGTATCGTTGAACTAGAAAACAGTGGATTAATAACAGTATCGAGAAATAGAGGTGTACTAGACAAAATACGTCCAGCTAAACCTCTTTACAAAGCTGCATTCTATTACTTAGTAAACAGTCAAGAATTATCTACTATTTTAAGAACTAGATACCTATTAAAAGTGATAACATTCGAAACAGGTAGAATCAAGAAGTGGGAAGACGAATTACGCCCATTAGGCAAATCTGGAGATCCTAAACTATTCAGGGGCAGATTTGAATATCTTTCAGGTAAGATTGAGACTAGTAATAAAGTAATTGTTGCATCTGAAGCAGAAATTAAGGCTTTATCTGAAAGGAAACAAAATCAAAAATAGCCCAGTAATTAGTCAAATTATGCAGAGAAAGGACTGAAAAAAGAATCAATCAAATAATGTCCATACACATACCTTCTTATTATGTTTTTAATCTATTTTAAATATCCAAATTTTTTATTATTCCATTGCGTATAAGTTGTATAAATTAATGAACCATTTAACTTAAGTAGAACGAAATGTTCACTGCCTCTTAAGAAAAGAATCAATACCAAAACAAAAATAGTGTGATTGGATTCTCAAGAATCAATAGAATCAGAACCGATCAAGGGTTGAGTTGGAATGAATCATCTTTAAATCCACTTCCATTGGCTGTCGATTACCTTTTAACAATGTAATTGATTATGGTTACTGAAAAATTATGTAACTATCGAATATAAAAATCCATCTATAAGTAAGAGAAGAGGTTATGAAATATATATATCGAGATAATAGGTTAACGAGGACACTGGATAGGACACTGGATAGGATACTGAATTGGAATACTAGTTGTTTCAGATCGGTTTATTTCACCACAATTACTCTTTTATTTGTTTAGTTTGATTAGAAACGTAGGATGCTTCGTGGGCTCAGTAGTTCAAGAATACTGGTTAACCAATGTTCTTCTTCTTTAAGGAGCCCAGTTGTGGTAAGAATTGCTTCATTATCATCAACAAGAACTTTAAATTGGAGGGTTTATAATAGTCGTTTGGTAGAACAGTCTAAAGATGTTGACAAGAAACCGATTTCTCTAACATCAGCTTCATTAAAAGCTGATCCGGCTAAAACTAATCTGAAGGTCAATAATAACACTATTAAAGAGCAGACTGCTGCCAAAGTATCGAAACAATCAGGACCAAAAGCTCCAACCATATCAGAATTGAAAATTATGAAAGATCTTTTAAAGTATATATGGCCCAAAGGTGATAATAAGGTTAAAATTAGAGTAATTTTAGCTTTAATGCTATTAATTGGTGCTAAAGTATTAAATATTCAGGTGCCCTTTTATTTTAAACAGATTATCGATTCCATGAATGTAGAATGGTCTGATCCAACTGTTGCTCTTCCTGCAGCTATTGGATTAACAATAATTACATATGGTGTGTCTAGATTTGGTGCTGTTTTATTTGGAGAATTAAGAAATGCAGTATTTGCAAAAGTTGCTCAAAGCGCCATCATGAATATATCTTTACAGACCTTTAAGCATTTAATGAAGCTAGATTTAGGTTGGCATTTAAGTAGACAAACCGGTGGTCTTACAAGAGCAATGGACAGGGGTACAAAGGGTATATCTTATGTTCTTGGTGCAATGATATTTCATATAATCCCGATAACTTTTGAAATATCAATGGTTTGCGGTATTCTTACGTATCAGTTTGGTGCTTCATTTGCAGGTATTACTTTTACAACAATGTTGTTATATGCAATTTTCACAATTAGAACTACTGCATGGAGAACAGAATTTAGACGTGCCGCTAATAGAGCAGATAACAAAGGTGCTAGTATTGCCCTAGATTCTTTAATAAACTTTGAAGCTGTAAAATACTTCAATAATGAACAATATTTGGCCAATAAATACTATTCTTCTTTGGTTGATTATAGAAATTCTCAAGTTAAAGTTGCACAGTCGTTAGCATTTTTGAACAGTGGTCAAAATTTAATATTCACATCTGCATTAACAGCAATCATGTACTTAGGTTGTACCGGTGTAATTGGTGGAAACTTAACTGTTGGTGACTTAGTTCTAATCAATCAGTTAGTATTCCAACTTTCTGTGCCATTAAATTTCTTAGGTAGTGTCTACCGTGAACTTAAACAGTCCCTGATTGATATGGAGTCATTGTTCAAATTAAGGAAGAACGAAATAAAAATCCAAAATGTGCATAGACCTCTAATGTTACCAAATGAGTTAACTCCTTTCGAGATTAAATTCGAGAACGTAACCTTCGGTTATGATAAGGAGAGGAAGATTTTAAAGAATGCAAGTTTCACTATTCCAGCAGGTTGGAAAACTGCAGTTGTAGGTCCATCTGGTAGTGGTAAGTCCACCATTTTGAAGCTAGTATTTAGATTTTATGATCCAGAGGAAGGTAGAATTCTGTTAAACGGTACTGATATTAAAGAAATTGATCTAGCTTCTTTAAGGAAAGTCATTGGTGTGGTCCCACAAGATACTCCATTATTCAATGACACAATATGGGAAAATGTAAAATTTGGGCGTATAGAGGCTACTGATAATGAAATTTTACAGGCTATTGAAAAAGCACAATTAGCACCATTAATCAAGAAATTACCAAAAGGTCGTGAAACCATAGTAGGAGAAAGAGGACTGATGATTAGTGGTGGAGAAAAGCAAAGATTAGCAATTGCCAGGGTATTATTAAAAAATTCTGGAATAATGTTTTTTGATGAAGCGACAAGTGCTTTAGATACCCACACAGAACAATCACTTTTAAGAACAATAAAGGAAAACTTTGACGGTTCATCCCGTACTAGCGTCTACATTGCCCATAGATTAAGAACAATTGCTGACGCTGACAAGATTATTGTCTTGAAAGACGGTCAAGTCGAAGAAGAAGGTACTCATAGACAACTAATAGCTAAAAAGGAATCCTTATATAGCGAACTATGGAATATCCAAGAGAATCTCGATCTATTGGAAAAAGAATTGGACGAGGAAGAACAAAAAGAAAAAACAACATAATCACTATTACCTTAAGCTAAAGGAAACAAAAATAATAATAGACATTGTATATAGTTAATAGTAAATACTTTTTCTTACAGCTTTTCCCTATTTCCTTAGTCCAAGTATGTTAATTGTTTTGTAGATGAGATGTATCCAGCATTTATTGAGGAAGCAAACGTCGAGAAAAAGAATGGAAATGAATGCATATTGAAAGAGAATATCATAATGAGGTATCACCCAAATATACTCAATGTTCAATTGACCAAAACTGCTAACCATTCAACTTTAATGAATATCATAATGAACAGTACTTCTTATTAGTAGTAAACAGGGCATACATCGAACAACACGTGACATGAGGTATACTTATATATCACGTGATACTCTATATATAATGAAAAAAAAATTTTTGTACCACGATGGGCCTTCTAAGGCTTTAAATATTAAGACAAGCAAGATAAGTTAATGATGAACAATGAAGAGGTCAAGTAAGGTCGATTGATTCTCAGGAAGCACATCAGGATTATTATTTTATTGGGATTGCTAGTACAGTTGTTTTTGGTTTATATTTTTAGGATAAATTCTGATTAAGAACTATAAAATAAAAAAAGAAGACAAATTTTGGTTAGGCTAGATTGAAATAAAATAAAAATATAAATAATTGCAGTTAACAAAAAAAATTGCTATAATAATATCAGTTTCTGAGTGTTTAATATGGAGATTTCTTCTAGTGAAAAAGTTCAAGATGAATTGAAATCTAATGGTGATGAGGTTACTGTCGCTGAAAAATTATCTACCACCACAGAGGCTGTAACTCAGGAAGATGTCTTACTGGATGATTCATTGACAGAAATGGATTTAAATAGCAATCGTTCCAAGAGAAGAAGATCTAGTGCAGGTGGGCCATTGCTGAAGACAACCAAGAGTGTCGCTGAGACTGGTGATGATACTATTAGGAAGAAGAAGAAGAATAACAAAGCTGTCACTCTACAGATTCAAGAAAAATCATTAGAAAGAAGGATTTCAATTAAAGATTTGAGAGATTTTACACTATACTTATTAAACTCAACAAACAATTCCCCAAAATGGATCCAAGTCAATAATAGAACAGGGATTAAAAAAATGATTGTTTTATTTGTTCCTGGGTTATTGCAATCTGATTATAATTTACCAAGTGGTGCTTCATTCCATGAAAATTATACAACTCTACAAAATGGAAACCTGGATGTATTGAAGGATGCCGAATTTGAAGATCAGCTTTTGAACTTCCCAGTTTCTGCTCCAGGTTCAAGAATTTCATTATTTTCTGCATACAATTCTTTTGTCAATGTTGGATTAACTAAAAAGGAAAAAGAAGATAGAAAGGCTGAACTATCTAAGAAAAAGATAACTATTAATGATATATTGATGGATATAAATGGTTTAATAGATAGTGATTATCCAATTCACTTTGAAACTGCCGGTATTACTGATGCTATGAAAAAAGAATTAACAGATTTACGCGTTAAAGAAGATGATCCAAGATGGGTTGATACTAAATCTTTTGATCATGATGGTTCACATATATTTGCATTGGATTGTGAAATGTGTATGTCAGAGGATGGATTAGTCCTAACTAGAATTAGTATTGTTAACTTTGATGGCGAGGTCATATATGATAAATTAGTTAAACCTGATGTACCAATTATCGATTACCTAACCAAATATAGTGGAATCACAGAAGAGAAATTGGCAGATGTAACGACCACATTGAAGGATGTTCAGAACGATATCCTTGGAATGATTAGTACAGAAGACGTTTTAATCGGCCATTCATTACAAAGCGATCTTTCTGTTTTGAAGTTAAGACATCCAAAGATTGTCGATACAGCATTGATTTTTGACCATAAAGCAGGGCCACCATTCAAGCCATCATTACGTTATTTAACATCTGAATACCTGAACAGAGACATTCAATGTAATGACGCAGCTGGCCACGACTCTATAGAAGATGCTAAAGCATGCTTAGAATTAACAAAAATGAAGATTGTTAATGGTTTGTTATTTGGAGCTGCTATAAATACAGAAAATTTATTTCACAGGTTAGCTAAAATCGGTACTAGATCATTGACATTGATAGATTCTGCTCCAAAACAACATGCAACTAAAACCGATGATTTAGAAATGACTATACGATGCTCTACAGATGATGAAATATTCGATAATGTAGTAAAGAATGTCGATGATTACGATATCTTGGTAGGAAGGTTAAGAGGACTAGAATTTGCTCGTGAATATGCAAAGCCATCAATTGGTAGAAACGTCGAAATCACTACTGAAGAAGCGGCTATGAAAACTGTTGGTGAAGGATTTAAGAAGATATACAATGCTTCTCCAAATGGAACTTTAATATTAATGTTATCAGGTAGCGGTGATACAAGAGAATGGAATAAGATTATGCAAGAACTCAACAAATTAAACAAGGAAGATAAAAACAGTGAAAAACAAAAAAGAGATGGAGAAATCCAAGATGCAGTCAGCAATGCAAGAGACGGTGTAGCAAGCATGGTACTAAAGCAAGATTTGACATCAAAGTCGGAGTGAGGTCTCTAGCAACTAATTTAGATAGATTTCCTCACAGTATATAATTTTAGCATTTAAAAATTCTATAAATTTACCAGCATTCTAAAGACAAACCAGATACATTTAAATAGAATTATTCTACCGTTTTTATAGTCTACCATGAAACCAATCATGAAGAATTTTGATTACTCTAGTTCATTCGTACCTTGGATGACTGCTCTAGTTCATGGTGGTTAATGTTACGCCTGTGTTATTGTCACAATGAACGAGGTGTGTTTTCAATATCAATATCGTTATTTAAAATTATTATTATTAAAGCTTTAAAAATGGATAGCATCGTTATAAGTTGACTTTTAAATACAATAAATCAATTAAATACAAGGAATAGGTCAGTGAACTAAGTCTATTCCAAAGGGCTTCTTGAATAATTTAAAGAGTTTTTATATATAAACTCTTTTTCAGGATGTCTTCCAAGGTTGAAAAGGGTAAAAAATCGAAGAAGAGTAAACCAAAGGGCACATCTCCTCAGACATCAGCTAAAGACTTAACTAATGAAGAACAGGCATATGATGCTATCTTTGAAGGTGATTTTGGTTCTTTAGAAATTGGTTCGTATATTGGAGGGGTTCATGAAGGTGCTACTGAGCATTTACCCGATGCTGTTGATTTTGAAGATGAAGATGAATTAGCTGATGAAGAGTTGCCAGAAGAAGAACCTGCTGATTTTAATCAGATTAATAGTATAGGTTTGGATTCTACTAGGGATGCAGATTTTACTGGAAATAATAATGAGATAAGAGATGCGTTTTTTGAAACTTCAGGAAATGAAGAATTTTTAGATGTTTTACCTCAAGAAGAAACAGATATGTTAGAACACAATATATCTACTGATGGATTCCAAGGTGGAAATAATGCTTTATTCATGGAAATTGATAATTCAAATGTAGGCTACATGGATCAAAACCAGCCTTATGGATCGTTTATGGAAGATGAAGTCCAAAAGGAAAGAGAACAACAGCAAAGTAAAATAGAAGCTGAGAAGTTGGCAAAAGAAGAAAAACAACTTCTGAAAAGTTATTTCCCGGAGTTTGAAAAGGGTAAAACCCTGAGATGGAACAAGTTACTATACCGTAAAAGAAGTCAATATCATTGGCAAAGAGAATTATTATTGGCAAATAGAGTTTTAAAACCATTAATACCTTTGAATCTAAAATTTCAAGTACAAACAGACCAAAGAAGAATTTTCAAAAGTTCAGATAGCATATGGCAGAATTCTTTAGTTTCAAGATTATCATCGGTTATGATGCCTCAAAAGGCAGCTAGAAAGGGTATTATAAATGTAAGTATCGATGAATTATATCCAGAAAAACATAAAGAGGAAAAGCAAGATCATGAAACTTATACATTATCAGAAGAATTACTAATAGCTACTGATGATTGGGATCCAGAACGCATTATTGGGGATTCTACAATTCAAGGATCTATCCGTCCTAAAGGTATAAGCGATATTGTCGAGGAAACAGCTAGAGATTGGGACTGGCAGGATGATGACCTAATCAATGCTCACATTCCTCAGGCAGAAGTAGCTGAACTAGATATGAATGACAATAATTTATTGTTGATACAAGATGAACAAGAAGATAGTTCTCAACAACAAATTCCATTAGCATTGAATGAAAAATCTCTGTTAGATAAGTTCAATATTTCAAATGACGAACAGTATAGCATTTTAATTAGAAAGCATCAAACAAAAGTTCGTGCTACTGTTTCTAACTTAAACATAGAACATTCTCAACCAGCCACCAGATTACAAACTCCATATTATAAAGTGAATGTCCCTCGACAACAATTAAGACATTTTCACAGGCCAAATTTTGGTTCAAGAATACGTCCTGGTACCAATATTGTTTTTAGTAAGTTGAAAACAAGAAAAAGAAGACGTGATAAAGGCAAAGATGTTAAAGAATCATTTGCTTCTTCCCAAGATTTGACCACTGGTGATACTGCACCTGTTTACTTGATGGAATACTCTGAAGAAACACCTATTGCTTTATCAAAGTTTGGTATGGCTAACAAGTTAATAAATTACTATAGAAAAATGCATGAACAAGATACTACACGTCCGAAATTACCAGTAGGGGAGACTCATGTTCTTGGTGTCCAAGATAAATCTCCATTTTGGAATTTTGGTTTTGTCGAGCCAGGTCATATTGTTCCAACCTTATACAATAATATGATAAGAGCGCCTGTTTTCAAACACGATGTTCCAGGTACAGATTTCCTTATTATCAGAAGCTCTGGTTGTGGTACAAGTAATAGATTTTTTTTGAGACCAATAAACCATTTATTTGCAGTAGGTCAAACCTTTCCTGTGGATGAAATTCCAGGCCCAAATTCCAGAAAAGTTACTTCAATGCGTATGACTAGACTTCGTATGATTGTTTATCGTATATTGAATAAAACTCCAAGCAAAGCTATTTCTCTAGACCCAATTGCACGCCACTTTCCAGATCAAGATTACGGTCAAAGTAGACAAAAGGTAAAAGAATTTATGAAATATCAGAGAGATGGTACAGAAAAAGGGTTATGGAAATTAAAAGATGGTGAGCCATTATTAGATAATGAAAATACCAAGAAATTAATTACTCCAGAACAAGTTGCTGAAGTCGAATCAATGAATAGTGGGATCATTTACAAAGAAGATAATGATTTATTTAATTTTGATGAAAAGTTAGTTAAACTAGAAGAGAATTTGTTACCATGGAATATAGCTAGGAATTTCATTAATGCAACCCAAATGAGAGCCATGATTCAAATACATGGTGTTGGTGATCCAACTGGTATTGGCGAAGGTTTTTCGTTCTTGAAGACTTCAATGAAAGGTGGGTTTTTAAAAGGTGGAATGAGCAATGAAATGAAATCTTCCTCAACTGCATCTTTTTCATCCGGTCACACTTATAATGTGGCACAACAACAAAAGATTTATGCGGAGGAGATAAGGAAGAAATGGTATACAAATGCCAAGAGTTTAACTATCACAAATCCATTTGAAGAAATGAATGATCCAAATGAAGTCAATCAAAGTAATAGAAATGTCCGTGTTCATAGAGATGATAAGAAAGTCTTGAAGATTGTCAGAAAAAAGAGAGATGAAAATGGCGTTATCCAAAGACAAACAGTCATTATCAAGGACCCACGTATTATAAAAGGCTATTTGAAGGGTAAAGAATTAAGAACTCAGGCAAAACTGGATGTAAATACGATATTAAAAGAAGATATATTGAAAGTGGATAGCATTGAAAACATCGAATTACAGAAGAAATTATTACAAAACGAATTAGCAAACTTAGAAAAATCTCAACAAAGGCGTGTTGCTAGACAAAACAAAGATAAAATGGAATCTGGACCAGATGGTACCAAACCTGGTGGTAAAGGTCGTAAACGTAGATGTGCTACATGTGGCCAGGTAGGCCATATTAGAACAAACAAATCTTGTCCAATGTACAATGGCGCAGACTTGGCTGCTGGTAGTAGCACGCAATCTTTACCTACAAAACCACCAACAACCAACAATAACTAACTTTAAAACAACTGATAAAAAGCATTTAAATATTTAATTTTTGATTCGGATTTAAACCCAAATCAAATGGATCAAGTTTGTATTATATTATATAATTATATCTTTAAGCATTATTTTTTTTTCCTACGGAGTATTGTTAAAATTGAAATTTTTCACCAAGCTCATCGCTAAAATAATTCAAGAATTTAAGAAATGTATATATATATATATTTAAACTGATATAGTCAATACTACATTAAAGTTTGCATTCTAAGGTACCTGAATATCGAATTATTTTTGGCATAAAGACAGTAGACAAGATGGCTGGTTATAAGACTAATAGAAGAACAAAGAATGCAGGTTCATCTCTTGAAATGTCACATTTCATTGATGCCGGTGCTAATAAGATTAAAAGTAAAATTAGAGATATTGAAAGATTATTAAAAAAGAAGAGAGATACACTACCTGATACCGTTATAATTGAAAAGGAAAGAACCTTAGATGCTTTGAAATTAGAATTAGAGAATGCTAAAGTAAGGCAGGTAATCAAAAAAAATGCTAAAAAGTATCATATGGTAAGATTCTTTGAAAGAAAGAAGGCATTAAGAAGATATAAGCAAGCAGTCAAGGATCTTGAAGATAAACCTGAAAACAAAAAGTACATTAAGAACCTAGAGAAGTCCAAGATTGATTTATGTTACGTTGTTAATTTTCCAAAGACTGAAAAATATATTTCATTGTACCCAGTTAATGAAGAAGAAAATAGTGAGCATGATGCTGATTCTAATTTGGAACAAACAAAATTAAGAAGAGAAGCCTTCTTAAAATTAGTTGAACAACAATATAAGGAGAACACTTTGCCAGTTTCATTACAGAAAATATTACAAGGTAAGAAACTGGAGAAAGAAAATACTGGTGTTACTTTGAATAAACCAAATAGCAAATCAGAGGATGCTATTGTTCGTCATGCCCACCAAGAGGAAGAAGACGAAGAAGATGATTTCTTTGAATAATAAATAGTAGACGTGCATTTTTAATTTAATATTTAATCTTATTATATGTAGAACAAAGTATAGACCAATATATCTTAATTACAATTGATACTAATAATTGTCTTGAGTATATATAAAATAAACTAATCTAAATCTCAATTCATATTACATTTTTTTAAGGTGTATTTGAAATACATCTCAACTATTTAATTTATAGCTTTATAAAATCTTTGATATTCTGAATAGTGGATGATTTATCCCACTTTAGACGATCGTGCCAAATAATATTAACAATTTGCGTGTATAATTCTTCTAATTGAGAAACTGTCGCATAATTTGTTTTACTTTGCAGGTGTTCTAATAATTCGTTAAATGCTGTTTCATCTATTGTTATCTCTCTTTCATCCACCATCTCGTCTAAAATTGGATCATCAGTATTTTCTAAGTTACTTTTTACAGTCGAATCCTCAGTTTTGTTAAAGACAGAATCTTTAGTTTTATTTAGTGATTCATCAATCGGTTTATCGAAGGATTTTGTTTCTCCACTATTTGGAATTGTTGAGTCAAAGATGGCACATTCATCTGGATTTTTGTCCTTCATTTCAATGTCAGGGACTACAGAAGGCTCAAAATGAGTTGTTAAATTGATTCCATTTTCGACTACAGTGCCTTCTAATGTATTCGTTTCATTAGCAATACTGGCAGTACTATTAGGTGGAATTAATTGCAACTGAGCTTGGAGTTGGTTACCCGAACCAACACCTAAACTTTGAACATTAGAAACTTCACTACCATCTTGAGGCTGTATAACATTTTCAAATGTCTCACTTTCTCCTATTACTGCAGTAACATTAGTCGATTCTGTATTGTTTAATTGTGCTGCTAAATTTTTTTGTTCATCCTTTAAAAATAATTGTTGTCTTTGTATATCACGTTTTCTAGTGGCTTTACATTCATCAATCAATTCTTTTGTGGATAAATCTTCGATACCCATTTGTGCATTAGCAAACATTTCGGACGCTTTAATTATTCTTTCTCTATCACCAGTGGTGTTAGCATCATGGTAAATTAATTCAATATCTTTTAAAAATTGTTTAGGTTCTGAATAATAACCGTTCCATAAACGTTCTTCTACAATATCTAGATCCATATTATGGAATCTACGACCAGTCGATACTTCTAAGATCATATTATCATCCTTAACATAAGCAGGTAACCAATTAGGATCATTTACTGGTTGCGGTTCAAACAAATGAACTAAAAATGCATCATCGATAGGGGGTTTCTTAAACCTTTTATATCTATTTTTGAATAAATCCATTAAACCTGAAAGCTTAATCTTCAATACATTTTTAAGTCTCATATCCTGATATTGGTATTCTTTTAACTTTCTTCTAAGAGCCTCCTCAGGAGACAATATATTCCCATTTTCATCGACGTTTGATGTTTCTGAACCACCTTCAATTGGTGGTAGAACAGGTAATGGCTTTCTTCTCTTCTTTTTAACTTCAAATAATGTTGGCTTATTTTTTAACAAAGGTAAAAGTGTATGAAAATAAGCTTCTTTCTGTTCTTTAGTGGGTAGATCAATATTACATATACTCTTTGAAAAGTTTAATGGTGCCAATTCTTGAGTCGTAATCTCATCAGTATCTCCACATTCTGCTAAACCTAATAATAAAACCTTTTCATTTCCTTGTAGAGATCTAAACAATGTCGACAGTAATAGAATAACGTTGGCAGGGACAGACTTGGCCCAAATATCAATATTGGGAATGTAGACAATCGATGGTTGTCTTTTACGGGCTTCGATAAATGATTGAACAACAGCTGACTCAATACTTCGACTACTATCAGAAACTAAGGAAGCTAGATCTAACTTCTGAACATTAAATTTCTCCAATATGTTCAATATGGCAGAACCAATATACTGTTGACCATTTCCAAATTCACCTGACACCAGCAGTTTAGGCTGACAAATACGCAAATTAGTAACTTTATTTATTAAAGAATGTTTTGCAAAGCCAGATATACCAGAATGACTATCATTATCATCAGAGTCGTAATCTTCGTAATCAATAAATTGTTGAATCATTGACTGTGATCTATCAAATTGCGAATCAGATTTAGGTAATATCTTATCTAATGTTAACTTAATCTTTTCTAGTTGTATGTCCAACAATGGTTTAACAGCTTCAGGTAACGGCTGAGCAACACTACCCGTCGATCTTGCAGAAGAAGGAACAATTTTTTCCAATGCTAGCATAAAGTCACCGTATGAGACTCGTATTTTAGTTGGATCCACCATTAATTTCTGTTCACTTTTATATATTTGCGGAAACTTCCTTTGAATACTAATCAATGCTGCTTCTGTGCATAATGATCTCAAATCTGCACCACCATAACCTTTAGTCAATCTAGCTAAATCATCAATTAATTTCTTATTTGGTGGTGGATTCCACTTTTTAGTATGTATACCCAAAATTATAGAACGAGCTTTAACATCAGGTAATGGAAAGTAGAATTCTCTATCAAATCTACCGGGTCTTCTTAGAGCAGGATCTACTGCATCTGGTCTATTTGTAGCACCAATAACAATTACTTGACCTCTGTTGTCCATACCATCCATTAAAGCTAACATTGTTGAAACAATACTTGAATGAATTTGCTCTTGTTTTGAGCTTCTAACAGGTGCTAACCCATCAATTTCATCAAAAAATATAATAGATGGCTGTTGCTTCTTTGCTTCTTCAAACAACAAACGCAATTGTCTCTCAGCTTCACCAACCCATTTGGACAAAATATCAGCACCTTTTCTCATAAAGAACGTGATTTTTCTATTACCAGTTGAACAACTTGCTGCAAGAGCCCTTGCCATCAACGTTTTACCTGTACCAGGAGGACCATGAAATAATACACCACGGGGAGGAGTGATGTTAAAATTTTGATATACTTCTGGATAAAGAAGAGGTAGTGTAACCATTTCCTTTAATTGATCAATATAATTATCAAGACCACCAACTTCTTCAAAGTTTATATCCATATCTACACCAAGTGGATCAAGATCAGCAATTTCAGGCTTCTTCTTTTTCTTCTTTGCATTAGCTGGTTTTGCCTTTGGAGTAGCACCTAATGGTAATATTTCATCTTCTGATGAATCAGAATCTATTAATCTTTTATTGTTGGTACCCGCAGACTCATTCAATGACAAAAACTTACCAGCGTTATCTTGATTATAGAAATTTGTATTCCTACCAAAGATAGTAGTGACGTCATTACCACCAAATGGCCCTCCAGTTGGAAATAATCTTCTTGCTGGTCCCATGTTTTGATTCGTATTGGCACCTCTACCTCTACGAGGAGAAGGATGATAAGCTGCAATTGGTTGTTCGACACTCAAGAAGGGATCTTGGTTTGCATCCAATAAAGGTGGAGGTATAGTGTAATTCACCGGTTTAGTTCTTTCACGTAATGATCTTTTTTCATTTATTGGACTATCTTCTTGTAGCTCTCTAATTTCATCTTGTAAGGTCATTGCTTCTCTATTTTTACCATTTGCGTCGAATTCATCTTCAGAAATGAACGCTGATCTTGTTCTTCGCCTCAAGTTTCTTGTAGGGGTAGTTGTAGTTTCAGAACGCAACCTCCTGCTGCTACGAATTGCTCTAGTATTTGAAGAATTAGCTTTAGTTCTGCGTCTTCCACTATAATCGTAAAATTCTTCTTCATCTTCATCGGCTTCTATGTCATCATCAGGATCTGGTACAACAAAGTTAGTATCTTGTTTGCGTCGTGTATAATTCTTATGTTTGTTAGAATTACCTGCGTAATCCTCATCTGCATAATCATCTTCTTCTACATCATCGTCATCATCAAAACTATCGACGGCATCCTCGTGGAAACTCTCATCATCTTCAGCTAAATCTTGACGTCTTCTTGACCTTGACCTTGTATCAACAGGTTCATCAGCAGCAACCTCGACCCTAGTACCTCTTGATTTTCTCACTGGGATTTGATCATCATCTTCGTCATCGTCATAATTATCAACATTATTATTATTGTTATTATTATCATCATTATTTATATCATTGATATTGGCGTTGGTATTGCTATCAATTGCAACACCAGCATCTTCACCATAAGGTATTTCAAATTTAGGCTGTTGTTCTTCCATGATATTTTCCTTCTCATCATCATCCAAATAATCTAAACCTTCTTCAATTTCAGCATAGTTTATTCTCTTCATGGACCTTGTAGTGGTATGGATGATACCTTTTTCATCTGTAAATTCAGAAGCTTCATCGCCATTATAATTGGCAGTCTCATTCCTCAGATGACGTCCCATTGTTCAATAAAAAGAAAACTGTACTTGGCAAGATCCTCAATTAGTGTAACTTCTCTAAAAATTTGAATCAGTCACTTATTTAATTTTTTTTCTCTCTCTTTCTGATTGATTTAAACTAGTATTACCCAAATCCGAACCTTCTAAAAGAGCTTCTAAACACAGCAAAAGAACGTATCTCAACAATACCAATCTAAATCACAAATTACCGATCACAAGATTCAACTTCGAACCGTTGTATATACCCTTCTTCCTTCAATATCAAATATCAAATATGTATCAGAATAGCTTAAAATGTTTCAATTTTAACCTTTCTTATTTAGAACTTTTTCTCTTAATGAACTTTTCCAATTGTTAACGCGTAACACTTTAAAAGAGAAGAAATTAGTTGGTCGTATTTCATGATGAAATTAGCATTCGTATTTAACATACGCGTAAAATGCTATCGTGACAATGAGATGACTTACGTATTAATGGTCTAGTGTGAGTTTATACTGAACATTTTAGTATCGGTTTCTGTTAATAGTGGTATTATGTATATAGATATGGTATCCTTTGTCCAGTCCGATTCAAACTTATCAATTCCGAGCTCAGAACTGGTCAGTTTCATTGTAGATACTTGTGTCATGGTTTTAAAGATTGAATCCAAAAAGACATCGATCTTAAATACTTAAAAATTGTTAGTAGACAATGCGATGTGATTAGAGATTTCCCTCTCCCATTTCATTGAACGGGTTTTTCTTCCCAATTAGATAATCTACATTTTGAGTATATAGCTTAGATCGTTGCTCAAGTCATCTTCCCCTTCCTTCCCCATCCGGCACTCACTGCTTTGAGTAAACCATTGCAAAAGGAGTAACTATTGTTTTCCAACTTATCTTGTCACAAGGGTAACATACAAATATATATATATATATATATATGTATACGGTGTATTGTTTTGTTGTTGTTACTGATGGGAATATTATCTGCCCGGTATTAGCCACATCACAAGCTTAGGCCGTTGTATTGGTTCAGTAATGTCCACTATTGTAGAAAATTACGAACTGAAGATTGTCAAACCAACACAGATGGACTAGCTAATTTATTTACAATCTTAAATTTACGTTCCTTCACGTGTTACATCTTTAACAGATGACAAATATCGTATAGTAACAAGTCTTAACCCAAGTAAGGTGTGCAAGAGAGGAGTTAATCGATTTCCATTTTGAGTTCGAAATATAGTACAAAACCATAATCTGCTACTTCCCAGTCTGGAATGATTCCACTTGTTGCCTTGTTCACTCTGGATTTATTGGTTAATATATAGGCGTCTCAGCAAAAATACAGTATGTAAAGGTTCCTTGAGTTACCCGACCTTCCGAGAGGTCATAGCAAGAGGCTTAGATTACGTATGGGGGATAGTCCTTGGCAACAAGTAGAAGAAGAAACTCATCGAAGGATAGATATATAAAGAAGAATAGTTCCTTGATTTGAGATATATTTACCTTTTTTTAATACAAAGTATATTTATACTAGATTACTATTAATACGTTTAACAAGACTATCAAGTTGGTTCCAGAGCAAAAGAATTGATATTATCAAATGAGCAGAGATTCTCAAGACGAGTCATTACCCAGTTATGATGATGTCTTAAAACAAGATAGTTTAAAGTCCAATAGTCCAGTTTCACAAGAAAGACCTCCAAAACCTCCAGCTAGGCCGAAGAATAAACCTTCAAAAAGCTCAAGTTCAACTAGCAGACCCCCAGCATCCTCGTATCCTAGACCTTTGACTTCAACGAAACCAACATCTGCACCTTTAAATAATAGTGGAAGGCCACCAGCTAATGGGTTACCTTGGGTTTATCCTAGTAATTACTACTGTCAGAAGTGTGGTAATACAGGTTACAAGTTTAAGAATGGGAGGTCTTGTAAGACATGTTGGAGAAGGTTTGCCCCTTCAAATAACGTAAATCCGACATATACAAATGCATCTTCCAAATATGGGAATTCTTCATTTTATCGTCCAGCTTATCAAACAACACAGGTTAGTGGCTATCAACCAGCTTTAGCAGGACAAGCACGTCCCTTAATGGTAAGGCCTGGTGACCCAAGATTAGGTGGTGTTGTTTGTGGTGAATGCAGAGGTTCGGGACGTATAAGGTTCTTCTTAGATGAAGATCTATGCCCATTATGTGGGGGGATTGGAAGAATTGTACCAAATAATGGTGCTAGAGTTACTTATTAACATCACATTTATTGACTACTTCAATTAAGTTATGAAATTTTTTCTTTTGAGTATTTTTGCAACAGCAAACTGGTGCTAGTTGCGTGTACATTTATACATTTGTTCTAGCTGTTTGTTTATTATAATTATTTCGAGATGTAAGGATAATAATTCCTTTATCAATATTTTTTTGTTACAATAAAAATAATTGGAACCAAATAATATATATAAATAAATAAATAAATATATATAACTAATTTTAATGAATAATTTAATGATATAATATCGAATTTGGAAAGCTCTTGATAATTTGAACAAAATATGGGACATTGTATGACTGACAACTTTCTTTAATGATATCACGACTTTAATGGAAGTGTATAAACTAAAATAAATAATAAAAAAAATTAAAATCCGTTTGTTAACCAATACTTATAAAATATTATAAAATATTACAAAATATTTATTAAAAAATATGATAGTTACATGGGCTTGCTATCTAACCAAACTGCTCTTGAAACCAAATAGAGTTTATTATGGTTTTTGAACAAGATAGAACACATATAATTTTTCATCGTAAAACCGTTTTCATAAATAGTCTACATGTAATTGTTCTTCATTTATAGATAAAGTTGTAGACTATAATCATTAATCATCATTTTCATCATCATGTTCTAATCCAAGTTGAAATGTTGCCTTTTTGGTAAAACTATTACTGGAAGATGGAGCAGTCGATGGGGGTGAATTTCCAAATATCATTGATTTAAATATTTCACTGCCTTCATGATCTAAGTTATTAGAATGTAATCTCATAAGACTTGCAGAAGATGAAGGGTTAGAAAGCGATCTGGGTGAAGAATCGCCTAAGGTAGGTCTTGCTTCTGGATTAGTACTATAACACCCATTCATTAGTGAAACAGCTGGAGGCTTAGGGTCCAGTGTGAATGTCGAGTTTTGATTGAATTTTTGAATTGGGCTATGTAGAGGTGTTAGACTTGTTAGCATTAGTGAGTTACCTCTTGAAATAGCTTGTTTTCTTCTTTGTTGATGATCAACATAGTGTGGAATATTTAAAAGGGAAGTGCTTCCCTGCTTCGTTAGAGAAGTTGAAGCTTTTGTGCTGCTTAAATCATGTAAAGACGTTAGAGAGGAAGACGATGTAGACTTCACTGGAGATTTCAGGGAATGTATCGAAGTTACAGAAGACTTTTTCTTTTCTAACCCATTGATATTTTCAATTTCATCATTCATCTCGAATGTAACTTTAGAAGTATCAGTCTTAGTACTAGGGAAATATTCGCTTATAAATGGATGGTATCTTAGCATTGAGCTGGTTGGACGATTCTTGGAATCAATTGTGAAGCATGATCTTATGAAACTCCAAAATTCAGATAATGCACTATCATTAACAGAATCTTCATCAGAGTAATAGTCCGCCTTTATTATGCACTCTAAAGTCTCTTCATCATTATCACAATCAAAAGGAGTATAACCAAAATTCATGAAATAAGTTAAAACACCTAGAGACCAGATGTCAACTGGAGCTCCATATTTTTCTATTTTATCCAGTTCACCTAGGGATAGCTTCGACACGTCTTTACATTTTACAATTTCAGGAGCAATGTATGATATTGTTCCAACGTATTCCCTGAATGTATTTTCAGAAGCAGAGTTCAAATATGTCGCCAAACCAAAATCACCCAAGATTAAATCATGGGCACTATAGTCATTGATATTTAGAACTTCTGAATCATTTTTCAATCTAAATAAAACATTTTCAGCTTTCAAATCACGATGGACAATACCATTAGAATGTAAGAAATGTAGAACGCTTAACATACAAGCAGTAAACGATTTGACATGTTTTTCTAATTCTAAAGAAGTATTTGACAGTATTAATTCATAAAGATCACCTTTTGCACATAATTGAGTTATTAATACGATATCTTGGGAAGTTTGGAAGAAATCCAAAAGCTGCAAAATATGATGATGCCCTGTAAAAGTATCTCTGTTGTGAGAATTATCACCATAATTAATTGAGGATTCCAATGATCTTGTTCTTTCTGCTAAGAATCTCAATAAGTTAATTTCGCTTGATACTAAACGCAATTTATCTTTAATAGTTCTCTTTGAAATTAGCTTCATTGCATAAAGGTTTTTGGTGATTAGATTTTGACATGTCTTTACAGTACTAAAATTCCCATCACCTAATTCACCATTTTCATTGATGACATATTTACATTTCGAAGCTACTCTTTTATTAGAAACATGGTCCTCATTATGAGGGTCACTTTGATCGTTTCCGATATCATTATTGTAACTGTGATAATCTGGCCAGATTATATTAATATTTGAAATAGTTCTCTTGACAACCATTATTGATAGTTTCCTTTTGAAAAACTATACTAATATATATATATATCTTTCCAATACCTTGTAAAGTTGGCTTCTTTCGAAAGAAACACGCTGCCAAGGGTCCCAAGTTTAATTGAAATGTACAGGATAAGGATTATTCCTTAGTATTTGTCAATGAACTTAAATAATCTTAAATTAATATCAAGAGAATATTGGAATGATTAATATCAAGTCTTTGGAATTTTGCTTTTATACAAGAATGAGATGATAAATAATAAGGACAATAAATAATAGTCGAAATTCATCCCAATAAAAAGAAAAAAATATAGAAACTCTCCATGGTGGGGTGAGAACGGGTCAAGGATCCTGAAATTAAATTTATTTGATTAAAACTTAGCAAGATATCTCAAAATATAAAAGTAATACGAGGAATTCCAACACAATTAATTAATCTGACCTTCCTTTATTAAAGTTGTTCTCAGCTTCCTCCCTGTCCATTTTCGAAATAAAAATATTTATTAAGAAATATCTCAGATTAAAAAAGTGAGGGCAAAGCACTCAATGAAATGGAAGGATAAAATACGGAGGGAGAACCGGCATTGATGGGCTTTAAAATAACTAAATCCCATTAATAATAAGATTATAGCAAACCAAGGAGAAGAGAATATCGGATAATTCTCACCCTTTCAAAAGTGGAAATTCGAACTTAAACAACAGGTTCAGGCAATTTCGAAACTGCAATTTTGATAAAAATTTCAGAGGGATATGTATAGAAAGGGAAAGCGATGAAAATTTGAAATGGTTAGAGTAAAAAAAGCACTGTATAAATGGGTATACAAATCACATACTTGTACCGTCTTAGCTAGTAGGGCACACACTTCCTTTGTTTTTACGAAGCTTTTTAATCTACATCTCTTGATTAACAAGTTGGAGCAGCTCAAAAGGTCTAGTGTTGTATATTGATAACTACGTTATTATACATGACGTATTTGTAAGTATTAGAAATTTAGTACATATCTGCATTGAATGTTAGTTGAAGCAGATTAAAGCAACGGGGTAGGGAGATTGAAGTAAATACTCGTTAATTTATTGTTGTTTTGGTCGTGCAAGAATATTTAATAATATGTTTTTTTTAATTAGCCTGATAAACAGTGATCCGGCTAGTATGAATTGTAGGCTTGTTTGAGAATGGTTCCGTACAGTTTTTAAAATATAATTTTTTTAGCTGAATCCGTGGGATTGATTAATTGATTGATCGATCGATATTTTATTTATCTATTTAGTTCATTGAGATGTCAACTCCAATGTTGGTCAAAACGTAGTAGAGACACGAAAGCAATTGAATGCAACTAGTACTCGTTGCAACCAGAATACTTTTCCTACCGTGATTCATACAGGTGTAAGCCAGAATCGTTTTAGTCAGTTAGTTTTTTGCTAACTGTAGATGATATGTGGTAAGGATGGTATTTCGGATAAACTAGTTTTAATTTTTGTAAATTTTTTGTAGTTTGAAATAACGGAAAAAAATAAAGAAAGGGCAAACAGCAATGAAATAAGACATTGACTGTTGCAGTTTTATTTACCCGTTTTTTCTAGATGTTACTGATAATTCGCTTGCTATTATATATTTTTTGGCGATTTAAAAATTTGCTACGTTTTAACTACTGCTACCACAATTTAGTAATTTCTTTTTTCTTTTTTCTTTTTTTTTTGACGTTTTCGGAATAATTATGAATGGGAAAAACTATTATTAGTTAATGTAAGGATTATATGACGTATAGTTTTTCCGAAATCCAAGATTAATTATTTCCGCTGTCAATGGTATGGAATAGAATGGATATGTTTATGGCTTGTTATACCTGATTATTACGCTTTACATATTATGACTAGTGATTCCCTTTAAGTTTTACTTCCACATACTCAAAATCTCTCTTTAGGATCTGGTACTGACTAAAATTATAAAACAAGAATGGCATGTCATTGGTATGCATTGGGCTTACCAAAAATGTGGTGCTTGGCCACACCACTGTTTATTCTTGGACTTTTACTTTAATGAGGATTAATATTTGATTAATTATAATTTCATTAGATAGATTAATTAATTAATTATTAAATAAGGATAAATGATATAATTGCAAAAACACTTATAAGAACAGATTATGAGAAAAAAAAACTGGATGGAAGTACCAATGATGGATAGGTTTTAGTTTGGGATTGAAAAGTATGGTATGGTACAGACGGGTTGTGGTGGGTGTTTGAGTGATAATTAAGAAACAGTGGTATTTTCTTAATTCAATTAGTTTAAAATTATTATAATACATTCAACATCTATTGCGATGTTGGATTGAATGGGCAAGTAGGCACGTATTGCTACAATGAAAAGTATCTAGCTAATTCGGGAATTGGAGTTGAGAAAAATGATGTTTCACTATTGATATTATAAGTATCCTTTTCTACATGCAATGTTGCAATGATACAATTATCAGTAATTTCATAAGGAATATTATTTTTAACTTGAGCGATTTCATCTTCACAATTCCATCCCTTTGGATCATCTTCCGAAATTTTTCTGGGTAAGACAAACTTACCAGGTTCAATCTTTAAGATATTTTGGATGTATTCAGTTGCAATAACATTTTCTGCAGGTATTAAATCACCCCAATTTCTCTTGTTATAGAACCCTGTGTTAGTTCTTTTAACTCCATTATCCAAAGCGTCAACATCAAAGAGTGGGACGACATCTTGAGCGGTATCGCCATCAAATTTCAAAGGTTTATTTGCTTTCTTTTGTAAAGCAATAGCAGAACCATTCGATACTGGTGCATTAACTATGGCACTACTTACAACGTTAAACATTAATCTCCAGTCATGAACAGCATCATTTTTAACACTGAATTCAGTACCGTATAATCTACCAACGAAACCTAAATGAGCATCACCACTCACTAAACTTACTCTAACGGAATTTCTTTTTGCAAAATGTTGTAAACGTCTTAAAAATCTATTTCTTTCTTTCCAATGATTAAATGCCACCCATTGATCTTTAATATTTGATAAAATTTCCAACTCACCACTTGCTTTATTAGTTAAATCTTTGCCGTATAAACCTCTTTTACTAAACCATTTTAGAGTTGATGCCAATGGAGCGCCAAAAATCCATAGCAACCAAATTAATCTTGGGTATGCCACCGGTACACCAAGAACGACGTATAAATGAGTAAATGGCATTGATTGAAATTCAGTGGTTAATCTATTGAAGAAGACGTCATAAGTGCTTTCATGAAGAACGTGTCCAATCGTTCTTTCTGTACGACAATCGGCACTTAATAAAGCGATATCAGGACCTAATCTTGTAAATATAGAATGAGATAACTGTTGAACATAAGGACCAGGAGTTACCCCTAATACCCATTGTTCATCTGATAAGAAATCTACTGGATTAGTGATATTAACATGATGTTGAAATAACATATAATATTTGAAAGAAATTTGACCTAAATTTGAAAAGACGTTGGTCTTTTGGAACCAATTTGGATAAGAACCAAAACCGTCAATGGTATCATGATCGTCCCACATGTTCACCGAAGGGATTGTAGCTAGAGTGATTGGGAAACAACCTTGAGTAGTTTGTGAATTTGGGGTATTCCCTATCCAGTAACCGTAGCCGAACCATTCTATATAATTTAATAGAAAGAATTCATCAATTTGTTGTAATTCGGCGGCTGTTAGAATTTTATTTCTCTTTTGTATTGGATCCATTGCCCACCATTGCTGCACAGGTGGACAATTATACCTCACCATATCTGAATAAATTTGATCACCTAAACCTAACATCTGATTATAATGGATTTTACTATGTTTGTTTAACATATCAAACCATAAAGAACCATGAAACTTTTGTGTGTTAACATTTGGAGAATAACCATTACAAGAAAAAATGGCAGTATTTGAATTTGTAGTCTTTGAAGGTACAAAGAATCTCCAATTTGGTTGAGTTAAGGTATCTAAAGTGTATCTGATCATTACATCGTCGTTAGGTAATGGGTAATCCAAATCATAACGATAGAATTGGTAAACATCAGCACCAATATTGCCAGTAAATATTAAAGTTGCAGGTAAGAATCCGGTGGTTAAGAGGAAAGGCAAACTAGTGAATTCCGCTGGTCCAGAGAACCATTCAAAAACTGGAGCAGGTAAAATGACTTGATTTTTAACACAAAGTAATATCGAGACACGATATAACATTGTGTTATAGTTGATATCTTTCAATCTTAGTACGGGACCTACAACTAACCCTACAGGAGGGATAGGTGGTACTGCCGGGGCAGTAGTACTGTCCAAGACTAAAGCTTGGTACAAAAGTTTAGTATCCCAATCATCGAACCAATTTGCAACTGTGATAGACATTTTGAGTTAACGTAATAATTATTTTTTAATTAGTATTTTTGGTATAATCAAAAAAAATTAAAAAAAAAAGGTTAAAAAATTAAAAAAACTGTTATTATTATATAAATATCTATATGAGTATATATATATATAAGTTAATATATATATATATGGCTTCTATCGTAGTTACTTTGAATTGAATTATGGAAAAGTGACAGGAAGAGGAATAACGCAAATCGGGAAAGTATTGTATAAGATGAAACAAAAAACCACGACTTGAAGAGAGAAAGAACTTCTTTTTATATAGTTGGGAGAGAGTGGAGATATCTGATGGTAAAAAGATAGTTCTTGTTTGGTGTAAGATTTTGTGACTGAGCTCGTGCTCGTGCTTTATTTGTTTCCAAATTTTGTGGTATTTCTATTTTATTCTCTTTTTTTATTGTTTAGTCAAAACCAATTTTGTGTCTTTTGTAATTCCATATCAACAACAAGACACAAAAACCTGTCTCCTTTTTCAATTTTATGAGAACTGGAAATAAAAGAAATAAGAAATTAGGGGAGTTGTTGTTGTCGTTGGGGAAGAAGAAGAGGAGAGAAGAGAAGAGGAGAGAAGCCAGAACTTGTTTCTCATCTGTCGAATCTCTTTCCTGGTTGTCTCATCGTACAAGGACACGTCCACCAAATCAAACACCGACGACACAGTAGAAAATGGTGGGATTGGACTGATTTAACCAGAGCTGATTTGAATTGAATTGAATTAAACTGAAACAAAGCTTAGATATGATATGATATAATATACTATACCATACCATACCATACCATACTGTGCTTCGCTATGCTATGCTATGATATATCATGCTGAACTGAGATCAGATGTCATCATGAACTTGTCAAAGTTTGTTACATGTCACCATGGAAAAGAACAATTTTCAAATACTCCGGGGAAGACTCGGTTTTGGTTTTGTCGTTTAAGAACTGGAAAAAGGGTCCCTGATTAGGTATGTTAACAATTTGTGTCTGTGTCTTTGTCCCTATTTAATTACAAATCGAGAATCAAATGGAGAGATCGGCGGCGTCACACTTTTTTATGTGCCGCTTTGATTAATCTTGAAAGCATGCGTCCTTGCATCCCTGCGCGTATCCCCGTATGCGGACGGACCTCTCTTTGTTTTTTACAGAGGGGTACTCACAGTGTGGTAGCGCCCAGTTTCTTAAAATAAGAATTGTCACATTCGTCCTGTCCTGTCCCGTTCTGTTCCCTCTCTGAATTCTTGGACACAGTAACACAGCGGATAATATTTCTCTTATCTCATTGCGCTCACTTCTCTGTGCGTGTTCTCTGTCATGTGCTGTGCTTTTCAAGAACCGTCGTCATAATAGAAACAAACTCTTTTTTGATGTGTTGTGGTCAACCATACCACTAAAAACCATTGTTTACATCCCTGCCTCCCATACCATTCTTTCCTCTTTCATAAAAGGAACACATTACGCCACCTATTGCCATAACTCTCACACACTTGGATTTCTCTTATTTTGCATTGCTTTTATTCCATTTTACCAGTAAGTAATAACTAATCTATACTTCTAATTAATTGATCATGTGACGGATTATTTCTATTGATCACATGTTTCAGAAAAAATAATTGTTTGTCATTATTCACGTACAAACGTGATTTGAAAATTTTTCAATTTAGCGATGAGATGAGATGAGATGAGATGAGCTTAAACTATTCTCTACAGCTAACTACTTGTAATTACTAAATATAATAATAAAAAAATATGTTGTGTATCTACTTGAACTCAAATATTTATATATAAATATATACACTGTTTGTATAGTTACACATCAGTTTATCTCGATAGATATACTATACCTGTGAGTCGTTGTCATCATGTCCAAACGTACTAGAGAAGACCAGGACTCGAGAGAGTTCGGACTGGAAATGGAAGTCCAAAACGTATCTGATGTTGGGAACGATAAAGATGATTCTTCAATTGCAAAAAATTTTAAAGATTTAAAATTATCTGATCCTACTTTGAAAGCTATAGAAAAAATGGGCTTCACCTCAATGACCCCTGTCCAAGCAAGAACTATTCCTCCTCTATTGGCAGGAAGAGATGTCTTGGGGGCTGCTAAAACTGGTTCTGGTAAAACTTTAGCATTTTTAATCCCTGCTATTGAAATGTTACACTCTTTGAAGTTCAAGCCAAGAAATGGTACTGGTGTAATTGTTATCACACCTACTAGAGAATTAGCTTTGCAAATTTTTGGTGTCGTTCGTGAATTGATGGAATTCCATTCTCAAACTTTTGGTATCGTTATTGGTGGTGCCAACAGAAGACAAGAAGCTGAAAAGTTGATCAAAGGTGTCAACATGTTGGTTGCAACCCCTGGTAGATTGTTGGATCATTTGCAAAACACAAAAGGTTTCGTTTTCAAGAATTTGAAAGCTTTGGTCATCGATGAAGCTGATCGTATTTTGGAAATCGGTTTCGAAGATGAAATGAAACAAATTATTAAAATCTTACCAAATGAAGATAGACAATCTATGTTATTCTCTGCTACTCAAACCACTAAAGTTGAAGATTTAGCAAGAATTTCCTTAAGAAAAGGTCCGTTGTTCATTAACGTCGTCACTGAAAGAGATACATCGACTGCTGACGGTTTAGAACAAGGTTATGTCGTTTGTGAGAGTGACAAGAGATTCCTATTGCTATTTTCTTTCTTAAAGAGAAACCAAAAGAAAAAAATCATCGTCTTTTTATCTTCTTGTAACTCTGTCAGATATTATGCTGAATTATTAAACTATATCGATTTACCAGTTTTAGAATTACATGGTAAACAAAAGCAACAAAAGAGAACTAATACTTTCTTCGAATTTTGTAATGCTGAAAGAGGTATTCTAGTCTGTACTGATGTCGCTGCTAGAGGTTTAGATATCCCAGCTGTCGATTGGATTATTCAATTCGATCCTCCTGATGATCCAAGAGATTATATTCACAGAGTTGGTAGAACTGCAAGAGGTACTAAGGGTAAAGGTAAGTCTCTGATGTTCTTGACTCCAAATGAATTGGGTTTCTTGAGATATCTAAAGGCTGCTAAGGTTCCATTAAATGAGTTTGAATTCCCAACAAACAAAATTGCAAACGTTCAATCACAATTAGAAAAATTGATAAGTTCCAACTATCACTTGCATCAAATTGCTAAAGATGGTTACAGATCCTATTTGCAAGCATACGCTTCTCATTCTTTGAAAACTGTTTATCAAATTGATAAACTAGATTTAACAAAAGTCGCAAAGTCATATGGTTTCCCAATACCACCAAAGGTTAACATCACTATTGGCGCTAGTGGGAAAACACCGGTTATTAAGAAACGTAAAGTACATAAACATTGATTTAAATCTTCCCTTTGGTCAACCGCATAGACTTTTGATACATAGAACTAAAAAAGATTTGTATAATAGTAGGTATTAAAAATATTTCAAAGTAAAAAAAAGGTAAAATTCAAGAGACATCAGATGGATGCATTAAGTCGTCTTGATATTCAAAGTTCCACTGTAAGGACTATCTATATACAGTTACAATGAACATTCTTATCGCAAGATATCGTGAATAATCCTATCACTCCTTCAATCCATAAATTGTTCCAATACGTTACATTACCCCTTAAAATATTAATGAACTATGTATATCAAACAAATCTTTTACAAGTAACAAACTCAGATCTTTGAAATTGTTCAAGAAATGATATAGATCAAAGTTTTTACCCTTTTGGATCAGAATCTGTTTCATATCTTTTAATATTCATTCTTTTCATTACGTCTCAGATTTTTCCGATATATATTAAATCGAATATATTAAGAGGTTCTAAATTTATTTTAATGAGGTATATTACGTTAATCATTCAAATTTTGCAATTATAATAGAGATATAAAGAGATATATAGGTGGATTGGTTATTGGTTTGTCTGCTGGTTGGACTTGGTAATTTATATATTCAAAGATGCATTTGGGAGTTATTTTGAGTTATTTGGTATTTTTATTTCATTTCTCTGGAGCTCATGATTCGTTTTCAGATGTTCCAATAGACGAGGACGTAGAAATTCCCATGGATGATCCTGAAGATGCAGGTAACTATTCATTAATGGATAAAATGATTAATACAGACTTGGTTTCATTTAACGATGAGGTTAAAGATATCATTATACCAAGTTTTGAGATTCCAAAGTCAATTTCACCTCAAGTCGAAAAAGTCTTGAATAAATCGACACCCTTTTTAAGATCATCAAATATCAGATATCCTTATAAAGAGACAGGGAATATAACAAATTTAGAGCAAGGTTATCTGTTAGGATCCTTTAATTTTAAGCAAAATTCTTCTTGGTTTAGGGAATATAATAGCTTAGATCAAGAAGATAACTATTATAACTTTGACTTATTCCCAAAATTTATTATTAACATGATGCAGGATTTTAAGATGTCGCAATTCAACATGAAAGTTACAAGTGGTAATTGGAATACTGAATTATGGGGGTTGCTTCCTTTTGATAACTTTAAGCCATGTGAATCTGCAAAATCTATAGTAGAAACTTGGGCTTCTTTAGAATCTTCTTCTAGAGAAGCAGCTGATGAAGCTTGGAAGACAGCAGTTGGAGAATTGAATGAAAGGTTTAGTCTATACCTGAATGGAGACAATGACTCCACAAATTTAATTACAACTGATTTCAGTAAACAACAATTGAAGAACAAAGTTTTGAAGAGCAATAACTTGTTTTATGTTAACCATTTAACTTTTCCTACTATGTCAATGGATCGTAGCAATTTAAAATATTTCATTAATTTACTTCCTAATAAAAATAAAAATGGAATTTCGAAGTTGTTATCAGACATTGCTGATTATGATTTGAATTGGCATAATATTATTCTAGGTGTCGAGAAGAATTGTGATGATATAACAGGAATTTGTAAATATAACCTTGAGATGGATATTGATGTGGTTCTTGATTTTAGAAAAGTCTATTAGGAAATAATAACACCAAAGGTGTAAGAAATATAAGGCAATGAATTTGGGGGTGCGTAATAAAAATTCACATTAATAATACAATTTTTCTTTTGGTTGTAGTCAGTTGGGTGCAAATAAGCCGATACTTTGTTTCACTGATATAGATGTATTGAACCAAAACCTTTTTGTCAGATAATGAAATTATTCATCAGAGAAATATTTAATCCTGAACTAGATATACATTGTTGTGAAATATTGTTAATTAGGAAGAACGACTTTAAATCGGGAAATACTATTAGAGTATTAATTTTAAGAATTAATCTTCGATTTATTGATTCGTTTCTGAATAATTAAAACGGCTATGTCGCTTATGTGGACACCTCGATAATGGATATGTTTTTGAAATTGACGTTACTCTTCCTAAGACGATTCAAAATGAAAATTTACTTTCTTATTTTATGAATACGATTCATATTTGGTAACGTTTTATTTGAATAATGTATTTAAAGAGAAAAGTTGACTGTCATTAAACTGTATTAACTTTTCTACAAAATTAAAAAATTGATTTATTATGTTCTTTCTTTTACAACAATTGTAATACTGACAAGACAGTAATTATTTAAAAAACAGTTTCCATCCATAAGGTATTAAGCCAAGAGAAATGGTGACATCTATAGCTAACAGGAAGTTGGTATTGTTAGAATTCTCATTAATCTATCACTTCTGGAGCAATAATTTATTATGTATTAAAACACACACAGACTAAGAACGTTAGCGTCATAATATTAAATTTGACTGTTATTGGCATATTTTTGATGTGTATTATAATGATTTAACAGGGAATGACTAGCTGTCGCGAAATGCGATTACTAAAAAGGATAGGCCGGAGTGTATTTGAGTAGCGATTGATGTGAGAATATAGCACAGTTGAGATAAAGATATCAGATATATCTGCTACCATTTGTAATTAGAGATTAAAGAAATTAGATTACTCATTATAAATCAAAGATTCGTATTTTTTAAAAACAGTATATACTTTTAAAAATTTATCATATTTGTCTATACATTTATGTACTAAAATGGATCTTCATATGGATCCTCTTCATCATAATCATCATCCTTTTCAAATTCGTAGACAATAGCACCACCAGTATTAAAAGATTGTGCTTCTAAGAATGGAAGTTCCACTTGATCCTTGGCTTTTTTTTGCTTAGCTGAAGTCGACAGATTAAAGGTTGCCAAATCTTGTAATGCTTCTGGATTCTCATTATTAACATTATCTTCAATTTCATTCATGTCTTTAAATATTTCATATTCATGAGTATCTGAGTTGATAGTGAACTGATAATTAATGGATCTCCCTGATTTCCTTTTGTTCGTTAATGTTAGCATATATGTAGAGTTATTCATACCTTTCGGTATAATAAATTTTGATAGATTAGATCTGACATCTTCTTCTTCTACAGTATCAGAAAATTGTGGTTCAACTTCTAAAATGGTAGCTGCCATAAAATGTAAAAGTTCAAAACTTGATGGATAATGGATACCGTTCTCATTGTCATTCAATTCTGGCATGTCCTTATGGAAATTCACCAGAAATGTAATATTTGGAGATGCAATAGATGAAATAAACTGAGATAAATTGGTATTGGAGATATAATTGATAGAGTCTATGATAACTAAAAATTTACCTGCAACTTTTTCTTGAGGTGAAGGCAAATAAGTTCTTAACGTTGATATTAAATCTTGTAATTTCAATGAACTTGCATCTATAAAGTTAGTTGCATATGATGGTCTGTTAATGGTCTCGAATGAAATATATACAATGGTAATATCCTTATTTGTACTGCTGCAATACACGAATTCATTAAGCAAATTTTTCGAAGTTTGAGCTATAGTATCTAGAGATAAAATCAGTGGACTTGTCTCATTTAATGAAAAAATCCTCTTCAAAAGGATCGAGGGATTATAACTAGAGCTTGCCATGATTTTCCACTATGGTATATGCACTCCTGATCCCTTTAAATTGGAAACTTAAATATCACTTCGTTAATCTACAAACCTGATATTTTTAAAGTCATCTCATCGATATTTGTTGTAATTTTTCATTCTGATACCAACACTTGATTTGAGCACGTGATCTTATAATACCAGTAGATATTGAGATTAAAGGAAGGACGATATTTGTAAGCCCAGAAATATTCATCGAGTTACATGATTAAATTCATATAATCTGCTATTTATTATTCTAGTGTTATGCATTTTTAGATCGGTTTAGTACTAGGAAAATTATTCAAAATTATCCTCACAAGAATGGCAATCTACAATGGGAAACCTCATCATCGTCTGAGATTCAGTGTTGCAACTAAATCCGAGGTTAGCGTAATACCTTTTTAATGAATATGGAATTAATGTGATTAAAATATGAAAAAATAATATTCAGAATAATATTAGATTTATACTGTCTATAGAATTGAAGAAAGGTAAAATTGGCTTTCATTATGGCGAAATGGGAATTATCTCACGTGATCTCGGGAAATAAGTACAATATCTCGAAATATCTAAAACAGCTCTTGCTTGATTAGCAATGATAAAATTATCATACATAGCATATAAATAGACATAGATATAGATTATTCAACCCGTAATTTCAAGACTATTAACTTGTATTGTTCGCAGAGGGTATCAAGAAGTTTAAATTAACCCAACGAACATAATTGGCTATTTTCCATTTGCAAAATTTATCTTTTGGAAGATATCCCAATTGTAATTCTAACATAAACTGTGTTCAAGGATTTAGTTCCGTAAAGTTTATTGAAATATTTGAATAATTGCATAAAAATAAACATATATTTAACTAAGTTTATATTAACTGGCTATTATTATTGCTATTTCCCTTACTTTCACCATAATATTGACTAAAACATTAAAGGTTTTGTCGATATCCCTCACTATTTATAGCTAAATGACTGTTTCTTATGGTCCTCACCCTTTGAAACCCTTAAATACAAATACGAGACATGGGTTCGATGAACAATATAATAGTGAACAGTTTTTAGAAACTCTAGCACAAAACTTTATCTTTTATTTTGATGATAAAAGGCACAGAAGAAATGGTAATCCTACTCCAGAGAATGAAATACTTGAAGATGAAGATAGTTATTTCCAACCTATTACAGATTGGAAAATTATGAAGGATAGACAGAAAACTGTGAGTGCTGCTCTTTTACTATGTCTTAACTTGGGTGTTGATCCACCAGATGTTATAAAGACTAATCCATGTGCAAGAATCGAAGCCGGTGTTGATGCATTGACTTTTCAAGACTCTAAGAAAGCTATTGAACAAATAGGTAAGAACTTACAATCTCAATATGAGACATTGTCTTTAAGAACTAGGTTCAAACAAAGTTTAGATCCTTGTGTGGAAGATGTGAAAAGATTTTGTAACTCGCTCAGACGAACTTCAAAGGATGATAGAATATTGTTTCATTACAATGGCCATGGTGTTCCTAAACCTACTCCTTCAGGTGAAATTTGGGTTTTCAATAGAGGGTACACACAATATATTCCAGTTTCTTTGTATGATTTGCAAACTTGGTTAGGTGCTCCATGTATATTTGTTTATGATTGTAACAGTGCAGGTAACATAGTTACAAATTTCCAAAATTTTGTACAAAAAAGAATAAAAGATGATGAAAGTGGGAAACATGATGTTGCAGCTCCATCTCCAACGTCAGCATATAAAGAATGCTTCCAACTAGCATCTTGTAGAGCCGATGAGTTGCTATTAATGGCACCCGAATTACCTGCTGATTTATTCACATGTTGTCTAACTAACCCGATTGATATTAGTGTTAAAGTATTCTTAATGCAATCGCATTTAAAAAATTCAAAGTACAAAGTGTTTTTCGAATCTTCTAACGAATTCAGCTCTGATGAAAAAGAATTTCCAGAATTAAAAACACCAAATATTAAGGTCCCAGGGATGTTATCTGATAGAAGGACTCCTTTGGGAGAATTAAATTGGATTTTTACAGCAATTACTGACACGATAGCATGGACATCTTTACCAAGGCCTCTTTTTAAAAAGCTTTTTAGACATGACCTAATGGTCGCTGCATTATTCAGAAACTTTTTATTAGCAAAAAGAATTATGCCTTGGTATAATTGCCATCCTGTATCTGATCCCTCATTGCCGGAAAGTATAGCCGAACATCCAATGTGGAAATCTTGGGATCTGGCTCTAGATGAAGTCTTAAGCAAATTGGTTGACAGCTTGGAAAATAACCCTCAAGCCCGTACAACAGATGCAACTACGCTATTTAGACAGCAAGATACTGCCCAAAATCAGCAACCCAAGCAACAACAGCAACAACTTAAACAACAACAGGAGGTAAAACCTGGAAGCATTCAGAATCATTCAAGATTTGCAGTTGGAAATCTAAGTACAATGTCATTAGCAACACATCCTGCATTAAACAATCAAAAAAGATCAAGCACAGTAAATTTTCAAAATGGAGTGCAGCCAGTTCAGAAACAATTCACTGGATTTTTTGAACAAAACCTAACTGCATTTGAGCTCTGGTTAAAATATGCATCAAATACAAGAAATCCTCCAGAGCAATTGCCAATTGTTCTTCAAGTCTTATTATCACAGGTACATCGTATTAGAGCATTAGTACTTTTATCTAGATTTTTGGATTTGGGTCCATGGGCAGTCTATTTGTCACTTTCAATTGGTATATTTCCGTATGTATTGAAACTATTACAAAGTCCTGCTCCTGAACTGAAACCAATTTTAGTGTTTATTTGGGCAAGAATTATGGCGATCGACTATAAAAGTATCCAAGCAGATTTGTTAAAAGAAAGAGGATATGTTTACTTTGTGTCAATACTTGTTCCAGATTGGAATTCTCCTCAACTCCCAACAAGCAGTTCTTCTCTGAATAATGGATCCCCACTTACTATGACGGCTAAACCATCAGTTAGTATCTTAAGGAACCAGTCATCCCAACAATTAGGAAATAACAGTATAGACACTATAACTAATCATTATTCCAACGAAACGACAGATGATCAAAAAGCGATGGCTGTATTCATTTTATCTGCTTTCATCAGAGATTTTCCTCATGGTCAAAAACAATGCTTCAACATGGATTTGGTAAAAAGATTGTGTTATTACATTGATAATTCAGGAGTACCACTTTTAAGACAATGGTCGATTATTCTTCTAGGTCAATTTTTTGAAAAACACCCTTTGCACAGGTACATATGCATGGAATTAGGTGTCCTTGACTCGATATTGAAGTCTTTAAATGATCCAGTCCCTGAGATAAGAGCTGCAAGTTTACTGTCATTATCGTCCTATATTTCAGATCCAGACGAATCTGAAATTCTTTTAAGGCTACAGCAAGAACTAGAACAACAATATCAACAATTACATACTCAATTGCAACAAATACAAAATGCTACTCATCAACAATATCAACAAATTGAGCAACAACAAATGAAAATTGAACGTCAGCTACAGCATTGTCAAGAAATTCAATCTAAGCTTCAAAATGTTGATTTTGAGAAGCTTAAGGAGCAAAGTATATCTAATTTGATATCAATTTTACCATTAATCAATGATGGATCACCTCTTGTAAGGAAGGAGATTATTATTTATTTTTCAAAAGTTGTTAATAGGTATATCAACTTTTTTATCGTAGTTGCATTTGATCTTTTGAATGAAGAAATAACACAGCTAGAAGGTATTGGTAAAAATAAAGATCTCAATGAGAAGTCAACTTTCAGTCAAGGATCTATTTTCAGTTCTATTTGGAAAGGTTTGTTAATATTAGCAAGTGATCCATTCCCAGAGAATAGTGTATTGGCAGGAAAAATTATTGATTATATTCTAATAGAAATTAGCTTTCATAAAGATTTAGGGCCTCCATTTCTCAAAATGGAAGAATATTTAATAAAGAGAAGCTCGAATTTGAACCAAAATGGCTCTAAGGGATTTGATGCCTCACAAGTACAAGTAATAGGAAGGAATAATAACCAAGCATCAAATAACAATTCTGAAGAAATACTGAGCGATGAAAGCAGTCACCATGATGAATTACAAGGACAGTTCTTTTTGACAAAGTTTTTTAGTACTCTTGGATTTAAGGATCATGATGATAAAGGATATAGTTCATCAACTACACATACTCAAACCCCAAAATCAGATTCCAGTGGGAACCGTTCTTCTAACGGTTCGGGGTTGAAATCAAATGGTGGTGGAGTTAAAAAAGAAACAGAACAAATTATACTTCCACTTCAAAGTTCACTCCTAACTTATTGTTACGAATATTTTCAGGAACCTCAGATGAGAAAACAAGAAACGGATGAACCAGGGAGTGTAAATTATAATATTCGAATTTGGAGAAGGAATAGGAATGAAAAGATTATTGAAGAGACTCAGGCTGAAAAGACTTTGTCTCTGTATGGAGACTGGTCTAATAGGTTAATAACATTTGATAATAAATCCCAACCGAAAATTATGGAATTTACACAGTTTGATGATTATTTGGTTGTAGCAGATGAAAGAGATTATATTACTGTATATGATTGGGAAAAAGATTCGGTAATATCTAGATTTTCTAATGGTAATCCTTTTGGTACTAAAGTTACTAGTTTGAAATTCATCAACGAAGACGATTCATCTCTTTTGATGACTGGTTCCTCTGATGGTATAGTTAATATTTACAAAGGATTTGATGACATTGAATCTAATCAAGTAGTTACTGCTTGGAGAGGTTTGACAGATATGTTGCTTACTCCAAGATCTAGTGGATTATTAATAGACTGGCAGCAAATTCGTGGGTCACTGCTCGCTACTGGTGACGTTAAAGTAATTAGGATATGGGATGCTCATTCTGAAACCGTAGAGATCGATATTCCAGCTAAGACATCTTCTTTAGTCACTTCTATTACTTCGGATCAATTAGCAGGGGATATTTTTGTATGTGGTTTTGCAGATGGTACATTAAGGGCATACGATCGTAGATTGGATCCAAGAGATGCGATGGTACGTTTGTGGAGGACTTCTTCTAATAGAAATTCTCGTTCCGCTATCACAAATGTTCATTTACAAAGAGGCGGTTACAGAGAATTAGCTAGTGGTACTGCTAATGGTATGGTTGAACTGTGGGATATAAGATCCCAAGATAGTGTATCGTCTTTCAATGTGGGAGGTTCAAATATGGAACAGAGTGGAACTCAAAAGATGACTACAATGACATGTATGCAATTGCATGAACATGTACCTGTAATTGCTACAGGTACGAAACAGATCAACCTTTGGACAACTTCTGGTGATTTGCTTTCTAGTTTTAATAACGTACACCATAATGGTGGTGTTGCTGGAACTCTTGCAGTCTCTGGTATAAGATCGACACTAACTTCAAATTTATCCTCTTCAACTTCCTTTTTATCGTCATTAGCATTGCATCCTCATAGAATGATGTTGTCAGCTTCCAATTCTCATGATACAAAAATCAGTATATATACATGTCATAAAAAGAAGTTTGAATAAAACTATAAATAGAAGTAGTGATTAAATCTAACAGATTAAATAATATCACTTTTTGTAATTAATATTTGATAATGAAATGACCTTAAATTCATATTTAATATTCAATAAAAGGATCCGAATTTCTTAGTCCTTCCTCCATTTTCTTAAAACTATTTCAAAAATGTTTTTATTTTGGATGGTCGCTATAATGAGATATTCCTCGAAGGCTTGCATATCCAAGATGGGTTTTTCTCAGATAAAATATTCATTATCATTCTTGTGGATATTGTTGAACTTGTTATATAACTGGAGTTGTTTAGCTAGATAATATAAAAACAGCAGCATATTATGCTGACAAATTCTAGACTATTATATTTTTGAAGTAAAGAGATGAAAGATACAAATTTATAGCTGTCATTTTTATGTACTTCATTATTTTTATAACTTAAGCTTAATGTTGAAATTTCTAAAAATTTATATAATAAGTTCTCTGATCTATTGTTTGACTGTGTCATTTGTATTTTACATTGTTAGGAGAACTTTTAAACTAAAACCAATGCCTTATTTCTTTTGTATATAATCTCGAAACACTCCTTTGACTGTATGTTCATATACTTTTTTTGTTTTGACTGCTTGCCTTTGTCTGTATGACCTTTAATTCGAGAATTAAAGGTTATTTCTAATATCGAATGGAAAAGTGAAAAATATTGATTTAAATAAGTCATTAAGGTACTGAAGCTAGATTCAGTTTAGTTTTTATTCGATGGTGATAGTGGCAATAAAGAGCTATTGACTTAAGATATAGTTCAGATAATATAGTAGTAATAGTAGTCATGTTTTTAAAAGGCTTTAATCCGTTAGTTAGAACTTCTATATCACAATTATCTCGATCGAATATTTTATTTAGGTATCAATCACGATTATTCCTAAGTGCTGAGACCAAAAAGGCTATAGATGATGCAGTAAGCTCTGCTCCTGTAGTATTATTTATGAAGGGTACTCCAGAATTTCCACAATGTGGTTTCTCGAGAGCAACTATTAATATATTAGGTCAACAAGGTGTTGACCCACAGAAATTTGCGGCTTATAATGTATTAGAAGATCCAGAATTACGTCAAGGCATTAAGGAATATAGTGAGTGGCCAACCATTCCGCAATTATATGTGAATAAGGAGTTTGTTGGTGGTTGTGATATTATTACTACTATGGCCCAAGATGGCCAATTAGCTGATCTCTTAGAGGAAGCTGATGTTCTAGTGCCAGAAGACCATGAATGATTAAATCAAACACCTTTCATTATGTTACCATTATCACCTTTACTTTTGTATATATATTTATATATTTATGTATATGCTATTTAACAATTGTTTGACTCATTGGAAAGCTGATTGGTTGAAACATTTTTTAAATAGTTAATAAAATGTGTTCCTGTATTTATTTTAAATATAATGAAAGCACAGATTGGATATTCTAAGGTTAATGCCCAAGACTATGAAAAATGTATTCTCGTGCCTTTAGATTTGTAAACAACGTATTCTCTATCTACAAACTCCACTCTTTAATATATATCACTACTAGTTAAAACTATAGTGAATTATTTGCATAGTATTTTGTAGCCATTGCCTTCCATCAAAGAGTTGAGAATAATTTTGTTATCCCATCCTACATAAATAATGCAATATTTAACCAAAAACCCATGTTAGCTAAATTAATAGTACGATAATTGGTTATATATCAAGATGAGCTATTTATATACTTAGCTTATCTAGCAAGAAAAACTTTTACAACTTTCAGTAAACTAATAAGAGTTAAGGTGAATGTAGTGATATATCTAAATTGCGTTACATCTATAAATACAAATTTTAATCAACTCGCTGATGAGTTAAAAATTAAAAATTTTGTGCAATAGGAACCCTCTATATCGTTACTCAGTTTGCTTTAAGATAACTGGACTATTATAAGCATTACAATGGAATAATTGTAACCAACACACTGATAAGATTCATTCATATAACAGTAACCTATCCAATACAATTTAAATAGACTAAACTTGAAAGCTCTTATTGAAATGTGGTAAACATTTTGATTGATTTATGTTCAATTTTAGTGATCTGACTACGAAATGAAGTTATATCATCATTAATCAAACAAAGTATTTGTTAATATGGTAGTTGTTCAACCAAACTTGATAACTATACAAATTTAAATTAATTTAATATACATTATTTTTTATATAATAATCAGTTATTCATTTTCATTGATATATCAACATTTTTCAGTATGTGCGTAGAACGAATTGACAAGAGATCTATTAGGTTTATAGCCTAGTACAATTAGATTGCATCGGAATTCCTTTTGGATTGAAATCATGTCTATTCCTAATTCTGGTTGAGTTTTAAAAGCCTTGGACCTAATTCTTTCTTTTGTTGCGTCGCTTTTTGTCTCCATGAACAAACATTAACATAATCACAGTATTTACAGTATGTTATTAAGTTTTCCGATGTTGGTTCAATTGGTTCGATATCTCTTTTGCCGAACCAAAACATTGAACTGTCAAATGCTCCATTTCTAATTTCATCTTCGTTAAAATCAAAATTTATATTCTTAAAATTGTCACCTTTATAGTAATATTCCAAAGTCAAATGTTTGGATAATAATGGCGAAATACAATTGTACATTTGTGCTAATCTTGCTGCAAAATATTTCAGCGTCACTGGTCTTTTCCATGGAACTAAAAATTCCCCGTATCGTTCAAGAACATTTGGATCTGTAATTTGATCAGATAATATACTCATATCGTATTCTTCTTCTGTTGGAGAAGAGCCGGTAAAATCCGAATCAAATGGAGGGAAACCTATATCATCCCCATCTCTTAATTTTCGCATATCATCTACTATGACCTCATCAGATGCCATAAAATATATCACCTTGGCAGGGTCGATACGCTGATCTATATTAAAACCTCTTGATAAAGAACTATTTAATAGTTGACCATAGGTGACATCCGGATGTAACCCAAGAAGTTCCAAGAAATAACGATAGTACATAACTTGATATTTTGAATATTTCAAAACGGATTTTTGAGAGACAACCGATCGAAACATTCTGGTTTTAACATCAGATACATTGATCTGATATTCACTTTTTAGGAAGTCTATATTGGCGTTCAGCCATTCTATTATTGATTGGAAATTATTGCCATTTTCAAATACTTCATCATTCAAACCATTGAATTCAGTAAACCCAGAACTTGTAAATACCCTAATCTTTCTTCTTAAACTTAAGTGATCGATTATACCACTAACTAAAACATCCTTACCGTCTTTCGGAAGTCCATCGATAAAAGTTCCAGTTCTCGAATCTAAGAATGCATGACATCTTACTTCTCGAGCTTCACCACATCTGAATAGTGACAACAGTCTCATAGAACAACTAAAAAGGTCATCGACATGATTATGAAAGTTATCAGTTGGAATTGGAACTTCAAAATCTTCAACAAAAGATTCTAAATCTTCAGTGACAGGGTGGATATCTTCTTCTAATTTTTGATGAACCAATTTACCTTCAATAATCTGTTTATGTTCAAATAATGGCGTTTCAGAGTATATATCATATGCTTCTCTAAGTTCACACCATCTTTTTGTCAACAATTTTGTTACAGATAAACGATTTCTTACCTTCTCATTTTCTCCATTTCCATCAGAATTATCATAGGCTCTATTATTAATCTCAAATGGTACAGGGTATGATTTTGGTAAATGATAATTCAAGTAACCAACATTATTTGGGTCTTCTCCAAATAGCTTCTTAATTTTATGGATCTTTAACGCAATATGTTCTTTCTTCACTTTCGTCAATTTGTTCGAAGATGGCAAAATATAACTACTATCATTCTTAAATATAGGAAATCTTTTGATTACTAGTCTTTCTTCATCGGTAATTCTTGTTCGAGCTTCTGATTCTTTAGAACTGATAATTATTTCGTGAGTGTGAAACCTTGAATGTAACTGTAGGATATTGATCGATGACCGGCATCTTAACATACTTCCTATAGAGCTAGTTACCAATGAATATTCTTGAATCACCTATTTGTAAAGCAAAATGATTTCATAGAAGAATTGGTTACCAACTTATACATCTTCTCATTTCTATTCTTGTCTCTTGATTTGATATTTCATCGAAATTTCAATATTTCATATTACTTCCGGGCATAGAGATATTGTTCTATATGAGAGCTCTGGCAGCAATTGATCGAAATGTACATTCTATTGTAAAATAAACCATATCAAAGTATTTTGAGTTACGGTTTATATTAAACTGTGAAGTTATTAATAGAATTGCGTTTGGTATTAATCTCGTTAAATAATTGGATCTTATATTATATGTTTTTTTGATATTTTAAAATCTATAAAAAGTGTACGTAAAAAAAATTAAGATATTATTTAATTTTATAGTATTGTAAGTAATCCAGTAAATGTTCTGAATATATGTTAAGGAATTTATTAGTTCTTGCTGACTTTTTTGGAATCGGTTGGTTTCTGTTGGAAAATAGTGGAATCTTTTTCGTGTCTTTCTTTTCTTGGACCATTGAACCATTTCTTGAAATTTAGCACCGATTTTAAAGACCATACTTTAACTCTCATGATATAATAAGAGAACAACATGGCACAGAAGTTAAAGCAAATGTAAGCCCACATGAACCCAAAGTTTCTCCATCTGTAATCCCATTTGATATTGAACTGAGCAACAACTTCATCTTGAACAGAGTATGGACAGTATCTACAATCAGCAGTGGCAGTTGGATTAGTCAAATAACCAGTATTATTGTTGATGTAAGTTTCCAGATATGTACCACATGTTTGGCCCTCAGGTGGATCCATAATTGCAAATTCATTTTCAGCACAGATAACCTTCTTATTGTGAACCAATGGGGCGACTAAAGCCTGGACGACATAAGTAAATGGTGAAACGTTATACATTAATCTTCTCCAGAAAGCAGGCATTTTTTGTCTAGGTTGTAAGATACCACAGAATAATAACATCGCAGCAAATAAATTAGAATTGATAATGGATGCAGATGGGACATCTGGCGACATGTACAATAACCACAAACCATAAGAAACGAAGTAAATTGGGAAAATTAAAACATAGAAGAAGAAGAAGAAACCTGCATGAGAAGCTCTGCCACTATATTGAGCAGGCCAGTAGTAGAATAAGAAACAGAAGAATTGACATAAAGTGGACCAACCAATTTCAACAGCTGCATGACATAATAATAAAGCACTCCAGTGGAAAGTATTTGACGCAGCTTCTCTGACTTCGTACAATTCTCTACTATCAAAGGCAAAAACAGAAAGTTGGTTAATCATGGCCAATGCAATCAATAATAACATGAAAATAGATGAGAAAGCTTCTTGTGCACCACCGATAGAGTGATTAACACCAACATAAGATAAACCGACAAACAACGCACAACTAACACATTCAAAGAACTTTGCTCTAATATAAACAGGGGATCTCCAAAATTGAATCGAAGTTCTCCTCAAAACACACATTAATTGAGTCAAATATGAGGCGGCAAATCTGCCATTTAACTCGGCATTGTTTTCTACTGGTCTACTAGCCAAAGTTTTGTGAAGCTCTTCAACTTCGGCTCTAGCTGCTGCACATTCTGGAGATGCAACCCATAGATCATGCCAATCAGCAGAAGCAGAAGCAGTTGCACCGGCACCAATACAATTCAAAATATATTCAGCAGGGTTTTCAGAAACACCACACTTAACACCAGATTGACGTTCAAAGTAAGATAACAAAGTAGAAGAATTTGGACCAATATCACCGAAATAAACCATTTTACCACCCTTCTTTAATAGTAATAATCTATCAAATTGTTCAAATAAAGTAGCAGAAGGTTGATGGATTGTACATAAAATTGATTGACCAGAATCGGCTAATGCTCTTAAGAATTGAACAATAGACCATGAAGATTGGGAATCCAAACCTGATGTAGGCTCATCCAAGAATAATAATAATGATGGTTTGGCAACTAATTCGACACCAATAGATAGCTTCTTTCTTTGTTCGACATTTAAACCTCTACCGGTTTTACCTACCAAAGCTTCGGCATAATTTTGCATACCCAATAACTTAATGATTTTTTCAACGTATTCATATTTTTCTTCGATTGATACAGATCTTGGTTGTCTCAATTCAGCAGCAAAACGTAGAGATTCCCTAACAGACAATTCAGCCATATGATTATCGGCCTGAGCAACGTAACCACATGATCTGTTGAAAGATGCAGGTAAAGGTTTAGCATTCACCAACATATCACCGGTAATGACACCCATATTAATTCTTTGAGCTAAAACATTCAATAAGGTAGTTTTACCAGCACCTGATTCACCCATTAATGCTGTCATTTTACCAGGCTTCACATAACCGAAAACATCACTTAACAACTGTCTGGTGGCACCATCATATGGGATTGTGTAATATAGATGATTCCATGTAAAAACATCTTTTGCAGCAATAACAGAATCTAAATCGACATTTTCACCATTTAAGGCATGCATCATTTCTTCTCTTGAAGCGGTTTTAGCTTCAGCACTTTCAGTACCAAAATCTGGCATATGTCCTCTCTTGTATAGCAATAAATCACCACCACTTTCAACAGGTTTCAAAAATTCTGACAATAAAACATTGGCGACAATGTAACCAAAAGTCCAGACGATGTTTACACCCCAGTCTCTCCAAGCGTGTTTATAAGCAAAGTGATATTGTTTTAAAATGTAAGCATCACCGTTAACATATAAATTACCTTTGACTGCACCAGCAATGTTACAGATTTTATTAGCAACAGAATATGATTCGTAACCAGGACCATCTGGAATCAATTGACTGCATAACATTTCTCTACCATGAAATTCGGTAGACATTAAACTTTCGAAAGCATAAGTTAATGGATTGATATAGTGGAACCATCTAATCCAATGATGCATTTCAGGAATAGGTAAGACAAAGCCAGTGAAAACAGTTAACATTAAAACGTATAGACCACCATAAGCGTGAGCAGTAACACCATCTTTGGTCAAAGTAGCGATGAACTTGAAAATAAAAGAAGTACATTGTTGAATAGTAAACAGATATAGCAAATACTGGAAAAAAGCACCGGCTTGAAATTTCAAATATGGAATCCAATAAGAAACCAAAGACAAGATAATAATAGCAGTTAACTTGGTTGGAATTTCGGTAATAATTTCTTGTAAAGATTCAGCAGATAAATGGTACATAGAATACGTTTTATGCTTCACTATGATTGGTCTAGTAGCAAAAGAGTTAGCAATTTCAGCTAAAGATGTAACAGCAGCAAATAATAAAACATAGAACAGAATACCACCACGAGAATAAGCACCAGAAGTAGTTGATTGAGATTTTGGGTCAATTCTGTGGAACATAGAACCAACAACTAAACCTTTAATCAAAAAAGAGGCCAAATAAACCTTAGTATAGGTAGAATCACCCTTAACTCTTTGGAAACCACGAATCATACAATAATAAACTTGAGACCAATAGTTAACAGTATATTGTGATTTTTTACGAGCACCAGCTTGACTTCTTTGCTTCTTAGCCATATCTAACCTCTCTCTTGTTTCTTCAGCTGGATGTCTAGATTGGTAGTCATTGTATTCAAGTAAAACTTCTTGATATTCAGGGGAGTTTAACCAATACTCTTCGAATTCAGTACCTGACTTTGGTACGTGGTTTTCATAACCTGGTTTTATTTCTAGGGTTCTGTTTTCAAAATCGACTGTTACAGCAGTTAAAAATTCAGCAGATGTCATTCTGTTTGGTTTTACCCAACCCATATTTTCAAAATATTGAACAGCTTTATCGGCAGGGCCAAAATAGATCTGTTTACCGGCGTATAAAACAGTAGCCTTATCGAATAATTCGTAAATGTTTTCACCAGCTTGATAGATAGCAACGATAGCAGAGTTGTTCATCATATTCGTAGCTGTTCTGATAGCCTGTGCGAATTCCAAAGCTGTAGAGGCATCCAAACCTCTTGTAGCATTATCCCATGAATAGATAGATGCACTCATTGCTTGGGCTTCAACTAAAGAGACACGCTTACGTTCACCACCGGAGACACCTCTAACAAAGTCATTACCTACATTAGTGGCATAAGTATGTCTCAAACCAAATACTGTACACCACATGTCTCTTAAAGAATCGACATATTCCTTTCTAGACATGTTATCAATTCTAGTACGTGGAGTCTTACATTTCAAGGCAAAATCAATAGTTTCTTTCACAGTAATCTTTGGAAAGTGGAAATCTAATTCTGGACAGTAAATGACATAACTCTTGTATTTTGACATCATTTCTTGTTGATCCAAACCATCATAGGAAAATTCACCATCGACAGAAACTAATTCTGAAGTTTCACCAGAGATACACTTCAATAGAGTTGAACAACCTGCACCTGGTCTACCAACAACGAAAAGCATTTCACCAGATTCAACGACACCTGTACAATTTTGAATAATGTTTCTTACTGGGGTATCATCTTGTTTACGTAACTTGTTCATCAAATGTACTGGCAAGTAAATAAAATCTCTAATGGATTCAGCTACACTTGGACCAAATGCGGCGGAAGCGTCAATACCAACTGCGGTTAAATTTTTAAAAGCGACACCTGAATCACCCGGTTCGATCCCTTGCTCTAATTGACGAGATCTTAAATAATTCAGCAACGCACGTAAATCAAAATCCAAATCATTGACTTCGAAAGCAGACATTTCCTTTTTATTTTTGGTAGAGATAACTCTTGCCAAAGATTCTAATCTTTCTACACCTTCGTTATTTGATAAAATTTTACTTAAATTTCTTGATAATTGTTCTTGGACAGACATTTCTTCTGCGTTACCTGTGATATCATGTGCCTTACCATCATAAGGTTGTACATCACCGATGGAATCACTCGCAGAAGAGCTATCCTTTTCATGAGAATATCTCTCTTTGCTCTCTGTAAATGACATACTTGCAAAGATTTAATTCGATGTTCCCTGGTCTATTTAATTAATAAAGTAAAGTCTCATAAATAAAAGTTTTATCTGATCAAATTGAAGGGGAAGAATTCTAAAATTTCAATAAACATGTTTCTTTTATACAACTTGTTGATTTTATTGATTTGTGATTATTATATTTTTTAATTAGAGTTGATTTCATTATTATCCTCACTGATAAATCGATATCGGTTGTTATTAAAAGTGACGTTTATTTTATTACCTTTAAGAATTCTAATCAAAAAGCCGACTTAGGAAAAATATCATCAAAAAAGAAAGAGAAAGATGAAGATTAGATACTGTCATTAGTAACTAGCAGGATTAATCAACATCCATAAAAGCACCTCAGTTTCAACAATCATGAGAAACCCTTTATCATAGCACCACAATTGGTGCATTAAAGTTAAAATTATGCATCGGTTAGAAAGAAACCCGCAATAAAACGGTTTCGATATCATCATTAACCTTTGTTTCTAATTTAGATAATTTTTCCATTATTTCGATATCATCGGTTGTTACTCACCAAACAAATCTCGTTATGACAGCTCGATAAAATTTACCATGTCAGTTCTGATTGTATTTCGGATATTATAAAACCTTCGAAACCAGAAAGTGAAATGTTCATCAAGTTCTTTTCTTTTCGAAGATTATAAAACTTATGGTACTTTGAGGAAATCGGAAAAATTCAAGTAACAACCGATGTATATATAAACAGGAATGAAAAATTGAACAATAATGTCTCATTGGATTAGGATGGTTGTTGTAATCCAGGTTTTCCTGTATATATTGTTTAGTTGATCTCATATTGCGGTGGTTATGGAGATTCTAAGATTGCAGATGATGAGGAATCTCTCGTATTATGATTACTACCCAGGATTGATTGACTTCATTGAATTTTTAACCCAAAATTTCTCATCGAACGAATTATGTTACTCAATTTAAATGCTAACTTACTCTTGAAATTCTTTAGTAGAAGCTGAGGTCAAACTTAGTTGATAAGTGGTAAAATTACTTGATCTTTATGGGAATGTAATTGAAGATATCATGGATGTATAAGAAGAAAGAACAGGGGAAAGCTCAAACTAAGGTATTGCTATTATGCATGTGGCGGGATGAATAGTTGTTAAATATTTTGATTAGAGTTAGTTTCGATTCTTGTATAAACTTGATGGTTCAAGTGGCTAATATTTCTTGTGTCTTTTTGCTTTCCTTAGTCCAACATTAATCATATGATCAAAAAAAAAAAAAGAAAAACTTCGAGATATCTTATAAATTTTGATAATTCACGATTCCAAATTGCTTGTAGTTCAATTTTCATTTTAGTTTCGAGAAACTTATCTCGGCAACTCTCGTCGTTGTAATGCTCTCTTATGACATCTTTAGGAACTTCTTGTTGTTCTAGATATTTGAATGTTAATTAATTACAAGGTAATTCACGTACCTCAACTGGTACACATCGCTTGTAATTTTATTGTGTGATGATAAATAGGAGGATAGGATAACAGGCAGTCAGTGAGTCCATTCAAATGGAATCGATTACTTGAAATAATATTGTATATGATATCTATCTTATTGTTGCTTTACTTATCTTGAATAAAGATGTTTCTTAAATGTAAGTCATTGTATCGAAATTAAGATAGACTGATTCCTGTTTTTCTTTTTGATCATATTATAATTTGTAGAAGTTCGGTCCATTTAATGGTGGTGATTAATTGAAAGATAATACTTCTCAATTGCGTTAACTATTTTTATTCAACTAAACGCATCTCGGCCTATTAAATGAAACATTGTAATCATTGCTTAATACTTGTATTGAATCATTGTTTAGTTTGGTGATGGTATTGAGATAAATTAAATAACCAATATTGAATACATAAGTAGATTTATTTTTTACCAAGATTTTTTCTTTATCGTTTTACATTTTCCATATTATTAATATTTGGCAAGGATGACAATATTCCTGTTGCTCATATCCTTTCTTCCCTGTAAGATACAAGAATTAAGTGATTTCACTATAAATGACATGAATTTATAAAAATTTCAAGATGACAATGTAATTTTTATTTATTGATAGTAGCCATCATCACATTTATGAATTTAGGAGTAAAACCTTCAAATATTAACCTGCATTGATTCTGAGACTGAAAGTGGGACGCTTTCAATTACTTATGTTCAAATTGTCGTCCTGGATATACATATGAACAATTAATTAAGTAGAAGATAGGTATCTTCAAAGGGATATTAAAATTTCCTTTGTGATTTAAACAATAAGCGATCAGGTGTAATAAATATTCTAAATTGTTCAGTTTATCCTCATCTAATTGAATATGTTTTTACTTGTACCTAAAAGTGCATTGCGTGACATTCATCTAAAATGAGAATCTTCAAAAAGTTGTGAGGATCATTTTTATGAACTTGAACCATTGTTGTCATGAATATCCAAGTGTTTTTGGATGTTAAAAATTAAGCTTGATATATATAAATAATTTGTAACCTCATGGAGACCTACAGTTAGTCTTGTTCGATAATTCTTTGTTTTAAAACAGTTTCACTCTTTCATTCCAAGATAAAGGGATGTGAAGAAATGATAGAATCATTTTGTCTAAACGAACATCTCATTGTAAAGAGATTTGGGTGATATAGAGATAATATCCAAAGCTGATTTCATTACGTAAATCTGATGATGATTAGTCATTGATGAGTAGGAAGTTATATTTGAATCAAACAGCGTTGAAAAAAATATAATATGGTCAGCTAGTAGGCCGGTTAGGTTTATCGTTGTTAGCATTGCTAAGCCACTCATGTTGGTATTTTTCAATGACTGTGCCTTTCATGTTGACCAAGACTAAATCAAGATTCTAAAAATAGCTAAACAACGGACATTATAGTCGGGCCCCGGAGATTAATTAGAAGGGTGACAGTAAAAAGTTCCTTATTCTTACGAGAACCAAGTATATCCAAATGAAATAAAATAACTCTAATAAGAATGGAGATGAAATATGTATTGGTTGTTGCGAAATCATATGTGTGTCAGAAAAGTCTTTTAATTCGATATGATCCAAAACAGAAAAAAAATGTTTCTAAATCTAGTATGATCACGTTTGTGGGCAGAAGCGTAATTAAATACAAGTGCGAGGGAGAAAGGTGACATTTGATAGCTGAGACATTAGATGTAATTTACACTGTTGTACATAAAAAATTTCAAAGGGATCAATACATATCGACCTGAATTCTACGGTTAAATTTTGGTGTTTCCCACGGACAGGAGTAAGAAGAGCAAGTACTCTTATAACGATGTCTGTGTTTGATTTTTAAATGAGTCCATGCAATAATAGGGGGGGTAGGGTAGAGGAAGGATGTTTTGTTACAGATACTGTTACAGTTGCTGTCTAGATTTGGGAGAAAGCGATATTTCGTCATAAGTTTTAGATGTGTTAGAAAGAATTATGCAAAGACAAAAACAAGGACGCGAATTCACTTGTTCCCACTAGTTGACGTGTTGCGGCAACAAAATGTACAAACAACACGAAAAAATTTGTATCTGCCTGTCTGTTCAAGAGAAGTTAAATTTATTTTTTTTGTAACAAATCTAACATCACATGACCTTCTCCATCATATAATATTGCCATTTTCAGAATATAAAGTGATTTTTTGTACAGATACGGTAAAATTGAATGAGAAGAGAGGCCTGTAAGAGAGGAAGAGGAATAAAAACAATATCGAAATTCCAGTTTCCTGTTTTGTCAATATCTCCTGTCCGGTGTTTGTCTCTGTTACCCATTAGATGCGATACAATCTGCGTGCCCAGCATACCAGCACTGGAAACCGACGTCCTACTTGGCATTTAATTTGCTGGTCATGAGAACACACGAAGACAAGAAAAAAAACACAAAAAGGAAAAAAAAGAAAGAAACTGCAGACACCAGATTTGTTTCTGTTTCTGTTTCTGTGCACAAAATCTCTGTCCGAACGAATCTGATACTTTAAAAATAACAATAACAATAATAAAAATAAAAATTTATTATTGATACTATTATTATTATTTCTTGTCGCTCTCTTCTGCGGTGTATTCTTTATTGAACTTCAAAAAGAAATTTGCTTAATTTCTTTTTGTTTTTGGTAATTTTGTTTATTGTTTGGCTTTTTGTGTTTTGCTGGCAATTCGACGTACAAACGATACTAAATTGTCCACAAACACAGATAGCTGCAACGAAAAAGAAAAGGAGGTACTGCAGACAGATCTGGCAGCGGTCACGCGAAAAAAACTGAAAAATTAAAAAATTAAGAAAAAATCGGATAAAAAAAAGAAATACAAGACCTGTTTGTGGATTTCCTAAATAGGAATGCTGGTAAGAGATATAGATATCCTTTCCTACACAGAATCCTAAACTGTTCATCTGTAAAACAAAGAATTCTCCTGCTTACTCTAATAAAAAATACTGTTTAGTTTCAGGATCTGGGTAGCAAGGGAGAAACAAGTTCATGCTGTACTTTCCCACTACGATTTTGGCCATTACGAAAAATTTCGAAATCAAAACTAAATCAATGATATGGATTTAATTCACGACAGTAGAGAGACAGAGACAGAGACAGAGACTTCAATCGAATCGAATTAATCCAATATATCTGTGGGCTATGACAACAGCACCAGCAGAAGTAGACATACTTTATATTATCAGTAGGCATGATGATCTGGTAAAAACCTGAGCTGAGCTTAGCTCTAAATTGTATTGGTCTCTCTCTCAAGGAAAACAACGAACTTCACCACTACTATGACAAGGCTTAGATGAAAAAGAGAGAATTCTCTATCGTACAACTGACAAACAAAACAAACAAAACAAACAAAACAAACAGACACTGAAATTTGTCTGTCTGTTTGTTTTGTTTGGTTATGCTATGCTGGAGGATTCTTATTTGGTACTGACAGAGGTAGTCGTGTCATTGCATGCAGTTGGTTTTTTGTGCTATGCAATGTTCAATTGAAAAAAAAAAAATGTTGTGAAAAATAGTATCAATTTCTGTTAAATTAAGCATCAAACCAATTCAAAAGTTTATTTGTTAAATATCCAGATGAAATTCTAATATAATGAATGATGTGGGACTATTTGTTTTGGTGAATCGAAATGAAATCATTCAATTTTTATTTTTATAATTGGTTTTTTGTTTTTATTATTTTAAATACTCTAAATTAAAATTGATTATTTCATTTTTGTTTCCTGTCTACATGTTCAGTATATATTATCACCATTAATTCATTATTATTTTTTTTAAATCTGTTTGTTTATTATAAAATGGAATTTTTCTGTTTGTTTTTTAATTTTGATAAATAAAGTCTGTTTCTCTTGACATATTTATTCTTGTTCCATATATCTCTCTTGCTGATTTCATTTTTGTCTTTTGTTATTTCAATTAAAGATCGTTGATTACACCTATATTCTTTAAAACTGTTACACAACTAACAAAGAAAACTCATTTTTCTAATAAGAACGTTAATTTAATAACGATAAAGTCAATCCTTTCATTCAATCCAACTACTAGTCATTCATTATTTTTTATTTTGGTTTTTTTGTATCGTTAAATCACAATTAATTGCATAATTTCGTAAATTGTTTTATTTTTTGCCTTTTAACTACTAATTTTGACACTTCTTATTTATTAGTTTATAGTGAAAAATAAAAAAATGAAATTTACTACTCTATCATTAGCTGCTTTAACTGCAGCAGGTTTAGTCAGTGCAGACTGTTCATATGTTAACGGTAACTATTACTGTTCTCAAACAGATGCTGTCGTTTACAGTAACGTAGGTTACTCAGGCGCTTACAAGGACGTTACCAGCATGGATGAAAATTCTTGTGTTTGTAACCAAGAATCTTTCTCATTCTCAGGATCATTGGCTCCATTGGATGAAGAATTATCTGTCCATTTCAGAGGTCCTATCAAGTTAGTCCAATTCGGTGTTTATTATCCAAACAGTGGTTCTACTACCATGAAAAAGAGAGAAGTTAAAGATGACACTGAAAACTGTGCTCCAGCTGCTCACAAACATAAGAGAGATGTAGCTGTTGAATACGTTGAAGTCACTTCTACCGTCTACGTTGATGGTAACGGTCAACCTGTTAATTCAGGTGACTCTGCTCAACAAACCTCTTACACCAAGGTTTCTACCGTTGTTAACCCAACTACCAGTGCTGCTAACAACGACAACAACGACAACAACAACAACAACAACAACAACAACAACAACAACAACAACAACCAACAAGCTACTTCTTCCAGTTCCACTTCTACCTCCACCTCCTCCTCATCTGGTTCCTCTTCTACTTCTCAATCTAGTGTTTCAGGTTCTGGCTGGACTAGATCTTCTTACTTCACCCCAGGTTCTGCTGATAACTGTGTCTTCATGAACCACCAAGGTGGTGTCGCAGGTTCTGGTATCTGGTCTTCTTGTTTCGGTAACTCTATCTCATTTGCTGCCTCTGATGGTGTCAGTGGTGCAGGTTCAGCCCAAGCTTTAGGTGACGTTACCGTTGCTTCTGGTAAGGAATTCATGATCTTCTCTGGTAGTTCTTGTAGTGGTAGTGACTGTGGTTTCTACAGAGAAGGTATTCCAGCATACCACGGTTTCGGTGGTGATGACAAAATCTTTGTCTTTGAATTTACTATGCCAAGTGATACTTCTGGCAGTGGTTACAACCAAGACATGCCAGCTATCTGGTTATTGAATGCCAAGATTCCACGTACTTTACAATACGGTTCTTCTTCCTGTTCTTGTTGGAGTACTGGTTGTGGTGAATTAGATTTATTCGAAATCCTAAGTGCAGGTTCTGATAAATTGATTACCCACATCCATGATGGTCAAGGTAACGATGGTACTACTACTGGTGGTGGTGGTACCCAAGATTACTTCTCTAGACCAACTTCCGGTACTATGAAGGCTGCAGTTATCTTCCGTGGTTCTGATAAGACCATTCACATTGTCGAAGTTGATGAAAGTTTCGATGAACAATTATCAGACTCTACTGTCTCCAACTGGTTGAACAAGGCTGGTTCATCTGCTGCCTTGGCTTAAACAGCAGTAGCAATAGTTATATTAGCCTAGGAATTCCTGGCTACTATTTTGTATCTTTATTCTTATACTGGTTTTATATTATATAATTTTTATCATGTTTTAATTAAACAATATATCGTTTGTCAGTGAACTGTATGGTTTTATATTTCTGAAACTATTATTTTAATTGAATTCCAATCTTGTATAGTTCTAATTTTCAAATTTTATGATTATTTCTAATCACAGTACTTTCAAAATGAGTCCAAAGATATTTTTCTAGAATAATATATTAAAATTTATAAGGAACCAGATTTTAACCTACAGGAGATATATATATTGGAATTTGATTCCTAGATTACAGTTACTATACTCAATCATTCCTTTCCCATTACTTTAATTTAAATAATACTAAAATTAAAAGAAAAAAGTTAAACACAACTTCAATTTTCGCAGAATAATGTAATCCTGAACCATAATTTATAATGACTGTTATGTCAAACAAGAAGTTTTAATTTTAACTATATCTAAATGAAATTAAAATTATATAAATGTTCTTTTCAAGATGAATTATCAAATTACTGTCAGATATTTAGTAAAATATATAAATATTCCTAATAACTTGAATGAATCAAATGTCACCCACCCACACAACTAAAAAATAAGTACAACTTGAATACATAAACCAATAAGTTAATCTAGATTCTTTATCGATATTGAATAGATTCTAGAGCATTGGGAGTTATGAAATATTGTTCATTATTTGAAATCAACAAGCAATTCATAATTCTCATAGGATAAGGTACATAAATATTTGAAGAGCGAATAGTTACAGCATGCCAGAAAATAACTTTTAATTAATAAAATTAAAATAAACACATATACAAATAGTTTAAATATTAATCTAATATTATATTAAATCTTAAAAAGAGGACTAATAAAAATAAAAGCTTATATAGTTTAAGTAGTCCAATAATAATGCATTATATCATAAAAATTAGTTGCTATACTTTTTAACCTAAGGTTCTTGGAAATAAGGATGAACGGTAGCTCTTCTTGCACTTATTCTGTTGATTGGATCATATGATAATAACTTATCTAACAAATCGATACCATTGGAATCCAATGAGGGAACTACTTGAGCTAGATCTTTTCTATGCCATTTCGGGAAACTTGGCTTAAAATCTGGTAAATAAACAATATCAGGCCAAACAGCTTCAGTTGGAGTACCCAATATTCTAAATATTTTAAAAATTTGATCAATTTCACTATCACCACTGAAGATAGGTTTTCTATTGCACATTTCCGCGAATATACAACCAATTGACCAGATATCAACACCAGTACTGTATTGTTTACCACCTAGTAACACTTCTGGAGATCTATACCATAAAGTAACAATTTCGTGTGTATATGCTCTTAAAGGCACACCAAAAGCACGAGCTAAACCAAAATCACCTAATTTCAAATTACCATCTCTATTGATCAACAAGTTCTGAGGTTTCAAATCACGATGTAAAATTCTATGGGAATGACAATATGCAATACCTTTACATAATTGCATCATAAATTTCTTAACGATATTATCACCCAAAGGTTGATCTTTAGGTACACTTTCCATATATCTTTTCAAATCTAAATCCAAAAATTCAAAAACTAAATACAATTTATGAGCATCAGAATGAACAATGTCATATAATCTAACAATATTATCATCCTTCAATTCCTTTAGAAGTGAAATTTCTCTAATAGCTGTACTTGGAACACCTTCGTCTTCACTTTCCAATCTAATTTTCTTCAAAGCAACAACTCTTTGACCATGACGAAGGTCCAAAGCCTTATAAACAACACCATAAGTACCTTCACCAACTTTCTCCAACCTTTTATAATTAGCTAATTCACTACTCATTCCTAAAAATATTAAAACAATTAACAATCACTGCCACTAGTTTAACTATTGTTTTGATTAGATTCAAATCTTAATTGGAACTGAAATAATAATTAAAATTGAAAATTTATTTCCTTTGATAAGATTCTCGATACTACAAAACCAAACAATCTAGTTTCAAGTCACCAATGATCACTGGTCAAGTAACATATCTGAATCTACTCAAACAATATCAACCATAAACACATTTGTTATTTAACATATGTGTGTGTATGTTTTATAAAAAAGGCTTACCTTTACATATTTTTTCAGTGAAAAGCCTTATGGAAAGTAGGAACGAATATTGATATTTTAGTATGTAACCAAGATCACACGATAAGAACAGTGTCAAGGGTATGTTTACGAAAGATTGGTTTTGTTATGACAAAGTATGCTATACGTTTGGGATGCATTCTATCAGGTTTGATTGGATTAGATTGGGTTTGATAAGAATAGTTTAATTGTTTCTCTTAAAAAATATTAAATCTTTAGCTATATAGAAATAAAGAATAGTTATAGATGGGTTTTCATATTAAAACAAAAAACAACAACAAAATAAACTAGGACCAATCAACAAAACATGTATGTATGTATGTATGTGTGTGTGTATAGTAGCGTTTATTGTTTCTTGGCATCTCTAGCGGCTTTCTTCAAAGCTCTAATCCTGATAGATTTGTGGAAGACGTAGTTGATGTAGTTTACTAAGTGTGAGTAGACTCCAACTGCTTCGACTATAGCCAATTGGTATAAGGCATGAGACCAGTATGGGGTAATGGTGGCATATCTTTCTTGAGCACCACAACGTCTACCAATATTTCTTAAAGTAGAAGCGACGAACGTCTTTGGGTTTGGAATCATCATAGAGGTCTTTCTAATCTTGGACATGGAACTTGTGACCAAGTAAGAAATGATCAATTCGACATCGACATTATGTTCTTTTAATTCACCAGCTAAAGAACTTGACCAACTTTGCAAGAAAGCTTTGGAACCACTGTATGTAGCCAACAATGGAGTTGGAATCAAACCACCAAAGGAACCCATTGTCAAAATCAAACCACGGGTCTTTTTTGAAGATTCCTTGGTAGTTTTAATAATCATTGGTGCAATAATTTGAGTAATCATTAAAGTAGCAGTATTGTTAATAGTGATGATTCTTCTCATTTCATCTTCATCTGTTTCCAAGAATGGAACAGGGATAGAATGAGATTGACCAACATTGTTAATCAAAGCTGTGATTGGGAATTTACCGCATAATTCCTTAATTGCTGAATAATTATCTTCAGAATCCTTAGCAACATCAATTGCCAAAACCTCAACTTTAACATTATATTTGGTAGAAATTTCCTTTTGTAGAGTTTCTAATTTAGACAAAGTTCTTGAGATTAAGATTAAATTGAATCCACGTTTAGCCATTTGAAATGCAAATTCTTTACCAATACCATCACTTGCACCTGTAATAACACAGTAATTACCGTTCTTTGAACCATATTTGGAATAATTAACAGGTGGTAAAACAAACAAATCAACAAAACATGCCATGATTCTTAAAATCAAAGTAGTAGCCTTTAAAACACCAAAGCCAAAGATAGACCATAGTAACATGTTGACACATTTACTACGGTTACCAACAATTTCCAATTGGGTCATAAAAGAGTCCAACATCTTCACAGTAAAATAAAATATATTAATCTGCAATACTTCACTATCACTGGAATACCACAATTGACCAATATTACCCTAGATTTAGTCCTTATCACCTAAAGAAATAGCAACTGTTCTAATAGGAGAAGTAGTCAACTTTGGATATTTTTCGCTTTTTATAAAATAAAGGTTTCTTTAAAGAACTTCGAAGAATTTTAAAGGTCAGACCAGAAATGACATGAAACTGACCAGTAACATTCAGGTAAAAAATATAAAAGTAGTAAAATAAATAGATTGGTTAAATACGTCAATTCAACTTTTATGGCGATTAAATTTGTTCAAGTAGTAGTTTTTCTTGTAATTGTAATAAACTTTAAAGATGGTGATGGTAAATTAAGAGGAATTTGGTGTTATACTTCAATAAATGTTAAAGCGTTTGTTCGATTTTTTCTGTATTATATGCAATTTTCGTTATTATTATTAGTTAAGTATGGGGTGGTATCTATAAAATTTGTTGCTATGTATATGTATTCTTTTTTTCTTGATATACATATTTATTTATTCATTATTAGTATTTTCATCGTTAGGATCGTTAACCCAATGGGTCATGTCTCTTAATGCAGTGAGAGAGTTCAATTTTTTAAGTTTTTCCTCATCATTGATAATCAGAGAAGTTATCCTTTCACAACTTTCAATTAGAAATGGTAATTTCGAGTATTTCTTCCAATTTTTATAATGTACAAGATCAATAGTATTTTCAATTTGCGAAATGTTTCTTATTTCAAGCACTGCTAATTTTGGGAATAATCCATATTTACAAATTATGGGTATTATTCTATTTGTTAACGAATTACAGTTGTTCAATGACAATCTACTGATCCTGTTCCCACAAAGATTGGCTAATTCCCAAATACCAATATCAGTTACATCACAACCTGCGATACCTAATGTTTCGATAGATGTATATTTAGCTAATGCAGCGACGGAAAGACTTGTGATAATATGCCCATTTTTATGTCTTCCAATATTAATATATTTTAAATTAGGACAATTTGTGGCAATCGCAACTATCCCAGCATCTGATATTTGATCACAGGCTCTTAAGTCCAATGTCTCTAAATATTTTAGCTTCCCATTAGAGCTAATTTGAATCAAGTACTCATCATTGATATTTTTATTGCCTAGGATGATTAAGCTTTTCAAAGACCTGAGGTCATCAAACCAAGATATTGGTGGTAAAATAGTAGAACATAGAGAAAACTCTAAATGCGTTGTATTAGATAAATCAAACAATTTTGTGTGTGTCCATGATCTTAAATCGCATCTGGCTTTAATTGACTTAAATTTCAAACTTTTTGGTCTAATTGTGCCATTATAAGTCATCAAGAATTCTTGTAATCGGGAATCTTTTTCAAAGGTAAGATGCTCTGTTAAATGTTTATTTGTAATCGAATACCAAAGTTTACAGACTTTTAAACAATTATGAAGTGAGCCTTCAAAATTATTTTTTTCGAAGGAATCAGTTTGATTATTACAGGCATCCCAAACTCTTTTTGCCTTAGTTTGATCTTTATAAATCATCAATGAATGTTTATAAGATTGTGGCTTTCTTCTATAGCCACATAACTTTGCAATTGCATCAGAGGATTGATTGGCCTCATGGTCATCCATTTCTTTGACAAATCCAATGATTTTTTCCAAAATTTCTGGCATTTGGAAAATTTCATGTTCATATTTAATTGAAGGGTTAATGAAACTGACATTTGCAATTGATTGATTGTTACTTTGATTGACTATATTTAATTGTGAAAAATCGTTTTCTAATGAATTACTTTGATTTCTTAGGGGGGATGAATTTGGAGTTGGTAATCCATTAACCAAATCAATTGAAGTTTCAATTGGGTCAATTTTTTTCTTCAAATTGTTGATGTAGTCTTTTGAAAGTGATTCATCTGAAGATTTTTTCTTTAAAGGCCTGTAATTTACCAAATCTACATGTTGTGCTTCTCTTTTCCTCTTTTCCACAAATCTGGAAAAGAATTTCATATTTTTAAATAATTTTTGTTGTTTTATTATATTTTATTATTTGATAACTGACGCAACGCTATATAAATTCTATTTCAAATGGAAATTTTTTATAGTTGGACCCAGTTAAACAATAGTCAGTTACTTGTCGATAGTGTGATATTAAATCTTGTAAAAATGAATGACTTAAATAATTCTGTTAAATGAGTGACTTTAATTTCTTAATGAAATTTCTTGAATTGAATTGAATTAAATTGAATAAAAAAAAAATAAAATGAATGACTTTAAAGAAGTGAAAGGATATAAAAAAAGGTAAAATAAATTATAATATCAAAAATTAATCTTTATTCTCTTGGGATCTAGTTTCTTCTCAATATAGCATCTAATCTTAAAAAAGTGGAAATATTAAATTAACTTGTATTAATTCTTAGATTGTTTGACTGTGTATATTTTCTTATAGTGTAAAATATTACAAAAACAGAGATGGATTTAATCAATGTAATAGATAGATATTAATGAATGACTTGTACACCGTCGGTGATTAACTATTGGTAAATTAGAGTAATTTGATGAAATACAGAAGTTCAAATACACTAAACACCAAAAAATGAAATGAAATAAAAATGAAGGGAAGTGAGAAGAAAGAATAATATATTCAAGTATAGTCTACTTAATTTTGGGTGACTTTAATTAATAAAAACAGTTTTTGTCTAAAATTGTAACTACTTTAAGGATACTAATTTATAATAGTTTTTAAAATATTGTCATATATATATATATTTATGCATTATGCTAGGGGTATAGATTTCTGACTGTGACCTAAAACCCAAAATAAATTATTTTACAGTATTGCTGCATGGTTAACTAATACGAAACAACATTCTTATTTAATGACATACGGATTTACTCTGATATAGCAAAACTGACTGGTCAAGAGTTTCTATCAAGTACGGTGTCAGTTTAAATTAATCTCCCGAAACAAGCAAAGCAATGGCACCAACACCAAAAGCAAGAGAGTATACTGAAACAAAAACAAACAAACAAATATATTAGAAATATAAACAATTCCCCTACTCGAGAGTTCCAAGAACCATTCATTATCCACATCTATCATTCCTAATAACAGAAAGTATCCTGCAAACCCAGCAAGAAACAAGAACTTATAGGGTTTTTCAGATTACCCATACATTAGCATCTTGTAAACTAACCGTCAAGAATAAGATTACAAAAAACTAAACAAACAATATATAAACAAACAAACTTCATAACATAATGCTGGCTCCAATTGTTTATATATATCTGTTATAAGAGTCTCAACCATCGTAACAACAACATACTCATCTGTCTTATAATTGATTAATCATCGAAACCCTTCTAACTTTGCTACTATTTATTCCGTCTGGACTGGTATCGTCCCGTCTGTAGTGTCGCTCTTACTTTTTTTTTTTCCCATCGAAACCAGCAAAATTTGGCTGTTTGTCTGTTTATTGCTGGGCTTTATTTAGTTACCCTTCCTTTGTGATAAAAAGTCGTTAATTTTCCTAAAAGAGCATTCTAATTGAAAATGATAGCGACGACAGCAGCGATACAATGGGGGAACTGAATTGGACCTTTTGTCAAGTTATAAGACGTTTTATGTTTCATCACTATCTATATCATTATATCGATTATTAATGATCGAATGATTGCTTATATTGATAAGAAAACTGCATATATAGTAAGAACTGTCTATATGCAATTCGAAATGCTTTTCTTTCAATCAGCTTGAAATTGGAGATACCCTTTGTTGAATCCATTGGGAGGGTAGCCTAGGCAGTTATATGATATCTATTTGTATGGGAATCCATATCTTGCGCACATTCTTGCGGCGCAGTCATAGGAACCTTTCGATTTTTATTTCTTTATCGTAGTTTTATGTAATGTAATGTAATGTAATCTAATCTAATCCAACCCACCATATAATTTTATTCAATTCACTTCTCGGTTTTGCATTAACCCCATTACATCTGCCATAATGGAAATATTTGGTGACGTCCATTAGCGTTTCTTATTTTACTCGATTATTGCACCAAAGAATAGAGGATGTCACGAACACGTCAGAGCATGCAACTCATTCTTTATCAAAATATAGATAAGACCCTCTCTCATATCCTCGTGCCATTACCAGTTCTGCTGCCATGTAACTAATTGCATCATGCATAGACATATGTCTAAAAGTACAAAACCACATCTCTGAGGTATCAATCAATAGCAATGAGAAATAGGGAGGGTAGGTCTGTGCGAGACAAGAAGAAATAAATTACATCACATTGCTCAAATACATATAGAGTGAAAATAAGAAACTCTTCAAAGAGAAACAGACAAACATTTGTACATATTTGCTTTTAATACATATTTACTTGCCTACTTACTTATCTAATAAATTATCTGTTTTATCTATCGAATTGAACTTGACTGAATTAAATTAAACTTCTGGACTCCGGCTTACTTCAGTACTCTAGTTCCATTCCACATGTAATACCCAACTTTCTTTCTTTTACTTTCCCATGGAGCTACTTAGGTTTGCTTCTTTCGATTTTAACCTCAACATACCAATTACTATACATTGTATTAATTTTGTTAATAATTTTTTATTAAAGTGTTTCGTCAATTGAGAAGTGACAATGGGAGTTAATGAGAATGCTTCTTCTAGAATTTAAGTTCAAACTCAAACATCCTGTATCTACATCTCCACTTTAGACAGGTTACTACGCAAGAATTTGAAATTTATCTCTGCCTCTTTTTTCGATTAACAATTTTTCAGCAATAAGAATTTTTTAACACGCCAATTAATCTTGTATTAAAGTTTTTAAATTCATTAATTACACTTCCTTTTTAGGGAGTAAAGAACAGAATGAGGTGCCTAGAATATGAAGAGCTTTCATAATTCTATGCTTCGTTTAGTGAGGATTCTTTGACGTTTCTGTTTTATTCTATTTTTTTTCTTATTCTTGTCCTCTACATTTGATCGATATCAAATATCAACCGTTTCAATTAAATATCAAACGCCATACTATTGATATATAACTGCAATGAAAATTCTGATCCATCTGTAATTAAAAAAATGTTTTTATAAATTATAATTAATTTAATTATGTTTTTTTTTTATGAATTAAAAGATATGGTAATAATATTTTTATTTGCCATTCTTAACTTGAATCCATTAACTAATTAAATAGATTAAATATAAACAACCTCTATATCATTCAGTTTGTTAAACATCTGAGAGCAATAAAACATCGCATTATTGCTTTTTAATTTCGAACTGACAGGCCTAAAATAATTCAAACAATTACAAGAAAGGGAAAAAAGCTATCTGCTTGAAAAGAAAGCAATCCTGAGTTAAGTATCATTACCGTTAATTGAAATACCACTTTTAAGTATAATTGAATATAATGTCAAGTGCTTTCCAATTAAGTGATGATGAATTTAGTAGCGCAACCAATTTCAGCTTCCCTAGACCTGTGACGTCAGAATCAAGTCCGGAGAGGAAAGGATGCATCACTCCACCTGAGGAATATCCAAGACCCAATCTGGGCTTTGGATATTCAGACAATAAAATTGGAAGTAAGAGTATTCACAGGCGGCAACAAACTCCAATTTCATTTAATATTCTGGATAATAGCCAGGACCAACCAGAATACACTAAGACATATTATTCACACAGATTGTCGTCCATTGATATCATGAACGATACTAAAAATCAAATTAGAAGAAATAGTACTGGAATTTTCAGTAGTCTTGGAGAATTTGCTAAATTGAACAAGATAGACACTGAAAATAAAATATTTGCAAATTGTCCAGAATCTGGGGATTGTAATAATTTCCCAAAGATTGATTTAAATGTATCCAATGAAAAAATCAATGAAAAGAAGTGAATTTAACTCAATTTCCCAGCTTCTGCAAATATACAAATACAAATACCCGACGCTTTCCCATCAACTTTATACACTACACTGCACTACACTATATCAATCAAAAACTAAATCTAAATATAATTTACAGTTGTAATACTAATTTATAATGAACAATTCAAAGTAATTATATTCCATTCAAGGGAAAGAGATGTAACGTTTACTTTAATGAAAGAAAAAGAATAAAAAAAATATTTAATTCAACAAAATTTACTTTATAGTTCCGCTGAGAACTATTAGGTTTTTACCCAATACCCAATATCCAATACCCATTTCTAATTTATAAATCATCCTTCAGTTTAAATAATAATATATAATATCTAATAATAATAATAGTAATAATAATAGAAAGCAAAAAATATCCAAAACCACGTGATCATATTATATTTTTATAACAACGCGAAATTTTGTTTTGTGGTGATGAGCTTTATAGATAGATCAAGTTTGATATAAAAACAGGAACTGACTTAACAGTTAATGACATAAGTTCAAATTGGCACAAGATTCACAGCGGTCCAATCTTACTTTGGAGTTGAGTGGGAAGGAAATTCAATTTGGTTATTAATTTTATCGAAAAAGATACAGATAAAAATAAAAATAAAGCAAGATAAAATAAAACAACATAAAATAAAATAAAATTACAACTAAAATTAAGATTAATAAATAAAGATTACAAAGAGATTAATAATTCTGGGATTGTTGTTTTATTTGGTGTTTATTATTATATTGTTATCATTATTTTTGTTAAATTTTTGGAGTCTTAATTAATTTCTATGGCTCAATTGTGTCTTCAGGATAAAATAGATCAATTCATATAGCAATATGGATTGGGCTATACAGGCAGCAAAGAAAAAGACAGAAACTTTAGCAGGGGGTTCAAGATCTATAGTAGAGTCATTAAACGAGTTGAATAATGTTTTGGTGAATGGCCAACAAGAAATTAATTCAGTTATTAATGATACTTGTGATTGGTTGAATAAAGAGTACAGTTTTATTAAGGATAACTCTAAGCATATTAATATATCCGGGGGTAATAAATTGGCAAATAAGAATAGTTTAGTAAGTCCAGAGAAAACAATAGCCTTCAATTTGACAGATAGATCAACCAATTTAAGCATTTTAGAAAATAAACTTTCTTCAAGTGATATCGAAAACATAAATCCAAACACTAACACGAATAATAACCATAACCATAATCATATCCATACCCCTGATAGAAGAGAAAATATATTACCTAGTGTAACACCGAAATCATTAGCAGAGGATAATGCAACCCAAGAATTACAAGTACAAACTTCAAATATTATTGAAAATACTACAAGTAACGAAAACTCAAAAGTTTTAAAATATAGTTCTAGAAAGTCATCTCCTTGGTCTCCATACAAGGCTGATAGGCTGCTAAAAGAATCAACTTCGAATAGTAGCAATAATATAACAAGAATTATTACTTCTTCAAGTCATCACTCTGCTTTGAGTTATACAAATTCAGGTGAGTCCCGAAAAGATTTAGAAAATGCAAATACCTCCACAAAGGGTGATTCAGAATTAGAAGTTTCTAGAAACACTTCATTGATAAGTATTAACAATACTGAACCTATTTTAAAAACCAGGACCAGAAAATCTTCTTTAAGAGATATTTCCAAAAGAAGATCAAATATGTTTGTTCCATTACCCAACAAAGATCCTTTAATAGTTCAACCTGTTACATCAGCTCAACAAGGAACAAATGTGCTTCAAAGTTCAACAAGAAAGTCTTTGGTAAATTCGAGGATCTCTATACACAAAGAAAGTGTCCCAATTTCACATACTTTGTTACCACCAAATAATATAAGCCGTTCCAAATCCAATGATAGAAAATCACCATCTAATAATTCAACAATAACAAGTATTAAGAGTCCATCTTTTAATGTCACTACAACCGGAACTATCACTACAAGTGTAACAAGATCAACGGCAACTACATCCAATGTATTTGATAGATTAACATCAATTTCGACTAAATCTTTTGAAAATAAAGTAATTTCCAAATCTGCTAGGCTGTCCTCATCTTCAATTGATATGGCTGGTTCACCAATTCGAAGATCATCAGCTAACAGCAAAATTACAGGTACAATAGATTCTACTATGCAAGAGGCGTTGAAAAGCATATTCTCTACTAAAGAAAGGTTACACAATGGTAAGACACCAAGTCGTACTACATCTCCTACTAGTATGAAAAAATCTATGATACCCAAACTTAATAGATATGAGCATAATAGCGGGACGTCAGGTATAGATAGCAAGATGAAATCAATTCCTAACTTGCCTGTAACTTCAAAGCTTTCACCTACTTTTAAACACTCATCAAACTCTAGACATAATAAATATGAGATCAAAAGTTCTTCAAACAACTCTCATCTTCATTCAGAAATGAAGATTAAGAGAGATGGAATAAATACTTCAAAGAATCCTAAATCTCCCATCAGACAGAGTAACTTAAATAAAAGCTTACATCCTAATTCTTTAGTAAGTAATGAAGAATTACTAGAGAAACGTGATGTAAATTCAGGTAAGTTGGAAAAAGATTCAATATCAGAGAGAACCAACGGCATGATTGACTCTAACACCAAGGCAAAGTCACAAAATAATCGACTTACACGTTTTAAATTAATTTCTTCAGCATCTAATGATCAAGATAAAACTAATCAGAAAGCTATTAATGTAACCGCGGAGCCTACCAATCAGGGCACTATTTCGAAGAAGGATACTGTTAAAGGAAAGAGAGAATCAATTCAAAAACCAATCGTATATACAGATTTCAGATCTTCTACAACAACCAAGAAGAAAATACCATCCACCAATATCAATTCGAGTAAACGGAATAATTCATTTCTTCAGAATGGATTTTTGAATCATAATGTTTTACACGATTTGAATACTGTTGATCATAGAACAAAAATAGGTGGTAGCAGCAGTAGCATAACAATATCAAAAGCTACTAAGGATGAACACTGCGGCGATCAAAGTTTACCTGAAATATTTTCTGATTCAGATGAAGACGAAAATACAATTATTGCATCATGGGCTAAAAGTCCCTACCTAGAAGAGCAACTGATAATTCAGCAGAATTGGGATCCAAAACAAATTTTTGGTTCAATTCCTCCATTGCATATAGATGAAATTTTCCAAAGTTCGAGATTGAACAAATTGAAAGCACGTCAGTCGCTAACCAAGAAGTAAGAATTGATATGGTTCAATTTAGATTTAATTTATAAATCAAATAATATTTCATTTAAGATATATATAGATATATATATGTATATAAATATCTAGATAGATACAAGTAATCTCATTATATCCTGTATTCAAGGTAGATTAGAGAACACCTAGAAGGACCTTAGAGGAAAATTTCTTAATATCAATTATAGTACAGTACATTAGTTGAACATTCATTCTCTTATAATCTTTTATCAATAGCATTTTTTCTATCCCATTTTCCTAACCATGCTTCAGATTCAGATTTTGGAACAAAATATATCTTTATGGCATTATCCATCATTGGAATAGATGGCTTCTCCATTTTCAAAATATCGTGAAAGACTAATTTTTTACCAACTTTAACTAAACCACCAGATAAAGTTTCCATATATGCAACTAATTTTTTTTCAGTAAAGTTTTCATGACCTTCTTCCTCAAACCATTCTTGTGGTCTATCTAAGACTAATTCCAATAAGTCTTGAACCTTAGATAATTCACTAACAGCAGCAATGAAATCGAATTCATCAGTAGTTGGATACATTACAATTGCTGGGAAAATTAATTGCGATTCATAATCCAATGGATCTTCCAAGTAGATTTTAGTTTCATTCAGTAGTTCAGGAGGTTCTTGTGTATGTATCACATTAATATTTCTTAATTTCATAGCATTTTCCAGTATAATTTCTTTACCTTCACGTTCTTGCTTTAGTTTTAATAATTTTTCTTCTTTTTCCTTTAATTCAAATTCTTTCTTATTGACCACTTCTAGTAAGTTCAATAAAGATTTATTTTCAAGATCAAATTTCAAACCAAATTGGATAGCCTCTTTACAATCGTCAAATTTTTCAATTGCTAGGAAAGCCTTTGCCATACGAAAGTAGCATTTAATATTTTTTGGATTTAAAGATAAAGCCATTTTACAATCATTAATACAGCGTCTATAATTTTTTAACTCCAATTCACAAGCTGCTCTATTAGCATATAGCGATTCATTAATTTTATCATCATCACATTTAACATCAATGGCTTTGTTATATAATTCTCTTGCATCTCTAAATCTTTTAACTTTATAGAGGTCGTTACCTTGGTTTTTAAAGTTTCCTGCAATTTCATGAGGTTCACCTTCATAAGCCAAAGCTTTCAAAGCATCCAAAGTCACATTCGAACCACCATCACCATCAGTATCATCTAATTTTGTCATAAAAAATGGCATTCTATTCAACTCTTCAAAGACTTCATCTGTAGTTTTATCTTTAAAATCAGAAAGTTGCGGTGGTAAAATTGGGTCATTTGGACCTGCTACATATTTAGGTAAAGTTGACATCCTGATTAACCTTATTTCAGTAACCTAATCCCTCAAATATGTCCTTATAATGCAATAAAACAACCTTTTTTATATAAAAAGTATAATTCAAACCTCATCTCATCGATTCGTGAGATTTTTTTTTCTTTTCTAATATAGATCGATATAAATTTTTTTGATATTAAAGGCTATAATGACGGTGAAATTGAAGAATTAAAGGTATTGTTTGTTTTGAACATATAAAGAAGACAACAGAATAAAGGATATGGCAACGTCATAAATTTAGTAGCATGGTTGATTAAATATAATTAAGTAAATAAAATTTATAAAAATATTAACGTAGAGGTAAAAGTGTATTTATAGATGAAAAAATGCAGGTAATAAGGCGGTGACTGAGTGACTGGGTGCGTGATTCAGTGTAGTGACTGTATGAGATGCAATTATGCACGTTGATGCCAACCTTCTGGTTTTTTAATACTTTTACCCTCGTAATATCTACCGGTACAAGAGTTCTTTGCAAAGGTGAAATCATTACCTTGGTCACATACACAGTTGTTATCTTTCCAAATGAAATCATCTAATGGACAATTGTACATACCATCGTAGCTGTAACCTATTTCTGGGAAGAAATGGATTCTATCCTTTGGCAATAGATAAATAGTTGCTAGAGTATGAACTGCTGATTCTGACCATCTTTCGTAGAAGAAACCGCCTTTATGATCTAGATAATCGAATAATGCCTTGAAAGCTGGAGATCTCCAGAATTCCAAAGAGGCTACTTCGAAGGAAGATAAGAATTCACAAGTGTTATACTTATTCCCGTTATCTCTATCAGCCCATGATCTAAAGTTTTTGTCAGCGATGAAGTCTGGGTTTTGTTTTTGGAAACTCTTCAAAGTATCCCAAATAGTTGGCATTGCTTCGATTGGTTCCTTTTTCGATAAAGTGAAACCAAATATATTACCTGTATCTTGCATCCATCTAAAGATATCGTATTGCATGTCACAATTAATTTTCATGTTTGGTTCGATTCTCCAATACCAGTCGAAAGGTTCTAGGAGTTCATGTCTCCAAATCAAACCTGATAAGTAACGTTGGATGAATCTGTATGATTCCGAGGAACCCATATCTAATTGGTATAATCTTGATCTTGCAGTTGCAGCTTTATTTTGGTCGATCCAACCTGGGTAGTTCAGAGCGGATTCAGGTATCAAACCAAAGTTGACATCTGAGGAGACAATATTTTGAATTGCCAATTTTTCTTCAGAAGTGAATGGAGTTTCATTGATGAAAACATAGGGATAATTGAACTGTTTATTAAATCTTGATTCTAATTGTTCAACGGAGGTTATGATATCTTCTAATGTTTGAAATTTGGAATGCTTATTGATAGTGAATAGGAAACAAGCCTTTGGTTTTCTACCTCTATTGACGAAGACAGGTTCCATGAAACGCAGAGTTGAGTTTTTACCCAAGTTTTGAGTTGCATTTGCCTTAATCTTCAAAGCATTCTCCATTGCGAGTTCGAAATTTTCCTCATCTTTTTGCAATCTTTCTTGTTCTTTCATCCAATCTTCATCTGAGAAGGATTCCATATCTTGTTCATCGTAGAACAATGGATCGCTTGCACGTAACTCTTCCAAATGTTTTAGGTATTGCAAAGAGTTTGCGTTTGTGTTATGGTTTGAACTTGAAGAGTTGGTGTGGGATGTTTGTTCTTGAAGTTTATTTTTCTGAGTATTGGAAGAAACTGGCAATACGTATTGTGATATGTCCAGAGAGTTTGGCAGATAGCTTTTCAAAACCTTTTGGCTGTCATCATGTAGAGAAAAGAGTAGTATGACGGAGAAACCTATAATGAAGAAGAACAGTCTGATCAACCTTTTGCTTAATCTTAGTATCATGGCTTGATGTATTTGTAGTTGTCGTTATCGTGTCGGTGTATTGTAGGATGAATACAAGATATATATATATGAATATGT